ATGTTTTAAAAAAAATCTTCAATAAATGATGTTTTGTAATAGACAGGAGTCACCATATTAAATTAAGATATTTAAACAAAGGTCAAATTAAAATCAATCATTACTTAAGAGATTTATATATTTTGTATTTTACTGTTACAATCTAATTATGAATTTTCGGTAGTTTATTAAGTAACATAAAGATTAAAAAATTGAAATAAATAAATTTTCAGACATACATGTATACAGTTTTGATTTTATTATATAATATCATTACCTTTACCTGACGTGTGATGTTAACAAAGCATTAACACAGTCACTGTTGTCACATGATAGGATTGCTGTAGGTTAGATAAAAGGATGATTTTTTCCCGTAACCATGACTGGAGAGCAAAACATGTCAGTGTTTGCTTGAAATAGGGAAGGTTTACTGTAAGGGGGCTGGAAAGATATCTCCAGAAAACACTACTAGACAGTAAACAATAATGTCTAGGAGATCAGATGAAAATTTATGGAACAGCCGGTACTTTTATAAAAGGACAAAAATTCATACAGACAAAAATAAAAGTAAAAATGATAATAATAATAATGACAAAATATAAACAAATGAATAAACATTTCACATGCTAAACTGTACATAATAATATCTGTAGAAGAATAACAAGACAAGCTGACGAGGGTGATAACAAGTTAAATAGAAGGCATTCATATTACTTGTGATATTTGTCATAACATTTCCATCACAGTACAATGATATATTTCCTGACTTCCTATCAGACTCAATTCTGATATTACAAAATGTATACTTTTACTTATCTTTTGTAATACCTTCCTACAGGATCTGTCTGGTATTAAATAAATGTTTTTTGCTGCTTTTTTAAAAAATAAACTAAAATTTATAAAACATGAAGACATGAGTATGAAACAATAAAAGTTTTATCTGTATCAGCTCATTAAAAATACAGTTAAAAGGCCAAAACAAACACAAATAATGACCAACAGCTCTACCTGATTGGAAATATTGTTTATAATAAATATGATGAACGCTACGGACAACATAAGAATGTTGTCTAATTTGACTAAGGTGGCAGTAGTGAGAAATAGAATCATAGACATTTAACCTTTGTCCTTTAAAAGCAGACATTGGAAGAAGTTAAGGCACTCGTAAAAAGGAACCATTATTGTTAGTGATGTACAAGTGTATCACGTATTAACTGAAGCAATCACACAAACTTTGACCATAAGCAGTTTTATACAGCACCTGAACACCCTAGAGTGTACACTGTGGGTAGCTGGGTATTGAAAAGATTGCTTACGTCGACCTTAGTGAGATGAGTGTGATTGTTACCTTGATGGTACTGGGATTTCACCAGGTTTTGTTTCATAGTATGCACATGTGCTGTTTAGACCAACAGGAAAAATTTAATTATTATGAAATCAGGAAGATCGCAGTTTTAGCAGTATCTGTGGATATATCAAACGTGTTATGGATATATAGAACAGACACTTCAGTAAAATACTATTACTGGGACACAAGTATGATGTAAACAGGTCAACAGGACAGAAGTATGATGTAAACAGATCTTTGGGACGGAAATATCTTGTAAACAGATCTTTGGGATGGAAATATGTTGTAAACAGGTCTATTGGACAGAAAACTATTGACCTATTGGACAGAAATATGTTGTAAACAGGTCTATTGGACAGAAAACTATTGACCTATTGGACAGAAATATGTTGTAAACAGGTCTATTGGACAGAAAACTATTGACCTATTGGACAGAAATATGTTGTAAACAGGTCTATTGGACAGAAATATGATACGACAGATACGAACAGATATTGACCTATTGGACTTTTGGACAGAAATATGTTGTAAACAGGTCTATTGGACAGAAATATGATACGAACAGATCTTTTGGACGGAAATATGTTGTAAACAGGTCTATTGGACAGAAAACTATTGACCTATTGGACAGAAATATGTTGTAAACAGGTCTATTGGACAGAAATATGATACGAACAGATCTTTTGGACAGAAATATGTTGTAAACAGGTCTATTGGACAGAAATATGATATGAACAGATCTTTTGGACGGAAATATGTTGTAAACAGGTCTATTGGACAGAAATATGATATGAACAGATCTTTTGGACTGAAATATGTTGTAAAGAGATCTATTGGACAAAAACATGATGTAAAATAATCAATTGGACAAAATATGACATAAACAAATCTATTAGACAAAAATATGGTGTAAACTAGTGATTCCTATTGTACCCATTCATGTTGCTGGGCAGACTAGAGCACAGCAATCACAATATGAATCAGTTTCCTAACCTCGCATCCAATAACAGATGATCTACTAGAGGATATCACATCAATGTATATATTTTTATATACACCTTGTTTACTTTGGAACTTTAAGAAGATATCGAGAAATTTTGTTAGTACAATTAATATCAAGGAAATATTTGTGTGTAGTAAGAGTTATGTGCCTTATCTATAGATCGGTTTAAACACAGAGAATACTTTTGTCATCTGCAGCCGACACCTACCTTCATTTCTATAACTCTAAAACTTAAAATAATCAAAATATAGACTTCATTTAAGACTAAAGATTGACATATAATGATATTCTCTAACATTACCAAAAACGAAGGAAAAAAATCTCCAAATTTTTTACAAAAAATAAAATTGAATAAATCACAATTTCAAATTTGGAGCAGTAATTAATTTGAAAAGTTCACAAACTAGAAGTGTATAATTCATAAATAAATGATACTAAAATGAATTACTGGCATGATTTGTAAGGTAGCATATATCCTTAATATAAATGATATATATGATGTGTAGGTCTCCAATCTGGAAAGCAGTAAGTCACAGGAACATTAAATTAAAAGTAGAATTTATCATTACTAATCAATGGGAATAATATTTAATATAATAACTACAGCTGATATTTGGCATTGGTGAAAACTAGTGGTCCAACGTTCAATATGAAAACACAACCAAAAAAAAAAAAGTTTGTAAATCAAAGAAACATCACCAGAAAAGTAAATGGAATACATCATAAAAATTGAGACTTTATACAAGTGAGAATCTAACAGGTGTAGTAAGTTTATAATAGAAACTTTGTCGACAATTAAAAATTATGATACTACCTGGTAAAGTACCTGGAATGTTGTTTCGGAAATCGTATCAATAAAACTTACATTTGTTTTCAGTTACTTTCAGTTCTTTATATGAAATTGATAACACCAATGACCTCTTTCACAAATGTTTTCTTCAGTTTGAGTATATTGAATAAACAAATCAAACGAAATATAAATTATCTGATGCGAATACAGCTATGAGATCAATCAAAATTATATTTGTATATATATGTATAATACATGTGGATTCACTGGAAATTCCGAATTTACGATCATATGGAATTCAAAATATTCGTTTTAATCTTAAAGTAAATAAATACAGATAAGACAAACAGATAACCATTTTTTCTTGACAAAAAAGCATAGATGTAGAGTTGATGATGATGATGATGATGATGATGATGATGATGATGATGATGATGATGATGATGATGATGATGATGATGATGATGATGTTTATGATGGTGATGAAGATGACGTTTATGACAACGATGAAGACAACAACAACAATAACGATGATGACAATGGTGATGACGTCCTAAAAGGAATGATCAAAGTGACTTCTCTCCAATTACTACTGGTAAGTAAATAGTTCTCTACATCATTGTAATGTATATCAAATAAGCATTCTTTTGACACAGTCTTGGCTGAACATTTCACTGAGCAAGCAGTACACAGCCCACAGTAAATCTGTGAGTGAGTTACACAGCTCACTGTACATCTAAGTGAATGAGACACACAGCTCACTGTACATCTGTGAGTGAGAGAGTTACACAGCTCACTGTATATCTGTAATTGAATGAGACACACAGCTCACTGTACATCTATGAATGAGTGAGATACACAGCTCACTGTACATCTGTGAGTGAGACACAGCTCACTGTACATCTGTGAGTGAGACACAGCTCACTGTACATCTGTAAGTGAGTGAGATACACAGCTTACTCTACATATACAAGTGAGCGAGATACACAGCTCACTGTACATCTGTAAGTGAGTGAGATACACAGCTTACTGTACATATGCAAGTGAGCGAGATACACAGCTCACTGTACATCTGTAAGTGAGTGAGATACACAGCTTACTCTACATATACAAGTGAGCGAGATACACAGCTCACTGTACATCTGTAAGTGAGTGAGATACACAGCTTACTGTACATATACAAGTGAGTGAGATACACAGCTTACTGTACATATACAAGTGAGTGAGATACACAGCTTACTGTACATATACAAGTGAGTGAGATACACAGCTTACTGTACATATACAAGTGAGCGAGATACACAGCTCTCTATATTGAAACCCTGATTTGTTTTTTCACCATGTTAAATGCAGTTTAAGACATGACATTTATACATTTATACACACATACCAACAAACATTCAATCATATCTATACACATTTACATACATACATTCAACCATGCAATCATATCCATACACATATATGTACATACAAACAAAAATTCAATAGTTTACATAAAAGAATAAGTTAAAATAAATAGATATAAAATCTTTGGTTTGCCATAATTGGAAAATCAATCTACCAAAGGTTTTTTTTATTGTTTGTTCTTAAAAGGACAGGTCACATCAAACTTACTCTCATTTAATTATTTAACTTTAATTTTTAACATTTCAGTTTTCATATAACTAAGAAAGCTGTTACTTTTTGAACATCAACATCATCAGCAATAACACTAACAAAATTCACACAGATGACAGTACATGTATGTTCATCCTCCTCTTGTTTTATATTACATCCCAATCTATTTACCCTCCTAACAATACATAGTTCACTCTCATTAAAGCACATTATAGTTCACTATCTTTACAAAACACAAAGCTCACTCTCATTAAAGCACACTATAGTTCACTATCTTTACAATCTGAAAGGTTTAACAAAGAAGTGGTAGAAGATGTTCGTGAGACAGATTTTTCTATGAGATTTTCTTTCTTGGATTTTTTCTTTGAATGGTCCTCCATCTCCTTGATTCTATCCCTCGGTGTTTTTGATGACTCTGATCTACTGCGTGAGACCTTTGACCCTGACGATTTACTTTCTTTTACTTTCACTTTAGTGGATGATGATGCTGAACCTGTACTCTTGGTTCCAACTGAGCCATCTTGACTAGCACTGTCATCATCAGTTTTAAGATTTCTTTCAAATTTTGGCACATCCCACGATAATTTGTGTGGTTTAGTTGGTGGCTTGGAGCCTCTGAAATGTACATCTTCATTTTTGTCATGTACTGATATTTCGGTTATACTCATTTGACTAAATTGTTTTGACAACTCTTTTGAATGATCTCTCTTTTTTGGAGCAACTACTTTTGACACTTCGATATCACTTTCTGAATCATCTGTAGGTGGCGCCATCGCCTGTGCGATAGACAATGGCGACACACGATTGTAGCTGAACTTCCTGTTAGATGATTTTGGACTTTGTTTTGGGGTACCTCCTGGAGTTTTGACATACTTTGTGTGGTTTCGAGGTCGTCCATTGGCTATTGGAGTATGATTCTGTGGAAAATGTTGTATTTTATGCTCTGGGGAGGTGGATGAAATTTTGTCAATGAGATCCGGATCAGATATTAAAGCCTGACCCTTCGTTAAGTCAATATCCTGTTCCCATGCCAGCTGTTGCAACATGTTAGAAAACATGTGTCCCTTGTCATCATCATAATTGTCCATGGAATCATGTGAACCCCGCCTGCGGTGTTTACGATGTACTTCTGTGAGATGAAGTGGGCCAGTTATTCCTAATTTCTTGTGTCGTTTCATCTGTTTCATCACTTCCTTGCCTGCTTTCTGTAACAGTATCATAAAACCAAATTTTATATGTTAATAAAAAATAAATTTTGCTTCACTTTAAAGGACATTGTAAGAAGTTCAGATATACCTAGTAATGTACTACAAAAGGTCCCAGATTTCTGAAAATATAGAATGAAGCCAAAAGATACAGCATTATGGTTTTTTCAAATGAACAAGTGAACACATTTCTTTATCATAATCTTTAAAAACAATGAAAATAAATTCTGTATGAAGAAATACCCTTGGAAGATGCCAAGAAATGATAACTGAATATAAAATGTATGTACTTCTATAACAGTAACTGTGAAAATGATGAGTTTGAAATAAATTATTAGTTACATCTCAAACTAAAGGTTCCATAAGTACATTTTCCAGGCTGCATGTTCCCTCTACCTTTCAGTCTCACATTTAGGTGGTAATACTGATTGTTTTAAATATCTTATATTTTCAGTGATACATGTATTGACGAGGAAAATTAAAACGAGCTATAAATTGGAATGGCCTCCTAATTGTCAACATGACATGTCAAACTCAATGTCCCACCTTCCAGGCAATGACAGCAGCTTTCCTGCGTCTGGCGATTGTCTTGTTTGAGCTCTTAATCACTACAAGAGCCCTTCTGTCTTCTTCCTCTTTGTCACTGTATGCAGCTAATTCTGCCACTGGCCGACCAGTTAGACGGGCAGAATACTCTTTTTGAAACTGAAGCAGCTGTTTCTTGGAGAAACTCCTCTCTAATACAACAACAATTTTGGCCCACTGAAATAGACAACAATTCAGTAGTACCATTTTGGCCCAGGCCCACTGAAATAGTCTGAACATCTCAGTAAATAAGTCTGGCTTGGCCCTGGGTCCCTTTGACAATGTAGAACAATTTTGGCCTACTTTGTTGTCAACATTTCAACAAAACAATTTTAGCAAGAGACCAACTGAAACTGACATCTCAGCAGAAAAATTCTGGCCCACTGGCATAGACAACATCTTAGCAGAACAACTTTTGGCCAATTAAAAAATCAAAATCTCAGCAGAGCAGCTATGGTCCACCGCCCTTAGCAGAACAAATTTGACACAGTCAAGTCAAATAAAATGACAATAATTTTATGTCTGTTGTAAAATTTTAACACATCAAGTAACATATTTTATATTTTCTCATTTGAAAACATTGTGAAACTAGAGTGAATGTTAAATAAACCATTAAGCTTGATAATTGCCATGGAAATAATCTGACCTGTTTGCGCCATTCCTTCTCCGATTTTGAAATAACCATTTGGTAAGTATTGCCCATCATGGCGATCAACATGTTGAGGAGAAGAATCGGCACCAAGATCATAAACACTGCAAACACCATCTTGGTCAGCCATGCATACTTGGTGTTGTTGAAATCCTGGTACTGCAATACCAAAGATTGGTGGTGTAATACAGAGAACATAATTGACTCAGCATAATATAAATTTTGATTGACTGAGTGTTATATAAGCATCTATTGACTCATTGTAATACAGGATTCTATTGACTCATTGTAACACAGGATTCTATTGACTCAGTATACTATAGAAATGTATTGTCTTGGTGTAATACAGCTGGGATCTCTATGTAACACAATCTAATGACTTCTGAGAGTAATACAGGGATCTAATGATTCCGTGTGATACAAGGTTCTATTGATTTAGTGTAATACAAGGTTCTATTGACCTAGTGTAATACAAAGTTCTATTGACCTAGTGTAATACAAAGTTCTATTGACTTAGTGTAATACATAGTTCTATTGACTTAGTGTAATACAAGGTTCTATTGACAAGGTTCTATTGACCTAGTGTGATACAAGGTTCTATTGACCTAGTGTAATACAAAGTTCTATTGACTTAGTGTAATACAAAGTTCTATTGACTTAGTGTGATACAAGGTTCTATTGACTTAGTGTAATACAAGGTTCTATTGACTTAGTGTAATACAAGGTTCTATTGACTTAGTGTGATACAAGGTTCTATTGACTTAGTGTAATACAAGGTTCTATTGACTTAGTGTAATACAAGGTTCTATTGACTTAGTGTGATACAAGGTTCTGTTGACTTAGTGTGATACAAGGTTCTATTGACTTATTGTAACACAAGGTTCTGTGTAATACAAGGTTCTATTGACTTAGTGTAATACAAGGTTCTATTGACTTAGTGTAATACAAGGTTCTATTGACTTAGTGTGATACAAGGTTCTATGGGTTCTGTGTAATATAGGAATCTATAATACAGGGATTTTTTGGATTCAATATATTATAGAAATCTACTGTCTCAGTGTAATACAGTAATACAGCTGAGATCTATTGACTCAAGAGTAATACAGGAATATACTGACTCATGTAATTCAGGGTAATATTGACTCAGAGTAATACAGAACTATACTGACTCATGTAATACAGGGTAATATTGACTCAGAGTAATACAGGAATATATTGACTCAGAGTAATACAGGAATATACTGACTTAGAGTAATACAGAACTATACTGACTCATGTAATACAGGTAATATTGACTCAGATTATTACAGGAATATGCTGAATAATGTAATACAGGGGTCTATTGACTCAGTGAATTGAGCATATATTGACTCAGTTTCATACAGTTGGTGAAGAAACACACAAAATGTGAGTTATCAATACACTAGAGTAATGAAGAGACTTTCTGAATACTGGTAGTAGAATGGTGTACAATATTTATATATAACAATCATATTCTTCTAAGATGTAACAACATTGACTAAAAATAGAAAATTGCTGTCTTTTTTTTCAGCAATAGCCAGAATGTAAGCACCTGAAAATGTAAACTAGAAGATCTTAAGACATCAAAAAGTGTTACAGCAGTCACTGAAAAGAGATGGCAGTAACACCAGACATACACAGAGGTCAAGAATACAAAAGTCTAATACATAGGTCAAAGTAGACAGAGTTCAAACGATACCATGATGGTCAACATTCATACAGGTTATGTGAACTGCATTCTGTATAGAAAACTGAACGTTAAGGAATTAAAAAATGTCTAACTCAGAGAAACATGCAGTTTTCTCAGAAATGTATTTGTATTTCAATATTTGGCATTGAAATATGAATTCAATTTTAAGAAAACTTTTTCTGCACTTATGAATAAATTTTAACTGATGGTTGACTTTATTTAGGATAAATATTTTTATAAAAAAGAATTTCATGAGATATTGTCCTCAGCCATGACCTGAATATCTTTTTGGTGAACGATATACTAGTCAGTCTTGCATAGGAAAATTCAAATTTTTACAGCCAGTTAATCTTTCTAAGGTCAATGTAAAAATATTGAATGCTTACAATAATCACTTAAATAACTTTGAAATTTCAATATTCTTTCAAAGTATGGCATAATTTTCTTATTTTTTTCATTTTAATCCTTATCTGAATCAATTCAAATAGTAATATACTAAGTATTACTAGGTGTATAGATGTTTGTCGAAATTTTTTTGAAATTTTAATTTGTTCTAATTTAAGAAATCAAATTGTGATCAATATATCAATGTTTAAAGATGATTTATAAATGTCTGAAAACAAGACAGAAGAAACACACAACATCTGGAAATTATGGAAAATAGTAAAAGCATTCACAAGTTCTGTAGCTGAAGTCATTTTGTTTTCTTTTCTTTCAAGAAAGAAAATACAATACCAATATTTTATGATAAGATACTTCAAGTACAAAGAAAAGATAAAAATATTTCTTATTTTGAAAGTTTAGAACATGCAGCAGAAATTACTGACATCACTTTCCAAAACATTGATTTTCACTGATTAGACAATGGAATTCTGGATGAAAGTTATTTCATTATAAAAACATCATCCTACAACTTTCTTGATGTAGAGATTTTATTCAAGTTAAATTTGTGCTTAATAACCAATATCATTATCATGAGCTATCATCCATTAGTAAAAACTCAAAGAGCTATATAGATATATGAAATAAATAGTAAATTATCATCAAATAATATTGTAAATTAAAATCTACTAATGCTATCAAGTCATTTGAAACACAATTCTATCAGAAAACACACATATCAAACATTTCTAACACATGACACGAAATTGAGGAAATATACTAATGATAAACAAAGGTGTTTGTGGATACCTGGGAGGCAGCTCTCCTGCTTAACTATAGAGCATGCATGTCAAAAAAAAAGGTTCATTCAAAAACATGTCAACATTAACGCATCACATTTAAACAAGGACAAACATTATTCCAGACAGCACAAAACAAGTGTTGACATCACTGTTAAAAAAAAATGTAAAAAAAAATCGGTCAACAGACGTAAGGATAAGTTAAAATTGTAATTTCATACATGTGGGCAAAGCTACAGGTGATCTAAAATATGAATAAGTGTTGATTTAAATACAGGTGTTTACACAGTAGCTACGCATTAATCTGTAACACAAGCAAGGTTCAATACAAATGGATTTTCATATATATACATATATGGTAACAAATGGCTTATATATGTGGGAAACAATAAAAGGCTTCCAGGGATAGGCACTTCTAATGGTATAGCTGTTTCTCTGCACACATATAACTGTTTCTCTGTACACATATAACTGGGAGTGTTTATCACATACAATGTGGAAGATTTCATGTTTACATATACCTGTTGTAGATTTCAGAACATTCACAACTGTTGTAGATTTCAGAACATTCACAACTGTTGTAGATTTCAGAACATTCACAACTGTTGTAGATTTCAGAACATTCACAACTGTTGTAGATTTCACGATATTCACAACTGTTGTAGATTTCATGATATTCACGACTGTTGTAGGTTTAATGATATTCACAACTTTTGTAGGTTTCACGATATTCAAAACTGTTGTAGGTTTCACGATATTCACAACTGTTGTAGGTTTCGTGGTATTCAAAACTGTTGTAGGTTTCACGATATTCACAACTGTTGTAGGTTTCCTGGTATTCACAACTTTTGTAGCTTTAAAGATATTTACAACTGTTGTAGCTTCAATGATATTCACAACTTCAGTAGTTTTAATGATATTCACAACTTTTGTAAGTTTCATGATATTCACAACTGTTGCAGCTTTAAAAATATTCACAACAATTTTTATTTTAATACTGTATTAACATGTATATATGTAAAAACGTCTCTGTCAGCTTTAATTCACAGCACATTTTATGGATGGCTGTAAAATTAATTCAGATTTCAACATAACACATAAGTATCAAAACAAACTATTCTCAAGATAAAAATTGAAGACCAACCTGAATTTTATAAAACTGAATCAGATTAACTTTTCTACATTCTAGATCTTACAAACATTACCCACTGAAGGGTAACACACTTGGCTTTAAGAACATATCTAACAGCCATCTGTGTATAATCCTAATATATTTAAATTGTCAGATCATTTTATTCACTGAATTTGACTTACCGTATTTTTCAAATTTTGATTGTTAACACCAACAGCATGAACGTAAGTAAAGAAATAAAGTCAACCCTATAAGGCCATATGTATATATAGAAAAATATGTTTCTATAAAGACCAACGGTTTTTGGTCGTAATATGACACAGTTCATAGTCACTACACCTTTACAGAAAGGCCCCTCCATTTTGTGTTACAATGAGGTTGTCACAAGGGTCTTCAAGTCACTACACCTTTACAAGGGTCTCATAGGTACTACACCTTTACAGAAAGGTCACTCCATTCTGTGGTACAATGAGGTAGTCACAAGGGTCTCCTAGACACTACACCTTTACAGAAAGGCCACTCCATTTTGTGGTACAATGAGGTAGTTACAAGGGTCTCCTAGCCACTACACCTTTACAGAAAGGCCACTCCATTTTGTGGTACAATGAGGTAGTCACAAGGGTCTCCTAGCCACTATACCTTTACAGAAAGGCCACTCCATTTTGTGGTACAATGAGGTAGTCACAAGGGTCTCCTAGCCACTACACCTTTACAGAAAGGCCACTCCATTTTGTGGTACAATGAGGTAGTTACAAGGGTCTCCTAGCCACTATACCTTTACAGAAAGGCCACTCCATTTTGTGGTACAATGTGGTAGTCACAAGGGTCTCCTAGTCACTACACCTTTACAGAAAGGCCACTCCATTTTGTGGTACAATGAGGTAGTCACAAGGGTCTCCTAGCCACTATACCTTTACAGAAAAGCCACTCCATTTTGTGGTACAATGAGGTAGTCACAAGGGTCTCCTAGCCACTACACCTTTACAGAAAGGCCACTCCATTTTGTGGTACAATGTGGTAGTCACAAGGGTCTCCTAGTCACTACACTTTTACAGAAAGGCCACTCCATTTTGTGGTACAATGAGGTAGTCACAAGGGTCTCCTAGCCACTATACCTTTACAGAAAAGCCACTCCATTTTGTGGTACAATGAGGTAGTCACAAGGGTCTCCTAGCCACTACACCTTTACAGAAAGGCCACTCCATTTTGTGGTACAATGAGGTAGTCACAAGGGTCTCATAGTCACTACACCTTTACAGAAAGGCCCCTTCATTTTGTGGTACAATGCGGTAGTCACAAGGAGACCCCACTTAATGGTTCACTGAGCCACAAACCTATCAAAACAAGCCACTTTACTCTGTCTTCTATAGGTGGCCTTTATAGACAGGTTTGTCTGCACATGTATTATCGTAAACATCACAAACAAATAACTTGTCATACTCATCATGGTCACAAATTTAATTTCAAACAAAATGAATTTAGTTTTCTCTGGTTAAAAAATGTTTAACTGACAGTAATGCTCTTACCCCAAATAAAAATGCTGAAATATTGGTTTTAACCTAATGTAAATAACCCATAGGAAAAACAACCTATAATACTAGGCCAAAATGCTGGACACATTGATAAATAACTAGACTGAAATTCATGGTAAATTTTAGTGCTGAATCAACATGTAGTTAAAATCATCAATACATTTAGGGCCAAACATGCATATTAATTATTCAATCATAAAAAAGGTTGCCTAATTCTCTTTTCAAATGTAAAAAAATATCTGAAATTTTTGTGTACCTTAAACTCTCCCAAGGTCATTTGGAACAAGGTCATGATTGTGTCTCCAAGATTGTTGAAACCTTGACTGTCAGTGGCTCCTTGGAAGAGGAAGTAGAAAGCTAGAAATAATTGAAAAAAATGAATATAAGTGAAATGTAGATCTGCTAATTTTTCGACTAAAAAATGTTGTTTACAACACATTGAGGAATTCATCAACAAATTTTTGAAGAATATTAAACCATACTCTGATTTCTAAATTGACAATCACGATGTGTAAATGATTAGAAATAAAAGTCAGACATCAATAAATAAGACAGAATAGAACTGAGGTTATCTAATTCACAATATACTCAAAGTACATTTTATCTCTTTTTTCTGTAACTAATGGCCTTTTCATGTACATCTAAGTAATTAGAGTAAGTAGTCTACCTATTTACACTCTCTGTAAGATATTTTTTATTACGTCATTTGAACCAATCAAAAAGAACCAGTTGCCTGCATTCACATGATGTGTGTCACTTAATAATTTAGATAGCATCAATGATATTTGTGTTAACAATCATAAAGTTTAAAGCACCAGTATGATTTACTTTTAGGAGATTTTAAAGATCCTTTTTAAGTTCTTTGATTCCTGTATCAAATGACATTAAACATATTATCACATAAAAGAATTAAAGTTCAGTAGCAAGTGCAGGAAACATATTCTTAACAAATTAGACAAGACGATATCAACACAGCAACAGACAACCTGGTAGTATATCAGACCGTTGGTATTATCAAACATTGTGTCATTGTGTTGACTGGGATCCAAAACATGACAAAAACTTGCACCAATAAATGATGAATTGGGAAGAAGCTGTTCGTGTTGTCTTCACTCTGGACCGACATTCTAACCTTTTGAGGAGTCTGTATATTTTTTGTATCCACGGCAGTTCATAGAAGAATTAATATCATCGATTGTGGGATGTGATGCCTCCATCCCCTACGGTCTTGATTGTGTCAAAGTGTAATGATTCTTAAGATGTACAGTGTGACCTTTGACCTTTTACAATGACCTTGAATTAATTGCAATATACCTTTGCTTGTCACTTCATCACAATTTTAAAGGTATGACAAATACACCTGTAGAGTTTTAAAACTAAGTGAGTGGTCAATTAAAGCTTGGTCCACACATTTAAAATCCTGACTGTCTGATAGTAACCTATATTCATGGTGATTCATAATGTAATTTTATTGTATTAATTGTCAGATTATAAGCAGGCATGGACAATAACACTAAGATGATTTCTACAGCTTTAGATATAATCTATAGTTATACATACATATACACAAATGTTATTACAACAAGATACTGCAGAATATCCAGAAAAATACATTTAAAAGAATCTTCTGTACATAATTTTGAATTTGAATTATAAAATTTTTTTATTCTAATTCTGTATGAGGATCATAAAATAGAAATTAAACAAGATTTTTTATTTTCCTATCTTACCATGCATTGAATGTGTTTTTAATAAAACTTACCTTGACAAAAGGCTAAGAGAAATATTGTATATATGGCCCCAAATCTTACTAAGTCGCCTACGCACATTTTGTAGATCATGGTGACGAAGGGGCCGGTTAGTTTGACACTTCTGTAAATGATACACAGGGAACATGGAAAGTGATGTTAGAGAAGTGGAAAAATTGTTAACCAACACAAGCAACAGCTGTCAAAATTCCTGGTGAACATTTGAAATTCCAAATGACATTTATTAGTACATATAGGTAGGTTTAGGGGAAAGACATTTAAAGGCCTGTATATATAAAATAAATAATAAGACACTTCAACTTGATGAGCTTTTAACCAAGAAGTAGAAAAAAAACCACTTAAAATATTGCAATTTTGAGTAAAATTATACTTTTCAAAGCAAAAAAAATGCATTGAATAACTTGATAATTGATAAATTTATAATACAAATACTTTCTACATTTCATCAAGGCTGTTGACTGCCTTAACCCTTTCGGCACCAAATATCTCTCACAATGTACAGCTCAGTGCTAAATATCTCTCACAATGTACAACTCAGCGCCAAATATTATAAAAATATATATAATAAAGACATAAAAATTGTTGACCAAAGTCGCCTACAGTGGCCAGTCTGCATGTAGACTTTAGTCGCCTATGGCGCCGAAAGGGTTAAACCTCTGGCTTAGAAATATGTAAAATATATGGAACCTATAAGATCAAAGGGACACAACTCTCACCACTTTTATTCTGAAAATTATATTGGAAGTACATAGTTGCATCAGGTACTACAAAATGATGAACAAGAATGTTGGCAGCTGTACATGACATCGTAGAATGTTAGAGTCTTCCATCGACACAGTTAAAAAGAGTATATGGTAAACATGAAACAAAAAAGGCTTTACTGCATTTGACCTGCTATATCAGAGTACCTGCACAGGTTCTGATATCTCAAAATCGGTTCTCAAGGATTTTTCGAAATATTCTATTGAGTAGAATTTTATGTTGGTTTTCATGGACAAACTATGTCCCTTTTGTGTGGGCAAAACAATCAGTTTGATACAATATAACGGCTGAGAATTTACAAATATGTTTCAAAAATGTGCTCCACTTTGGTTAATGTAACTCATTTATCAGGTCAAACACAATCGAGACATTATATACATGTATTTATAAGGCTGCAGATGTAAATGTTATATACACAAATGGGGATATCACTGGATATTAGCCAATCACCAATCTGTGAAAATATGAAACTTTGGAGAGGTGTCAAAATTTAAACAGTTAAGAAATAGGACCTTTGGTTGCTGTCACAAAGACACATTCCTTAGTCTAACCCTGTACAACCAATCAGGATCTAGATCAACATTACTTCAACAAAAAGATAACTTCAGATAATTAAGTCATGAGACACTGTGCAAGTGACAGGTATGTTGGGGTTGATTTTTCACCTGATTTAATGGTCTGAAGAAACAAGAGTACGATAAAATCCCCTTAAACTGCTCTTTATCAAATTCATCCTACAATAAGCCCAGGGGGCCAGAAAATGACCTCAGACTCAAAAGTTAGGTAGTGGGTTTATTACAGGACAATGAAATAGCATTGGATGGTTATCCTGCCAAGCAGAAATATACATGGGAGAGCCAAGTTACTCACCTATTTCAATATAAATACAATATATAATATACTTAGTGTTGCTTGTCTATACAGTGCACTAGAATATCTTTCAGAAAAACAAAAAAGAAAAAACTTTTAAATTGGTAACTGGTTCCCTGCAATGAAACTATCCTTTTACAGTTGTTGTTTACAGTACGGATTTCTGGTGTGGTCCTGTGACAATTAAGAGGATGAGGATAGCAGGTAAGGACAGCTTATGTTTAATACAGTGTTGGGGAGATCTTAGTGAAATCACCACTTGTGGGCATACCTATGGAGAATTGGACAATAAATATTGTATAGATTGAACCAAATCGGACGAAATCGGTGGCAAGCATCTTATATGTCATGACAATCATTGGTCCTGTTATAAGATAGCCCCTGAAATCATAACAAATCAGAGAGTCTTCATATCAATCGATTGGACTATTCCTAAATGAAGAATTAATTTCATACAAAGTGATCACATGAGTACCATCTTCGATTTCTTTATGATGATAATATATTATAATCACCAAAAGAACATTTTTGAAAATTTTCTTAAAATCGAAATAACTGCATAATTATAATGAATATATATATATGTTGCTAAATGGTGGGTACATAACCTTCACTAATATACTCTGAAAAAAAATTCTTATTTTTAAAATTCTTTAAAAAGTCTTTTTCTATCTTTTTTTTTGTTTCGTTTTATAGATGAATGTCTACTTCCTTAATAGGCAATCTTCTGAAAAATAACAAACTTTGATGTAATAGACTTAATATCTTAAGTGATTTTAAATAGGATTCAAGGCCTAAAATAGTAACCACAAAATTAGCAAGCTAGAATGGAAAATAAATTTTACAAAAGATAAACAAGTTTCCATTTTCAATCAAAATATAATAGACTAGACTTAAAAAGAAATGAATGATTAAAAATGCTGACCTTGCAAAAAAAAGGAGGAAGAACCATGATCCGGGGACAGCGATGATGAGTAAAATATCTTCTACCATCTCCTGCTTGGTGAAGCGAACTGGGATACACAGTAGGATGAGGATACACGATATCATAAACAGGGTTTGGGCCGGAGCATGTTGCTGCAAGTAATTAAAAATGTATGTAAACACAGAGTGATACATGTAAAGATATCTCACACTACCTCCAATTACTGTGTCATGTTTCTAAATGCAATCAAACTCAGTGGCACCATGGGAAAACTTCAAAATAACTGAGTATTCGATTTAAGTGAATTTAAATATCTTGTGTAAAGGTAGGCAGAGTCAGATGAAATGCATCACATTAAACAGGGTCTTTGAGTAGTACAAGTTTGTGATGATAACAAGGTTCAACTGAATGTCAGTAGACTTGGTATAAGTTGTTCCAGACACCACTAACTTAATATAAGAATGACAGGCATGGATCTATGGCTGGATGATGATGCGGAAATATTTTGAATAAGAGACTTGGAGATATAATGTAAAATAATGTTGGCAGGATCATTTACTGAGAATGAATGTGGCAGAGTTTTATATCATATATTTACAACTGTATATTTTGTTATTTGTGAGAATGATGATGGTATTTCTATTGGGAACAAATCAGATTTAATATCAAATTTGACTCAATTTCTGCCATCAAAACATTCCTCCATATTTTTGCAATGAATTAATTGAATTAATTTCACTAATATTTAAGTAGGATGAAACATGAGAGTTATGTATAATCACATGTTTTGCCTATCCAGCTTTGCAAGTATTGTAAATTTTCAAACAAAATGCAAAAAAACAATAAAATTCATGTTTCCCTATCCCTGAAATACACTATTTCCAAGTTAATATTGATCACTAATATGTAAACACCATAGATGTGTTATTGTCATGTTTAAATATTGGAACATAGTAAATAATGGAACGAAAATTTTGTAAATCTTAAATTCTCAAAATTCACTCAAATCTGAAACTTTACCCCAAAAATATCACTTATCCCGAGAAGGGAGGGAAAAGCTGGCCTGATATTTTACATTGTTTGTTGTAATACGACTATAAACTAAACCAGAAAAGAACAAGCCATATTAGGACTTTGTAAATATTCCTTCAAATCAAAGTTGATGAATATCACAAAAACACATAAAATTTTTTTTAAAAATTCACAGATCTATTTGGTTGGTTTAGATTTCCATGTAACTGCAGAGCACTTCTACTTCAAAAGAAACTGAGCTATACACAAAACTTTCAAGTCCAGATGACTGTAAAATCAATGCATTGAGGATCCTTCTTTCTGATTTACATATACCTAATGAAACAAATATAGTGTAGTTTAGTTTATTACCAGTGCAGGATCTTGTTACGATCCTCTATACCGGTCTCAGTGATACAATGATAATGTTTATAATTAATGTCATTTGAGATCCAGGAACTTCAGAATTTCTGCTTTATAATTATATACCAGTTCTTGATTTGCCCAGTGTTCATCTAATCTATTTTTGAAAGAGTTATAGCTGTTGAAGTTAGTAGGATTGGTATAATTCTTTCAGCAAATTTAAATGTAAATGAAAAACTATAAAGTGTGCCCACACCACTGGAAAATTCAGATCCTGATCTGGTTTTCATAGGTTTTTGTCACAGGACAGACAAAAAAAGATTCTCAATTTTGTTAAACATCATTCTATTAAATAATTCCAACAGATGTTACTCTAGCACTTGAGGTGTAAATCCTCTTATGAAAATGTAACATGGAATATTCTAGCAACACAAGCACCACAATATTTACCACATAGGATTTCTAAAATACAGAAATTATAATTAAGTTTTTAGTAAACAATAGTTAATTTCTATATCAAGAGCACATTTAAAAAAGCATCAATGTTTACCTGTACATATTAAGAACAAAGTTTATACATATAGGTGTCAATAATGTTTTCCCTTTTTCTATAATGATTTAGAAACAGAAAATGATTCCTAAAGTATTTAAGCCAAATGAAAATATGAGTTAGAGAAAATGATTTTCAGTTATGCATGACCTTGATCTTTGACCTACAATTGCATGACCTCAGTATATCACACACACCATTAATCTATACAAATGTCAACAAAGGTTGCTGTGCATGTAATGTATATGACCTTTGACCTACAGAGTGTCGTCAATGCAGTATTACCTTCTCCAATTTGAATAAGGGATAAACGCATAATTTGTTGTAGAACATTTTAAGAGCTTCAAGGTTAACTTCATAAAGCTATACACATTTTCCCTCCATCAAATTCTACTTATAATTCTTGAATCTATTTTCTAATTGTACATTAAATTGAATTTTTTTATTACAATTATGAAATTATATTGAAAATAATCAGATCACTTTTCATCAAAATGAACAGATGACAAACACAAAATCAGAATATTTTAAGAATTGAATAAAACTCTTTTTAATTATGTACTTACAAGATTTTTTAAGAAGCCTAAGATTCCCTGTGAGCCGATTTCCACCACTTCCATTGCCAGGATGAGAATACAGCCAAGAATGACGAGGAGTTCACACACAAAGCGGGCCTGTACCAAACAAAGATTTACACATCAACAGTGTCATTCTTAAAGCTATAGTGATAAAGTATTACAAACTCTTAAAATATAAGTATTACAATTATATATAGGAAGGAGGCAGGGTGTAAACTATGTAGAAGATTAGAGAGGTGGGCTTCTTACAAGACAATATGGTCAATACTGAAAAAGAAACAAAAATACAAAAAAATCTGTCTTTACAAAAATAGCAATATCATTTGTCAAAAAAAGAGGTCATTGCATCAGTCATAAAAAGTACTTACATTTGTCAAACCAGGTATAGGCTCATCACTGAGTGTAACAACAGCTACAGAAATATATTGTAGTCACTTCAGTTAAGTGGTGATCAGTATATATATATATATAGAATGCTACCTGATCAATTTTCCAAGTATCGTACTATTTCTGACTTACAGCATCTTTTGGCTCGTTGTAGGCGAGAAAGTCAGTTGACGGACGAGTGTATACTGCTCCACTGATCAACGCCAGATGTACAAAAGCCAGAACTAATCGTTGGAAGAAGCGTCTCTGTAACAAAAATCAGCACATTTACGTTACAAGTCAATTCAATTTTTACAAATACTTTCCCAATTTTTTTTTAACAGTCAAATTTTGATAAGGACACAACTCTTCACTGGATGATAAATGACTATAAAAAGGAAGAAGAAAAAAAGAATTGACAGGATATTTAACATCATGACTGTGTTTCCTAACAAATGATTATGATTCTGAAAATCTGAACTTACATGATTTACAGCATCTGATATTTTAACATCAGATTAATATTCGTTAAATGTTTTGTTGTAGCATTAAAAACGCAAATTAGTTACCCCTAATTCGAACAACTGCACATTATCTAGTCAAATATCTTTTCTACAGAATAAAAGGATATAAATGGTAATATGATAGTGTGCTTATGTTAGAAATAGTACATAAATTAAAAATAACAAGAAAGTTATTGTGGATCCTTATATTAATATGAGAAAGATATCCTTTAATAACAAATTTGATACACAAACTGAAAGAAAAATGGATTAGTTCAGTCAATATAACTGAAGGAAAACTGTCTGGACATTAAAAAAAATCAGAGATAAACACTTTCATTTTCATTATTAATAGAATGTGGCAGGAAAACCATGATAGCGATCAGATTTCTTTTTACGGCAACTATTACTATAAATAGAAGTCTTTGAACCATGAAGAAAACAGCATAAGGTAAATCTTTCACTATCTTCTCTGAAATCTATGTAGCATGTTGACAGTTTTATCATCACAGCTCATTAACCATGTTGTTTTTCTTAACAAGTGTTTCCTACGGGATTTTGCCCAACAGGGTACTGCCCTACAGAAAAGAAAATGTTTCCTACAGGATCCTGTCCTACAGAAAATAGAATGTTTCCTACAGGATCCTGCCCTAAAGACTACAGAATGTTTCCTACAGGATCCTGTCCTACACAAAATAGAATGTTTCCTACAGGATCCTGTCCTACACAAAATAGAATGTTTCCTACAGGATCCTGCCCTACAGAAAATAGAATGTTTCCTACAGGATCCTGCCCTACAGAAAATAGAATGTTTCCTACAGGATCCTGCCCTAAAGACTACAGAATGTTTCCTACAGGATCCTGTCCTACACAAAATAGAATGTTTCCTACAGGATCCTGCCCTACAGAAAATAGAATGTTTCCTACAGGATCCTGCCCTAAAGACTACAGAATGTTTCCTACAGGATCCTGCCCTAAAGATTACAGAATGTTTCCTACAGGATCCTGCCCTAAAGATTACAGAATGTTTCCTACAGGATCCTGCCCTACAGAAAGCAGAATGTTTCCTACATGACCCTGCCCTAAAGATTACAGAATGTTTCCTACATGATCCTGCCCTAAAGATTACAGAATGTTTCCTACAGGATCCTGCCCTAAAGACTACAGAATGTTTCCTACAGGATCCTGCCCTACAGAAAGCAGAATGTTTCCTACAGGATCCTGCCCTACAGAAAGTAGAATGTTTCCTACAGGATCCTGCCCTAAAGACTACAGAATGTTTCCTACAGGATCCTGCCCTACAGAAAACAGAATGTTTCCTACAGGATCCTGCCCTAAAGAATACAGAATGTTTCCTACAGGATCCTGCCCTACAGAAAACAGAAATGTTTCCTACAGGATCCTGCCCTAAAGATTACAGAATGTTTCCTACAGGATCCTGCCCTACAGAAAGTAGAATGTTTCCTACAGGATCCTGCCCTAAAGACTACAGAATGTTTCCTACAGGATCCTGCCCTACAGAAAACAGAATGTTTCCTACAGGATCCTGCCCTACAGAAAACAGAATGTTTCCTACAGGATCCTGCCCTACAGAAAATAAAACGTTTCCTACAGGATCCTGCCCTACAGAAAACAGAATGTTTCCTACAGGATCCTGCCCTAAAGATTACAGAATGTTTCCTACAGGATCCTGCCCTAAAGATTACAGAATGTTTCCTACAGGATCCTGCCCTACAGAAAACAGAATGTTTCCTACAGGATCCTGCCCTACAGAAAACAGAATGTTTCCTGTAGGTTCCTGCCCTAAATATTACAAATTGTTTCCTACAGGATCCTGCCCTACAGAAAACAGAATGTTTCCTACAGGATCCTGCCCTACAGAAAACAGAATGTTTCCTACAGGATCCTGCCCTACAGAAAATAGAATGTTTCCTACAGGATCCTGCCCTACAGAAAACAGAATGTTTCCTACAGGATCCTGCCCCACAGAAAACAGAATGTTTCCTGTAGGTTCCTGCCCTAAATATTACAAATTGTTTCCTAAAGGTCCTGCCCTAAAGATTACAGAATGTTTCCTACAGGATCCTGCCCTAAAGACTACAGAATGTTTCCTACAGGATCCTGCCCTACAGAAAACAGAAAACAGAATGTTTCCTGTACTACAGAATGTTTCCTACAGGATCCTGACCTACAGACTACAGAATGTTTCCTACAGGATCCTGCCCTAAAGAAATACAGAATGTTTCCTACAGGATCCTGCCCTAAAGAAACAGAATGTTTCCTACAGGATGCCCTACAGAAACAGAATGTTTCCTACAGGATCCTGCCCTACAGAAAGCAGAATGTTTCCTTTCCTACAGGATCCTGCCCTACAGAAAATAGAATGTTTCCTACAGGATCCTGCCCTAAAGACTACAGAATGTTTCCTACAGGATCCTGTCCTACACAAAATAGAATGTTTCCTACAGGATCCTGCCCTAAAGACTACAGAATGTTTCCTACAGGATCCTGCCCTAAAGACTACAGAATGTTTCCTACATGATCCTGCCCTAAAGATTGAAGAATGTTTCCTACATGACCCTGCCCTAAAGATTACAGAATGTTTCCTACAGGATCCTGCCCTAAAGACTACAGAATGTTTCCTACATGATCCTGCCCTAAAGATTGAAGAATGTTTCCTGCCCTACAGATCCTGCCCTACAGAAAAGAATGTTTCCTACAGGATCCTGCCCTAAAGAAACAGAATGTTTCCTACAGGATCCTGCCCTACAGAAAATAAAACGTTTCCTACATGATCCTGCCCTACAGAAAACAGAATGTTTCCTACAGGATCCTGCCCTAAAGACTACAGAATGTTTCCTACAGGATCCTGCCTAAAGACTACAGAATGTTTCCTACATGATCCTGCCTAAAGACTACAGAATGTTTCCTACATGATCCTGCCCTAAAGATTACAGAATGTTTCCTACAGGATCCTGCCCTAAAGATTACAGAATGTTTCCTACATGATCCTGCCCTACAGAAAGCAGAATGTTTCCTACAGGATCCTGCCCTACAGAAAGCAGAGAATGTTTCCTACATGATCCTGCCCTAAAGACTACAGAATGTTTCCTACAGGATCCTGCCCTAAAGACTACAGAATGTTTCCTACATGATCCTGCCCTAAAGACTACAGAATGTTTCCTACATGATCCTGCCCTACAGAAAGCAGAATGTTTCCTACATGATCCTGCCCTAAAGACTACAGAATGTTTCCTACATGATCCTGCCCTAAAGATCCTGCCCTACAGAATGTTTCCTACAGTTTCCTACATGATCCTGCCCTAAAGATTACAGAATATTTCCTACAGGATCCTGCCCTACAGAGAGCAGAATGTTTCCTACATGATCCTGCCCTACAGAAAGCAGAATGTTTCCTACAGGATCCTGCCCTAAAGACTACAGAATGTTTCCTACAGGATCCTGCCCTACAGAAAACAGAATGTTTCCTACAGGATCCTGCCCTACAGAAAATAGAATGTTTCCTACATGATCCTGCCCTAAAGATTACAGAATGTTTCCTACATGATCCTGCCCTACAGAAAGCAGAATGTTTCCTACAGGATCCTGCCCTAAAGATTACAGAATGTTTCCTACATGATCCTGCCCTAAAGATTACAGAATGTTTCCTACAGGATCCTGCCCTATGTTTCCTACATGATCCTGCCCTACAGAAAGCAGAATGTTTCCTACAGGATCCTGCCCTAAAGAAACAGAATGTTTCCTACAGGATCCTGCCCTAAAGATTACAGAATGTTTCAGAATGTTTCCTACAGGATGCCCTAAAGATCCCTACAGCCTGCCCTACAGAAAGCAGAATGTTTCCTACAGGATCCTGCCCTAGAAAACAGAATGTTTCCTGTACAAATTGTTTCCTACAGGATCCTGCCCTACAGAAAACAGAATGTTTCCTACAGGATCCTGCCCTAAAGATTACAGAATGTTTCCTACAGGATCCTGCCCTAAAGATTACAGAATGTTTCCTACAGGATCCTGCCCTAAAGACTACAGAATGTTTCCTACAGGATCCTGCCCTACAGAAAGCAGAATGTTTCCTGTAGGTTCCTGCCCTAAATATTACAAATTGTTTCCTACAGGATCCTGCCCTAAAGAAAACAGAATGTTTCCTACAGGATCCTGCCCTACAGAAAGCAGAATGTGTCCTACCTGATCCTGCCCTAAAGATTACAGAATGTTTCCTACAGGATCCTGCCCTAAAGATTACAGAATGTTTCCTACAGGATCCTGCCCTACAGAAAACAGAATGTTTCCTACAGGATCCTGCCCTACAGAAAATAGAATGTTTCCTACATGATCCTGCCCTACAGAAAATAGAATGTTTCCTACAGGATCCTGCCCTACAGAAAACAGAATGTTTCCTACAGGATCCTGCCCTACAGAAAACAGAATGTTTCCTACAGGATCCTGCCCTACAGAAAGCAGAATGTTTCCTACATGATCCTGCCCTAAGAGATCCTGCCCTAAAGACAGACCTACAGGATCCTGCCCTACAGAATGATCCTGCCCTACAGAAAGCAGAATGTTTCCTACATGATCCTGCCCTAAAGACTACAGAATGTTTCCTACATGATCCTGCCCTAAAGATTACAGAATGTTTCCTACATGATCCTGCCCTACAGAAAGCAGAATGTTTCCTACATGATCCTGCCCTAAAGACTACAGAATGTTTCCTACAGGATCCTGCCCTACAGAAAGCAGAATGTTTCCTACATGATCCTGCCCTAAAGACTACAGAATGTTTCCTACAGGATCCTGTCCTACAGAAAATAGAATGTTTCCTACAGGATCCTGCCCTAAAGATTACAGAATGTTTCCTACATGATCCTGCCCTACAGAAAGCAGAATGTTTCCTACATGATCCTGCCCTAAAGATTACAGAATGTTTCCTACAGGATCCTGCCCTACAGAAAGCAGAATGTTTCCTACATGATCCTGCCCTAAAGATTACAGAATGTTTCCTACATGATCCTGCCCTAAAGATTACAGAATGTTTCCTACATGATCCTGCCCTAAAGACTACAGAATGTTTCCTACATGATCCTGCCCTAAAGACTACAGAATGTTTCCTACATGATCCTGCCCTAAAGATTACAGAATGTTTCCTACATGATCCTGCCCTAAAGACTACAGAATGTTTCCTACATGATCCTGCCCTAAAGATTACAGAATGTTTCCTACAGGATCCTGCCCTACAGAAAGCAGAATGTTTCCTACATGATCCTGCCCTAAAGACTACAGAATGTTTCCTACATGATCCTGCCCTAAAGATTGAAGAATGTTTCCTACATGATCCTGCCCTAAAGACTACAGAATGTTTCCTACATGATCCTGCCCTAAAGATTACAGAATGTTTCCTACAGGATCCTGCCCTAAAGATTACAGAATGTTTCCTACAGGATCCTGCCCTACAGAAAGCAGAATGTTTCCTACATGATCCTGCCCTAAAGACTACAGAATGTTTCCTACATGATCCTGCCCTAAAGACTACAGAATGTTTCCTACAGGATCCTGCCCTAAAGACTACAGAATGTTTCCTACAGGATCCTGCCCTAAAGAAAGCAGAATGTTTCCTACATGATCCTGCCCTAAAGACTACAGAATGTTTCCTACAGGATCCTGCCCTAAAGACTACAGAATGTTTCCTACAGGATCCTGCCCTACAGAAAGCAGAATGTTTCCTACAGGATCCTGCCCTACAGAAAGCAGAATGTTTCCTACAGGATCCTGCCCTAAAGACTACAGAATGTTTCCTACAGGATCCTGCCCTAAAGACTACAGAATGTTTCCTACATGATCCTGCCCTAAAGACTACAGAATGTTTCCTACATGATCCTGCCCTACAGAAAGCAGAATGTTTCCTACATGATCCTGCCCTACAGAAAGCAGAATGTTTCCTACATGATCCTGCCCTACAGAAAGCAGAATGTTTCCTACAGGATCCTGCCCTACAGAAAGCAGAATGTTTCCTACATGATCCTGCCCTAAAGACTACAGAATGTTTCCTACATGATCCTGCCCTAAAGACTACAGAATGTTTCCTACATGATCCTGCCCTAAAGACTACAGAATGTTTCCTACAGGATCCTGCCCTACAGAAAGCAGAATGTTTCCTACATGATCCTGCCCTACAGAAAGCAGAATGTTTCCTACATGATCCTGCCCTACAGAAAGCAGAATGTTTCCTACATGATCCTGCCCTAAAGACTACAGAATGTTTCCTACATGATCCTGCCCTAAAGACTACAGAATGTTTCCTACAGGATCCTGCCCTAAAGAAAACAGAATGTTTCCTACAGGATCCTGCCCTACAGAAATCAGAATGTTTCCTACATGATCCTGCCCTAAAGACTACAGAATGTTTCCTACATGACCCTGCCCTAAAGATTACAGAATGTTTCCTACATGATCCTGCCCTAAAGACTACAGAATGTTTCCTACATGACCCTGCCCTAAAGATTACAGAATGTTTCCTACATGATCCTGCCCTTAAGATTACAGAATGGTTGTCCAGAAGTGTAAAGCATTTTATTGTGTCAATGAGTGATGATGTATGGAATGTCACTTTCATCTCATGAGTGCTCTTTTATCGCAATTATTATAGCTCGAAGGACCTTTTATTACAACCCAGGGTTCTTATGTACAGTTTCAGGATTTTACAACACTAGTGTTGCTTATATAGGATAAATTGGTACATATGAACTGATTCTATATCAATGAATTCCAATGTTCACCTCTGATTTTGGAAAAGTTAAAATCATTCATAAAGTTAAATAAAATGAAATGCAAAATTAAATGAAACAGTTGAGAACCCCTTCAGGAGATCAATAAAAGGGAGGTAACTCTCTACAAATACTTTGTTTGCTGTGCATGTGGGTAATTGATTTGTTTATAGGGTAATGAACCAAATAAATTTTATTTACAAAATTATTTTTAAAAAAAAAATTATTACAAATTTTAGAAGTCTACACAACTGAATAAATCATCCAAACAATTATAAATGTCTGCAAAATGATATTCACAAGATACATGGAGTATTCTCCCTTTTATTATATACTTCATCTTCCAGACTTACTCTGGCAAATCTTTCCCATTTCTCATCCAGAAGTTGTCTCATCACCCCGCCCTCCAACATATCCAGGTGTTCATCTCTGTCCCCATTGATGATTATCATCAAAGCAGAATTCCAATCTAACAAAGCAATAAATTATCACAAAATGAAAAAAAAATGAAAGCACGCTTTAAAGAATTTTTTACAATAATACATTGTTATTGAATATACTATTTGCTTAAATTAAGATAAGATACTTTTTGTATTCACACAAATTATTGATTTGAAAAAAATGAAGGTCATGAAAAAGCACCAGTGTCTAAAATGCTCCCAAATAGTATACAATGACACCTGTCTAAACTGACTCCGAAGTTTTCTGATATTATCGAACATCACACTGATTTAAATGAAAATTCACAAATTCTACCAAATACCTGTCTAATCTGTTCAATATACAGTACTGAGTGATATCATAAAGATTTCACTGTACAGTGTAATACTTACTGGTTTCTCCTTTTGGACCAATGGAGTCAAGTGCTGTAATACTTACTGGTTTCTCCTTTTGGACCAATGGAGTCAAGTGCCAATAATGGGTAGGCTGAACAGGTGATGTTGCTGTACCTCCAGAATTCCTGTCAACATCAAGAATCATGTCTTTTATTATTTACTGAATGACTGAAATTTTCTGCCAAAAGTAATACTTCACACATTTAGAATTCTTTATTCTATTCTCATTCAAAATCACCTGTGTGTTTTTTTTTACTTTTTTTTTTACCATAATTAATTTTGCATATGTCATGACTGGATTATTCCATTTAAATCAAACAGCATATCATTTAGATTTTTAATATAAAAAAAGTAAAACACCTGAGCTACTTGTTTTTTTGTTACAATATTGATCTAAAGTCTTGCTTACTAAGGTATATGGGTATATATAAAAAACTACAGTAATTGGAAATAAATATATTTATAATGATAGCGCGTCAATGTACTAATGGCACAATAGAATACTCAGGATCCGGGTAGAATCATGACAGTTACCTTGAGTAAATATTGATATTTCTATTGAACCTAGAGCTCTTCTCCTGCCAGATCTAAACAGGCCTAGTTAAAATCTATCACGCATATAAACGTATTTTCCTTTTGAAAATAGAGAAATAATAATGTAGAATTAATTAATAAGAAATAAAACTTGTGTAAAGTGAGGTCAAATGATGTCAGCAGTTCTTCTATTGACCTGTCGTGCATGTTCCTCAAGTATGTGATATTTAAAAAAGTTAAGAAGCCAATTAAAATTTTGAATCCCATTTCCCTTGTGAGAGCATGTCTTGGTAAATGATATTTACATATCAACTGTCTCAAAGTTGAGTCATTTTTAATAGCAGCATATAATACCATATACATGTACTTAAAAAACTGTCCTAACACAAGTTTCAGGAGACCAAATCTACAATTACAGTGTCTCGGTTACTAACTGTACAGCTAAGTATAGTTATGGTATCATATATCCGTATTCTTCCTGCTGGAGTAAACGACAATGTGAAAAGAATTCTCTTTTCTTCAGAACTGTATAGACAAGAAGGAAGTTAAATGTGAGTAAAACTTTACAGAAATTGTCTCTTGGTCTTTGCCTAATTTATAATGTTTTCATCAAGGTGGAAACAATGCTGATAGAAAAACACAATGTCTGGAAAATGTTGAACTGACATACAGAAAAAATAAAAAAATATCTGTAGAATGTATTTCAATAGGTTAATGTTTCATATTTGACATGATTATACAACAAGTTCTAAAAAGAGTCATGTGTTTTTCTCTGTCAACACTTCCTGATACTGTTGTCTGCAAGAGTTGTTTGACCTGAATCACTCATGATCAGGCATTTAGACCCAGCAACTATTTAAAATTTGTGTCAAATCATTCAGATGAATATTGATATTGAAGACCTGTCTGTACAATACATAGGTACTTGTTACTGATCTGACTCAAGTTCAATTTATCACTGTATCACTGATGTTGTTTTTACTAAAACATCACTCATCCTTTTCTTAGGACTTTTCCTTATTTAGTGAATATTTTAACTTTATTATTCAAAATTTCATTGAAATAAAATTCAAAGATAAAATTAAAGTTTACACTATTACAGCAATGCTTTAACAGGATTGTTTGGCAATGCTTTAACAGGATTGTTCGGCAACGCTTAAACAGAATTGTTCGGCAACGCTTTAACAGGATTGTTCGGCAATGCTTTAACAGGATTGTTCGGCAACGCTTTAAACAGGATTGTTCGGCAACGCTTAAACAGGATTGTTCGGCAACGCTTAAACATGATTGTTCGGCAATGCTTTAACAGGATTGTTCGGCAATGCTTTAACAGGATTGTTCGGCAACGCTTTAAACAGGATTGTTCGGCAATGCTTTAAACAGGATTGTTCGGCAATGCTTTAACAGGATTGTTCAGCAATGCTTTAAACAGGATTGTTCGGCAATGCTTTAAACAGGATTGTTCGGCAATGCTTTAACAGGATTGTTCAGCAATGCTTTAACAGGATTGTTCAGCAATGCTTTAACAGGATTGTTCGGCAATGCTTTAACAGGATTGTACAAAAGACACACAAGTGAACAGCAGCTTTCTATAAAAAAATTGAACTTGATACAGCAGAGCTAAAAAATGAATTGAACTACAACATGCAACTGTTTCAATCCTTCTGGTACTCATCAGTGATGCTAAGGGCCTACATTTTAAAACTTCAGGGAGGCACCTGCAGGAAAATCAAATCTGATCAAATACCCCCAAGGTAAATCAGATGCCTATGGGGAGGTGAACTGGCCCAATGATTTAATAAATTTTGTACTTGCATATTTTGTGTATATTGTGAACAATTCTACCATTCAAATATAAACTACAATGTGCCATACAGGTTATAAAACTTTATATATTCCAAGATACAAACATCAAACATGTAATAACACTTACAAGTGATTACTATAATAATTATGTTTTTTCTATTTTTGTTGACTGTTTTTATAATCTTAATGGACTTACAACAGAATGAGTAAGTCTGTTAATTCTAAATAAAGAATATAAATTTTGTCATCATTTGAGTATTAAGAATACATATTGACTTTTGTATAGCATTGGTGTGGAAATCACACAGACTTCCATCAAAACCCTCCATCCCAGAATCTGACCCATCCAGCAATATGGCTAACAGGAAAAAGTAATCCCACAAACAAACAAAAGGTCTATTTTCTAAACCATAATTCAAAACATCATGTTGTAAATAATATGCTACAACTGAATGTGTGTTTTCAGACCGTAATAATAAAAGGTGTGTTTAGAACAACACCAGCTGACAAGTCATTTAATTCCTTTGGTGATATGTTGAAGTGATCTTCAACATGCATGGGCTTGCTGATCCATGAAGACCTATTTTGATTGACAAAAAGGAACCCGACCATTTTGTAAACATCTAGTTTATTCGTGTGATAGTGAAATGTAATTAATCAAAGCCTGTTTGGTTGTATCACACTTCCTTTCAGAGCAGTCATTCCATTTAGGTAGTAAAAATGACTGAAAGCTTTTGATCGCAATGAAATCATGGTGATGTTATTCTTAATCAATGTCTCAATGGTTCAGATGTACTTCATTATCTTAATTTTCTTCTCCTTCTCTACAGATAGACAAGTTCCTAGAACAGATGTGTACTGTTACCTTTCTCTGTAAAATGTATATTGTTGTCTGTTTGAACAGATGTCTGTACAAATGTATACTGATGCCTGTCGGTACAGATGTCTGTCGGTACAGGTGTACACTGTTTTCTGTCTGTACAGATGTACATTGCTGTCTGTCTGTATATATGTACATTGTAGTCTGTCTGTATAGATGTACACTGTAGTCTGTCTGTACAGATGTACAGTGTAGTCTGTCTGTACAGGTGTATACTGTTGTCTGTCTGTATGGATGTACACTGTAGTCTGTCTGGACAGATGTAAACTGTTGTCTTAACAATTAAAATCTTTCCCTGTATGTACACCTTACCTCTTGTGCACTTTTCTCAGGACTTTTCTTTACTTATCCTATCAAGAATATGTAGAAATTCCCTGCTTTTAAGAAAACAATTTGGATCCATTTCTACAAAGAACATCTGAAAAATGCACTTTAATATCATTTTAACAGCAAAGCTTTTAAAGTTAAGATTTATCTAGAACAGGGTCCCATGGAGTTATTGATTAAACATTACATTTGACCAAGTTTTGCCTTTAACTTGACCAAATGGAAATTGGCCCATCTGTGATAAGTGTTGGTTAGAGGATCAATAAGGTTATGGCCTGGCGCTGAAGCTAATATTCCATCCAATAGAAAATTACATTAATAGCCTGTACACCTGACAACTAATTAACAGGTAAAAAGGACATCCTGGACCTGGCAGGGACAGGGCGTATCAACTTTTATCTAGTAATCACCATGACACCTTACAATTAAATGACTAAATTCCACAGTTAGGGGAATGCAACAGAAGAAATATCATTGTCAAGGCTAAAAGAATGATCAAAAATGGTATTTTTGAAATCCAAATGTAAAATTTGTCATTGAAATACCTTCTCTAAAAGACTTTTTCATGCACTGCTTTGTGACTTATGATACTTCAAAACAGTAATGTAAAAGTAACTTTAGGCTGTAACTTTTTTCAAATGATGAAAAGGAAACTACATTGCAGCATAAGGGAAAACTGACCAACATTGGGTGATATTCTTCAAAGACAGGTGTAAAACTAGTAATATGACAGATTCTTAACACAGGTGTAAACCTGGAAATATTACAGAATTTTTAAAACAGGTGTAAACCTAGCATTATGACTGCTTTTCAAGACAGGTGTAAATCTAGTAATATGAGTTTTTTAAGACATGTGTAAACCTAGCACAATGACAGTTTTTCAACACAGGTGTAAACCTGGTAATAAGACAGATTCTTAAGACAGGTGTAAACCTAGCAATATTACAGGTTTTTAAACAGGTGTAAACCTAGCAATATAACAGGTTTTTAAGACAGGTGTAAACCTAGCAATATTACAGGTTTTTAAGACAGGTGTAAACCTAGCAATATTACAGGTTTTTAAGACAGGTGTAAACCTAGCAATATTACAGGTTTTTAAGACATGTGTAAATCTAGCAATATTACAGGTTTTTAAGACAGGTGTTAACCTAGCAATATTACAGGTTTTTAAGACATGTGTAAATCTAGCAATATTACAGTGCTTTAAGACAGGTGTAAACCTAGCAATATGACATTTTTTTAAGACAGGTGTAAACCTAGCAATATAACAGGTTTTTAAGACATGTGTAAATCTAGCAATATTACAGTGCTTTAAGACAGGTGTAAACCTAGCAATATGACATTTTTTTTAAGACAGGTGTAAACCTAGCAATATAACAGGTTTTTAAGACAGGTGTAAACCTAGCAATATAACAGGTTTTTAAGACAGGTGTAAACCCAGCAATATAACAGGTTTTTAAGACAGGTGTAAACCTAGCAATATAACAGGTTTTTAAGACAGGTGTAAACTTAGCAATATTACAGGTTTTTAAGACAGGTGTAAACCTAGCAATATTACAGTGCTTTAAGACAGGTGTAAATCTAGTAATATGACTTGCATCTACAGGTATAAAGACATAAAGGAATATACTAACATGACCTCACTACTGATCCAATCTGCCCTAAAGCTGACGCTCTCCCCTAGACAAGGTCTACAGTCTATGTGAAACCTTATCACTGAGGACATTATGATGAATACGGCTAGGTATAAAATCAATATATCCTGATTCCTAGTATCAGTGTTTATTTCACAATTTATCCACCATTGGTTAATAAATTCAAAATTTCTTTACTGTAAAGTGCTATAAATTTGTAATTAACGAAATACCTGAAGCATTCAATGCCAAATAAAACCCGACACATTCATGTCCCAGACAGCCTTGATAAAAAAAGGCTGCAATATGAGTCATTTGTAAGGCTTCTTAACACTTTTTAAGGCTGGCAGCCAAAACACCATATAAACTGTTAACAACGGACAAGAGTGTCTATGTTGCATCAACAAGGCAATCAATCTGTGTTGTGTTATATAACTCCTTGCGGGACCATGTTTACTAGATGTCGCCAAAACAATGACGTTCGTCTGTGAGACAATACATGGCAACGGGAGAAGTCACGGAGACAGAAAACTTGTCAACCAACGATGAGGATCAATGAACCAGATTGTACTTTTATCTGAAGTGGAATGGGCAGGAGGTTTTTTTAAAAGAGCTGGTTCAATGGGCTACTACAATTGCTATTTTACAAGAGGTTAAATGGCCATTGTACCATTTTATAAGAGGTTCCACAGGGCCAAGGCCATTTCTAAAGAGATGCAATGAGCCAGAGATAATTTTATATGAGGTCCAAAGAGACATTAGCCATTTATAAGAGGTTCAATTGGCCTGTTTTAGATGCTATATGCAGAAGCCATTGTGCCAAATCTGAATTTCACAAACAGTGAATGGAATCTTTTCTCTTCTTAATTTGACTTCAATGTATATCTAACAAATACTAAAGTCTCTATCCTTCAAAAACATGTTACTAAAACAGTTTCATCTTTGTAATCCTGTATAGGTAACCTATAACCTAAGATATCTGTTTTCTTAAATCAATTAAACCTCCACAAACTCAACACTAAATACCTAGTTAAGATATGTTTCAATCATTTAAATAAAAAACGTCAATTATTTTCATTTGATTGTTATTCATTTAGTGCAATGTACATGTTGTAGCATGCTTTCACCGTAGATTTTGGTATCGAAACTAGCTCACAAAGGCATCCATCACTAAATATCTAGACAGGAAGATATCAATTTATGTTTAACTTCCTAAGAAACATACCTCTTCCCGATAATTTTCATGTCAGAAAATTCTGCACCTATCAAAGTTCTGTGTTATGTTATGTACCTAGTCTTTCTTAATAAGGCGATTGTTGTCAGCAAATGTTTATTGACCTTCAGTGAAAAAAGGTCATTTAACAAAATTTTCCTATAAACACATGTCAGATCTGATATAAATCAATATTATTACACATATACAGTATTAATGTTTGAAATTTTCTAAAAGGCTTAAGACATATCTATACCATGAAGAAAGGTTCTTTGGTCCTGTATTATTTCAAGCTTCAATTTTCCTCGGAATCGTTACATAACATGTAAGGTACCATTCTATGACATATCTACTAAATATTCTTTGTAAGGTAAGATATACAATGTACACATACATTATTTATCATTTATTGGTGGTAAATTCTATGTAAAATCCAATAACTATCTAATTTAGCTCAAGACCTGGCATATTGATTGCATTTGATTACAATTTAAAGGTGAGATTCAGTTTGTAATATGAGGCTATTTAAAATTTGGACTGTGTACCTATTCTCACAGAAAATAACATAATTTTTTTAAATCTGGCATCAATGTATCTTTGCTATGAGCAATTTGTCAGACTTGGGAGTACATAATAATTATATCTTTGTGTCAGATTTGGATGTTAGATAAAGGAAAAGTCCTTTGTGAGCTTTATTTTCATTTTTTAAAAATTATTTTGGATTTCTTGAACTGTCCATCTGAATCACTTGAGTGCTTGAAATTGCTTCTTCATTCATGTAGAAACACATAAATATTGATTGACCTGGTTCTTGAAAAATGAAACCATATTGCAGAATGGAATTCAGGACTAACTTAACACAAACATTAATAAGAGTAGGTTTGCCTTGTTCTGAAGACACTTAATAAAGGTATCTCTCTTTTTTTTTCATCTACGAATTAAGCTTTTGCTTTAAAAAGCTATCTAACAAAGTCTTTGAGAGAACACTGTTAATTTAACTTTTTGTTTTACAAATATTCTGGAAAAAAGATGTTGAAAAAATAGTACTCCTTTTTCAAAAATTTAAATAAACCAATTAAAAAAAAATACTGAAACCAACACCAGAACAACAAACTGTGTAACTTTACCAGGCTTCCTAATTCTAACATTTCCTTGAAGATCTTCTGTCGTCCGAGTTTACTGGCCAAAGTCAGGGGAGTTAACTTGCAATTGTTTTCGATGTAGGTCTTGGCTGGTTTCTTGTGGTGTCTCACACAGTATTTATACATATTCTATAATGAAAAAAAAGTTGTTTACAAATCAAAAAAGAAAATTGCAAATGATAATTTTTTATTCACCCAACTTCAATCATATTAACTTCAAACATTTTCCTCAGAAAGTATAAACATTAACCTGACTTTAATTATGAAATTCCAATTCATTTGTAGTAACATCTGAAGAATTAGGCTCTGACTGTGCAGGTTATCAATCAACAATCACACATACAGTCAGACAAACAACATGCACAAGGCTTTGAGTCTTACCCTTGGTAATAATCCGCAAGATATCACAATAATAAAATTGCTGGCCAAGTTGGACAACATTCTATCAAAAAATTCTACGATATTAATTTTTTTTCCCAGATTGATATGAACATACAAATTAGTAGTTAAACAGTATTATACTCACAACTTGGTCTGCTATGACCACCATATGCAACACAGTATTCCCAAACGAATCTTGTAGATCAGGGTCAGCGCCATGATCTATGAGGAAGTCGTAGATTTCTTCATGACCAAAACATGCAGCAAATGCTAGAGGATATTCTCCGTAATAAGCATATCCTTAAATAAACAAGATAAACATGTCAGACCTGATGTGAATGTTAGTGTTGATTCACTCCCTACAGCAGTAAGTCAGACTACTTTGTAAAAACATGAAACTTGTAGGTTTTCTTTTAATTTTGTCCTTAATTCAAATTACAATTTTAGAACAAATATCTTATTGATCAAGACAAGATATACATAACATTATAAATGTGTCCTCATACAGGAGGTCTCTCATACTTACATCATTCACACTTCTCATATTCCAGAATATGAAATACATGTACACATATATACACACCGTTTTAGTCTTGTGGTTCTCTTGTTCTTTATCATGTTCTTAATTGTGAATGTCACATTGCTTTCATAGGTGAATTGACCAAGACTTATTTTCATGGTGGGTGTCATTAATGAAGCAAAAGATGCTGATCTTTGAGAAACACCTGGTCTTATTCTCCTTGTTCTTTTTTAGGGGTCTGTGTGTCAATCTTTCTTTTTCTTTTTTTTTACCCTTGTTTGATCAAGTTTCAGTGTAAATTTTCTGTGCTCATTCTGGTTCCCCTTGCCATTGCAAGCTATAAGCTCATATGCCTGGTAATAATATCTACCAATACCTATTCAACGCTGTTCAGAAGAAATACAAACAAATGCTATATGAGTGACCTGTAATAAGCCCATCCTGTGAATCAGAGTCAGAGGTCATGTGTTGGCCCCTCTGCCCTATTGCTGGATAAACCTAACACAAACAATGAGGCTTTCTACCATAAGTAGACATGACTGTGATCTTTTTGGCGTACATTAAATATGAAACTTTCCTTTGTCACAACTGCTAACTTTTGTGATATCTGGGTCATAAGAAGTTTGTGGTGATTGGATTTTGTGATTACAGAAACTGCCTATTTCATAGCACAGTCATTGTTCATGATGATGGACATTGACTTAATTGGCAAAATCATTTGGACCAATCATAAAATTTAGAAAAGTACAATCCAGAATTGCACACTTAAACAGCAAACAGGTTAAAGGTATCGTGATTACTGTAGAAAATATTTTTTGTGACCAGTAACAGTAAATCAATTAGACACAGTAGGATTTTATCACTGATCTGAACATTTAGAAGTCAAAACCTAAGTGGGATAAAAATGACCAATGACCACTGAATGACCAATTGGATGATCTATCATTAACTTAAATGTAACTAGGTCAGGGTAACAAGATTGGTACTATAGGGTCAATACCTTCCTCCTGTGTCATATAACTGTAAAATTCTGATGTCTGATAATACCAATGAAATAATATTTTTATGGAGTCACGGCTCACTGTCTTCCTTCATTGTCTAGCACAATATCCACAAATATTTGTTTTACATGAATGGATATTGATATCAGTGATACAGAAAGCACCAACTTCATCAGATCTGTCTCATTTTTGTAATGTATATTTGGCAAGGGATAAAAAAGAATAAAATACTGTTTGGTTTTGATATTATAATTTGTATAATTTCAACACTACAGGTAACAAATCTATCTGTGTAAGTCAGTCTAGTGGAATATTATATCAACATATACAAGAGATTTAACATTATTAGATTTTCAATGGCTCAGATCTCACGGCTTTTCTCACTTTCAGGTATGCTGGATACATCTGACCAAGATCTCCCCATACACACTTTTCTCATACTGATGCAGTTTAAAAAAAACAAAAAAAGCAAACAAGAAAAAGGAAACACCAAAAACAGCCCACCTACACATATAGCTAATGAAATCATGATATCAACACTGTGTGTGAAAAGTAACTAGCTTGTTACATATCTCCTACCTACAAATAATTAATGGGAAGGATTGGCTGTGAATGAGCCACCCTGATTCTATCACACTTCTCTCAGGTAACGTCTCACTAATATGCCCTTTCTAGTCTGACATTTTTGCCAAACATTTCATCCTTCACTTCGAAATGAAATATTTATAAACTATTAAATCATTATTATTGTAAGATATGGATGAGCTAGAAGACACATAAATAAAACATGCCAACACTAGGTCTTGACCCTGATATCTTTAATTTTTCCCCTGGGCAAAACAAATGTCTATTTCAACAATGTGTATGGAGAATGAGTACAGAAATATACTCTAAAAGTAGAGAATTGTAAGGTTCTGTTGTGTTTACAGCATTCCAGCATCCTCATTCCTACCCCCCATATATATATATATATATATAAATACACCCAACCCTCATCACTCAGTCAGAACCTCACCCATACTCACATACACCCATGGACCTCCATTCACTCTCCCTTACCCTAATACCTCCACTCACAGCACATACATCCATGGACCTCAATTCACTCTCCCTTACCCTAATACCTCCACTCACAGCACATACACCCATGGACCTCAATTCACTCTCCCTTACCCTAATACCTCCACTCACAGCACATACACCCATGGACCTCCATTCACTCTCCCTTACCCTAATACCTCCACTCACAGCACATACATCCATGGACCTCCATTCACTCTCCCTTACCCTAATACCTCCACTCACAGCACATACACCCATGGACCTCCATTCACTCTCCCTTACCCTAATACCTCCACTCACAGCACATACATCCATGGACCTCCATTCACTCTCCCTTACCCTAATACTTCCACTCACAGCACATACACCCATGGACCTCCATTCACTCTCCCTTACCCTAATACCTCCACTCACAGTCACATACACCCATGGACCTCCATTCACTCTCCCTTACCCTAATACCTCCACTCACAGCACATACATCCATGGACCTCCATTCACTCTCCCTTACTCTAATACCTCCACTCACAGCACATACACCCATGGAACTCCATTCACTCTCCCTTACCCTAATACCTCATACACTAACAGACCTCCAACAACCCACCATTACTCTCATGCATCTACAGCCTTCCACTCACCTAAACTTTTCAACACATACCAACAGACTCCCACTCAACCTCCCTACCTAATATACATGCAACCACTGATCAGATACCAATTCACCTATCCTTACCCACATACATCCAAAGATATGCATTCATTCACCCTTTCCCACATATTTCCATAGACACCCATTCATCCACTTTAACCTACAAACTCCCAACAAAAGTCAATTTACACACCCTTACCAATATACATGGTCAGCCAGATACCCATGCACAACCACTACCCACATACACACACAGACGACCATTCACCATCCTTACCAACATACACACACAGACGACCATTCACCATCCTTACCCACATACACACACAGACGACCATTCACCATCCCTACCCACATACACATACAGACGACCATTCACCATCCTTACCCACATACACACACAGACGACCATTCACCATCCTTACCAACATACATACACAGACGACCATTCACCATCCTTACCAACATACACACACAGACGACCATTCACCATCCTTACCCACATACACACACAGATGACCATTCACCATCCTTACCCTTATACACACACAGACGACCATTCACCATCCTTACCAACATACACACACAGACGACCATTCACCATCCTTACCCTTATACACACACAGACGACCATTCACCATCCTTACCAACATACACACACAGACGACCATTCACTATCCCTACCCACATACACACACAGACGACCATTCACCATCCTTACCAACATACACACACAGACGACCATTCACTATCCCTACCCACATACACACACAGATGACCATTCACCATCCTTACCCTTATACACACACAGACGACCATTCACCATCCTTACCAACATACACACACAGACGACCATTCACTATCCCTACCCACATACACACACAGATGACCATTCACTATCCCTACCCACATACACACACAGACGACCATTCACCATCCCTACCCACATACACACACAGATGACCATTCACCATCCTTACCAACATACACACACAGACGACCATTCACCATCCCTACCCACATACACACACAGACGACCATTCAACATCCCTACCCACATACACACACAGACGACCATTCACTATCCCTACCCACATACACACACAGACAACCATTCACCATCCTTACCAACATACACACACAGACGACCATTCACCATCCCTACCCACATACACACACAGACGACCATTCACTACCATTAACCACATACATTTATACATGCCATTTCACCCAACCTTACCCACATACACCCATAGATGCTGTTTCACTCACTCCTACCCACATACACCCACAGATGCTGTTTCACTCACTCCTACCCACATACACCCACAGATGCTGTTTCACTCACTCCTACCCACATACACCCACAGATGCTGTTTCACTCACTCCTACCCACATACACCCACAGATGCTGTTTCACCCACTCCTACCCACATACACCCACAGATGCTCTTTCACCCACTCCTACCCACATACACCCACAGATGCTCTTTCACTCACTCCTACCCACATACACCCACAGATGCTGTTTCACTTTCTCCTACCCACATACACCCACAGATGCTGTTTCACCCACTCCTATCCACATGCACCCATAGATGTCCAATCATCCACAGATACCCCATCATCTTCACTAAACCACCTACTAAAATGCAGCCACAGATTCACCTCCCTCCCTTACACTCCTAGGTAAATCTAGACCTAACATCTGACTCTTCCTTCCTTGTTTTACATATCATTAAAAAGAAGGCTTCATTAAGTGGATTCTTGGTGATCATGGCCAGAACACAATAATATCTCAAAGCCTTGTTGATATTGAATCATCACCATGTCTAACCTGCTTCTAATGTTTCCCTTGGATATAATGTAAGTAAGTCACAAAGCCTGCCATTATCATTATGAAATAATAATCAGTAACATACTTCATTGATCCTTACATTCATTCATTATCTCAAAACCATACTTATTGTGTACAGTTTTCTCTCATGTGGCAGCTGTTTTCAATGACATGTATTTAATCATTCTCTTTTTACTGTAAAATTGACCTTGATAAAATGTATTCTGTCAACCTTTAAAGTGATGCAGCATTGACTGTCACCTTACTATACATTTATAGACACAGTATTGACTTTAGCCTCAATACACAGATACAGCACTGAGTGTAGCTTCACTATACACAGATACAGCACTGAGTGTAGCTTCACTATACACAGATACAGCACTGAGTGTAGCTTCACTATACACAGATACAGCACTGAGTGTAGCTTCATTTTACACAGATACAGCACTGAGTGTACCTTCACTATACACAGATACAGCACTGAGTGTAGCTTCATTTTACACAGATACAGCACTGAGTGTAGCTTCACTATACACAGATATAACACTGAGTGTAGCTTCACTATACACAGATACAGCACTGAGTGTAGCTTCACTATACACAGATATAGCACTGAGTGTAGCTTCACTATACACAGATACAGCACTGAGTGTAGCTTCACTATACACAGATACAGCACTGAGTGTAGCTTCATTTTACACAGATACAGCAATGAGTGTAGCTTCACTATACACAGATACAGCACTGACTGCAGCTTCACTATACACAGATACAGCAATGAGTGTAGCTTCACTATACACAGATACAGCACTCACTGTAGCTTCACTATACACAGATATAGCACTGAGTGTAGCTTCATTATACACAGATACAGCAATGAGTGTAGCTTCACTATACACAGATACAGTACTGAGAGTAGAGCTTCACTATACACAGATATAACACTGAGTGTAGCTTCCCATTATACAGATACAGCACTGAGTGTAGCTTCACTATACACAGATACAGCACTGAGTGTAGCTTCACTATACACAGATACAGCACTGAGTGTAGCTTCACTATACACAGATACAGCAAGCACTATAACCTCTTTTGTGAGATTAGAGCCATTATGACACACTCATATATAACAAAGTGATTATAGATTTTTTTGTGGAATAAAAAAGATGACAATATTAATTACAACTTTCTTTTGTGTTAGTGACTCCAGTAAAATTGATTACTTTGTGGATATGTAAACTGTGTATCAGTGACGTCAATGGATCAAATTTAAAACAACATCTAACTGCTAAATATAGATCTTCACTGACACAGCAAGTGCTTGTCGACAATAAATGGTGTAATTATTGTCTTTTTTGATGATTTTGTTTTTAAATGTCAAGAGATCAATAGGCTGTAATTCACTAATAACAAATCGCATGAATAATCAAACACTATTCTAGACAGCGGATATTATGTATCTGGATGTCAGTATAGAAAAAGAAATCAGTAAGTTTCCTAAAAAATGTAAAACTAATATTTGTTAATGCTTTATATGTTACAAAGCATTTAAAATTTTAGATATACATCATATAAGTGCAAAAATATACCTCACCTTCTGGTGCATAAAAATTGATCATGGAAACATTGAGAGCATTTTCAAACCATTTGATATATTTTTTATTATGAAAAGTCAACTGGTATGTTTTAGAAGGCTTAACACTTCCTCAGTATAAGGTTACTTATAATGCCAAAATCTTTTGATATCCAAGAAAAATTCCATAATTGTATGATATAATGTTGATTAAATCACAAATTTCATGCCGTCCATCCAACGGACGGACGGACGGACGGACCACGGACCACGGACCACAGACGCAGGGCGATTTGAATAACCCACCATCTATTAGATGGTGGGCTAATAAAATCAATTAACTGAACATCTAATTAAGAATCAAATCAATGTTTTACGTATCACGCTTAGTGAGACATTGGATAAGTTAGAACGTAAAATGAGAATCATGGTCGGTCATCCATGGTGTCCAATAACCTCCAAGCATCCTACCACCACAGGTGATTAACCTATATCTATACCCTAACTGCAGTTGATTGTTAGAGTTTTGATATTTTTCACAACATTTTGAAATCAACTACTACATTGATGATCACAGAAATATACTGATAACATAGTTTAGATGGTCACCTTGGCATCACAAGAGTAAAATAAATTCTAGTACTTGTTTCATCGTCAAGGAAAATTCTACATCATCCAACTATGAAATGTGTGAATAGATCATCAACTATTTACTCGTGATCAATAAAATTCTCTGCTATATTAAACCTGTATTCGTATGGAGATGAAAGCAAGGAGAGTTCCAACATCCTGTCTTTTATCGATGTGGTAAAGTTGTCTCTCCGATCGTAAAGTTTATAATGACAGACCTGCGATTGTGTGTTCGTTAAACAAAATGAAAAGAGAATTTCAACAAATGATCCATAAAATTAATTGCGGCAATGATTTATATTTACTGGGAACTGTTTACACCTTTATTCTTATATACACAAACAACTACCTCTGTATGAAAAAACCAGATTAATGACATCATCACTGAGAGTGAGATGGGCTAGAGATACATTGGTGGTGTGGAGATAGATAGCACTGAATGAGTATATATTTTATATCTACGAAAATGTATTTTATATAAAGGGAAATGTATTTCACACCATTGTATATGTATTTTACACCAAGGTGTTTTATACATCAATAGACAGGTGTATTATACATCAATAGACAGGTGTATTATATAAACAGGTATATTATACATCAACAGACAGGTGTATTATATAGACAGGTGTATTATACATCAATAGACAGGTGTATTATACATCAATAGAGAGGTGTATATTATACATCAATAGACAGGTATATTATACATCAATAGACAGATACATTATAGATCAATAGACAGGTGTATTATACATCAATAGACAGGTGTTTTATACATCAATAGACAGGTGTATTATACACCAATAGACAGGTGTATTATATAGACAGGTATATTATACATCAATAGACAGGTGTATTATACATCAATAGACAGGTATATTATACATCAATAGACAGGTGTATTATACATCAATAGACAGGTGTTTTATACATCAATAGACATGTGTATTATACACCAATAGACAGGTGTATTATAAAGACAGGTATATTATACATCAATAGACAGGTGTATTATATAGACAGGTGTATTATACATCAATAGACAGGTGTATTATACATCAATAGAGAGGTGTATATTATACATCAATAGACAGGTATATTATACATCAATAGACATGTGTATTATACATCAACAGACAGGTATATTATACATCAATAGACAGGTGTATTATATAGACAGGTATATTATACATCAATAGACAGGTGTATTAAACATCAATAGACAGGTGTATTATACATCAATAGACAGGTATATTATACATCAATATACAGGTGTTTTATATAGACAGGTGTATTATACATCAATAGACAGGTGTATTATATAGACAGGTGTATTATACATCAATTGACAGGTATATTATACATCAATAGACAGGTATTTTATTCAATGGACAAGTGTATTAATATAGACAGGTGTATGATATAGACAGGTGTATTATACATCAATAGACAGGTGTATTATATAGACAGGTGTATTATACATCAATAGACAGGTATATTATACAACAATATACAGGTGTATTATACATCAATAGACAGGTATGTTATACATCAATAGACAGGTGTATTATACATCAATAGACAGGTGTATTATACATCAATATACAGGTGTTTTATACATAATTAAAGAGATGTATTGTACATAAATGGAGAGGTGTTTTATACATCAATGTGTTTAGTTTTGTCATGGTTAGTGTAAATGTCGGTCACAATATCCAGAATACAGTACCGAAGTAGTTTTTGTTTGTTACTTATTGACTCATAATTCTGATTTGCCTGTTAGTACCTTGGTATGAATTTAGGGTAAGTAAGCGGTATTTGTTTTGTTATTTCAATATAAACTGCCCATTTGGATATTTACTTATTTTCCAAAGTAAACAAACATTAGAAGAATGATAAGTGGCTTTATGGCATTTCTTCTGGCAGGGTTGATTCCTATCTTTTATTTCTCTGACACCAGAAACTAATGTTTTATCCAATTTCATTACTGATCAATGCTAATGAATATAAAAGGACAACTAAAATGGCAGGTCAAATCTGATTTACTTGTCTAAAATCTGAAAATAAGCTTTGACTTATAATCATTTTTTTTTCATAAGGAATCCCCGTCTTTGATTTTTGAGATTTTAGGGTGCTGTTAACATACATATTTGAGTACTAATCTCACTTTAGTGTAAAATAATATTGTGTTAATTACAGTTCCTGTTTGTTGTTAATAGAAATTAATGCCAATATGCAAATTCAGTGATAGTGAGTTGAAATCTGTTCGTGCAATATTAGGTATGTTAACAGGTAACAACAATATCTACAGCAGTCCTTGTCTAAATTCGTCACTTCTTACAAAATGAAAAATACTTTATGAAGTACTTACCATCATAATCTGTTTCCTTTGTTTTACGTTTCTTTTGATCTTCTGGAAGAAAGAATCGGCCCATCGCCCGTTCATTTACATTAGCACCATAACCAATAAGAAGTTTGACTTGTTCCAGATCTCCATAGACAATAGCAAGGTGTAAGGCACTTTCACCTGTAATAAATAACCATATGATAAAGTCAATATATGGCACTTTCACTTGTAATTCATAACAATATCATAAAACAATATAAGGCATTTTCACCTGTAATTCATAATAATATGATTGAACAATATGTGGCACATTTACCTTTAATGACTAAAAGTATGATAAAACACAACATAAAACACTTTTTTACCTGTAATATATACCCATACTATCTATGATTAGTCAAAAACTTTTGTTTGGCTATAGAAACATAACATTACAGTTCAACTTGCTAATTTCTTAAATTTTTTTCATCATCACTAATTTCTGTAATTGGTATTACATTATGATGAGGTGATGTTCAGTGTACAATAGAAACAAACATGGAAGTAATTGAGTTCATGACCGTGCTTCTACAGAAATAGTGATAACAAACTTTCATTGTTGAAATCCAAGATGGCCGCCTTTCGGTCATATAGTTTATCTGATCAGCCCTTAAATCAAATTGGCTCAACTAAGGACCAAGTGGAACCTACAAATGAAATCTGAGAAAGATCTATCCTGTACTTCTCAAGAAATAATGATAACAAAGTTCATCAGACGATGGACCACAGACATAAATAGCTTACTATCTGACGATGATAGGCTAATTAATTGTAAGTTACTGAATCAAGAAGTTTCTATTTGACGATGATAAAAGATACTTGTTTCTGGCTCTTTTTTCCACCTTTCAAGTTTCATGGACTTTAATGTGGTTTGTTCATAAAGTTTCAAAGTTAAGACGTTTGAATCAAAATTGTTTTAGAAAAAAAAAATTTTAATGAAAAATCATTCAAATCCTGTTTTGCTTATTCACTGTATATCTGATAGTAGATATCTTTTGCAACACTAATGTCCTTTTAGTGCAAGTGCCCTCTCTCTAAAATCTTTTTCAATACATATAGGCCTTCAAACAGCAATTTTTTCTGACAGTCTATTACAGAATGATTAATACCATATAGTTCCGGATTTTAAAACAAGACAAGGCAAACAATCTTAATAAGGACTTAATCCTGTTTATAAAGGTGTCACTCTAGACAGGTACTTGTATCCTTTAGATACAGGTTTCAGTAAAAGATTGCTACTTTTTATAGAAAATTATTGTTTATAGGTCTAATACTTGTGGTAATGAGTTTGTATTTAGTAACAACAGTGAGACAAATGGCAACACCAATGATTATGTAAACAAAAGATGTGGACATGCTTGGCTTTTCTTAACCATCCTTACGTGTATTGTGTAGGCGACTACGCCTGGTTACTGTTAAACAGACCACAGATCTGGTATAGGCTTTTTATTTGCATTAAATAACAATCAATGTTGTCATACCTATTGCAGCCCTGGGCCTCCTGATTCTGTCAACAAACGGTTATTCTCCAACCCTGTGTATAATATACCCTCAAACCCTGTGTATATCACTCTCATAATACCCGACACCATTCTCCTGAGACAAAAATCAATGGGCTAAATCAATATCTATTAGATGATTATAACGAAACCAACTTAGCTGACCCAGTAAGCCTTTGTCAGTGTTTCACCAAGCTAAGTAAATGCTAGCTGATCTTTAATTAAAAATTATGTCACATTGAAAACATGATTTACAACTATTATACTGATATTAGACAGGTAATGGTATTAATGGGAATTTAGTGTAGGCGACCAATTCTGAAGACTGCTGTGAAAGTGTCTCTGAAAAACTTTTTTGAATCGTTATTCCATTTATCATACATTGAGACCAATATCATCTACTTAGTAATTTTGGTATGAATAAATGGTGATTAATACTTATGTAAAAATTCAATATCTAGTAAATTTTGCACTTTCAAGTGCATTATATTTGACTGAACTTTCGTGTTATTGCATTTATTGGGGTCATAAATGCAGAGCTTTGGAGGCAAACATATTACATGCTTAGCATAATTGGTATGTAAGTCTGCAAAGCTTTGGAATCTAATACCAGCGTACATACCATTACCAGACAAGTTCAATGTATTTACATTCCTTGCCCATTTCCTTGTCTTATGCCTATTATAATGTAATCTGAATTAAACTGGATAGTTCCTTATTGACAGTGTAATCCGTCAAGTGGAACAGCCATTATGACAGAGTACCAATGCCTTTTCTATGCCTATACAAATACCGATTCCATACCAGTCACAGGGTCGATGGCATTTATTGTATCTAAATCACAAACATGTCTGGTTAGTTTATATGCATGTAGTGGCATTGAAATGCAAATGTAAATATGACAATATAACTATATAGCTACAGGTTACAACAAAATAATGGATAAACAATTTATTAATGTGAGTAAAAAAAAAAACATTCCAAGAGTACATCTAAATCTTCACAATACTAGAGAGAAACAACTGATAAAGGCAATTGACCTAACAGCCATTTTATACAAGATATCAGACCTAAATTGGCCCCCCTATTGAACAGATAGCAATGGACCTAACAGCCATTTTATACAAGGTGTCAGGCCTAAAGTGGCCCCTTTATAGCAGATAAAGGCATTGTACCTTACAACCATTTTATACAAGATATCAGATATAAAACATCTTGACAGTTGGCAAAAATCTATAGTGACTATAAAGAAGAAACGAAAGGAAGGTTGCCCCTTCAATTATAGAACTAATCATCTTCAGCTCCTGGAATGTACAGGAGACACCTGGCCCCTTTAGCCCCTGGAATGTATATATTTGTGACATCTGGCCCTTCGGCCCCTGGAATGTATATATTTGTGACATCTGGCCCTTTAGTCCCTAGGATGTATAGAGGACATCTGACCCCTTCAGCCCCTGGAATGTATATATTTGTTACATCTGCCCCTTTAGTCCCTGGGATGTATAGAAGACATCTGACCCCTTCAGCCCCTGGAATGTATATATTTGTGACATCTGACCCCTTCAGCCCCTGAAATGTATATATTTGTGACATCTGGCCCTTCGGCCCCTGGAATGTATATATTTGTGACATCTGGCCCTTTAGTCCCTAGGATGTATAGAGGACATCTGACCCCTTCAGCCCCTGGAATGTATATATTTGTTACATCTGCCCCTTTAGTCCCTGGGATGTATAGAAGACATCTGACCCCTTCAGCCCCTGGAATGTATATATTTGTGACATCTGACCCCTTCAGCCCCTGAAATGTATATATTTGTTACATCTACCCCTTTAGTCCCTGGGATGTATAGAAGACATCTGACCCCTTCAGCCCCTATAATGTATATATTTGTGACATCTGGCCCCTTCAGCCCCTGGAATGTATATATTTGTGACATCTGCCCCTTTAGTCCCTGGGATGTATAGAAGAAGTCTGACCCCTTCAGCCCCTTGGCTCCTCTCAATGCACTTGACTTGAACTATTGAATAGATTTAAGTCATATTTAACATATGGCAGCAGTGCATGCAGAGGATTACATGTTCCACACTCTAATCAATGATAGGTACCTCTACCACTGTGTACGCCAATTTCATATGCTGCTTTTGTTTGTATTCCACTTAGAACCCCTCTTCTCTTGTTCTTATTGATCAATAGGAATTAAAAAGAAATCCAAAGCATGATGGATTTTCTGATTATAGCTGCATGCAAACAATATACCTGTTATCAAGTCGCGATGGCAGCCATAACAGAAAGGTGTAAGGTATACCGACTTTTATGGCGACAATTAAATCTTATCAGTGTTTTATTCATGGTTTAAATTGTCTTAAATCACTACATTTAGTGTAAATGTACTTAATATGGCATAATTAAATTTTATGACATTATAGCTTTTTGGTAAATTAGCGCAACAATAAATCTGTGCATCCATAATAATTACTGTATAATCTGCTTAAACAAACTGCTATCATATTTAAGTAGAATACTTTAAGCACAAACGGCACCAACTTAAGATCCTCACTACAACAATGTACCTATACAGTATCAAACTCTAAGGTTACACTCTATTTAAAAACCTATAAGAGAGGGCAGAAGACAAAAGATGGTGTCACAAAATCTCAAAGTCAATTAGTTCCTTTAAAATAAAACACAGAATTTTTTTTTTTTTTCTCTCTTTTTCGTTTACAAAATAACAAAAGAAAAACATTCTTGTGTGTATTATCAGAATCCCCAAGCTATATATAAAAAATATACCACAATTGTAAAATAATTTTGTTTTCATTGTGACATACTTTTGTAGAAATATCAGCAATTCAAAATAAATATTATGATGCTTTTACTTCACTTCACGGAATAATTCTATATTCAAGGTGTTTTGACCAGTCCAACCTTTCTGATCCCTCACAAATAAACTAGAATCAAAAGAACTCAATTCAGGTAAATATTATACAGGTATATTTATAGATAGATTCGGAGGCTGATCAATGGCTAGGAGTCTAAATAAATATACCTAACATAGAAATGAAAGTTTTTAAATGCATTAAAAAATCAATACACACTTATATCACTTTTTAAGTTTGTTAGGCAAACTTGTTTCTGGACTAAGCATTTTCCAAAAACAAACATAGATATCCATCATTAATGTTTATATACAGTGGAGCGTCGATAACACACAGCCCTCATTCATCGATGGGTTCTATATCCAATCAGTGTTCTAGTGGACATTTGCCAATTTACATCCACAATTAACCAATAAGTGCTCTACCCATTCAGCAAAGTAGTTAATCCATAGTCACAATTAATCCATGGGTTCTATATCCCAGCAGTGTTACAATCATTAAACCATAGTAACCATTAATCCATTGGTTCTATATCCCAGCAGTGTTACAGTTGTTTAACCAAAGTAACCATTAATCCATTGGTTCTATATCCTGGCAGTGTTACAGTTATTAAACCATAGTAACCATTAATCCATTGGTTCTATATCCTGGCAGTGTTACAGTTATTAAACCATAGTAACCATTAATCCATTGGTTCTATATCCTGGCAGTGTTACAGTTATTAAACCATAGTAACCATTAATCCATTGGTTCTATATCCTGGCAGTGTTACAGTTATTAAACCATAGTAACCATTAATCCATTGGTTCTATATCCTGGCAGTGTTACAGTTATTAAACCATAGTCATCAGTAATTCATTAGTTCTATAGCCAGGCAGTGTTACAGTTGTTTAACCATAGTAACCATTAATCCATGGGTTCTACAGCCTGGCAGTGTTACAGTTGTTCAAATACAATCACCATTAATCCATTGATTCTATATCCGTGCAGTTTTACAGTTATTAAACCACAGTCATTATTAATCCATTGGTTCTATATACTGGCAGTTTTACAGTTGTTAAACCATAGTAACCATTAATCCATTAGTTCTACAGCCTGGCAGTGTAACAGTTGTTCAAACACAATCACTATTAATACATTGATTCTATATCCTGGCAGTTTAACAGTTGTTTAATCATAGTAACAATTAATCCAATGGTTCTATATCCCGACAGTGTTACAGTCATTACACCATAGTAACCATTAATCCATTAGTTCTATAGCCTGGCAGTGTTACAGTTGTTTAACCATAGTAACCATTAATCCATGGGTTCTACAGCCTGGCAGTGTTACAGTTGTTCAAACACAATCACCATTAATCCATTGATTCTATATCCGTGCAGTTTTACAGTTATTAAACCACAGTCATTATTAATCAATTGGTTCTATATACTGGCAGTTTTACAGTTGGTAAACCATAGTAACCATTAATCCATTGATTCTATATCTTGACAGTGTTATAGTTGTTAAACTACAAACACCATTAATACATTGATTCTATATCCAAGCAGTTTTACGGTTGTTATTAAACCATTGGTTCTATATCCCTGGTGTTTTATAGTTGTTAAACCATAGTCACCATTAATCCATTGATTCTTAATTCTGACAGTGTGACAGTTATTAAAGTGACAGTAATGATTAATCCATTAATCTTAAATCAAGTCAGTGTTTTAATGGACTTGTAAACATTATTCAGTTTGTCTTGTATTGGATCTGTATGAATGCAGACCCTTTTTAATCCTTTGTCACCTTCGCTAGTGATATATGACCTAAATAACCCATAGCCTCCATTAATCCATTGGTGCTGTATCTAGTTGGGACAGTTGTGAATCCACCGTCCTCATTAATCTTATATTAAGTCAGTGTTCTAGTGGGCTATCGTTAATTCATATTCTGCCATCCACCATTAATCCACTTTAATACACTATCTAGTCAGACCTTGATAATCTATATATCTCACACATGAAACCCACAAAAGCAAATTAAGTGACATTTTTTTATTTGTAATGAAGTCATTACAAAACTGTTTCAAAATTAAGTATCATAAAAAAGAAAATCAAATAAAAAGTTCATTACACCATATGACCATTCAATGTTTAAGTTTTATAAGTGGTACTTCATGTCAAAGAAGAAATCATAGGTGTAATGGATTGTGTCAAAGGATATACTGTAAATGGCCCAGGGAAACAGGATTGTAAATGTGTTTTACTTTATCCTACCAACTTTTTGTATGACAGCTTGAATGATACTTATTGATAGCTGTAACACTAACCCCTCCTAATCAGGGGCAAAAAAAAAAAAAAAAAAATTGTAACAAATGATCTATATACAGTCAGACTGTAAGAGTACTAGAAAATTATATTTGAAGCCAATTTAATTTAAGTATAATAATAAAAAATAATACAACACATAATCAATATCTGATTCCCAATTCCATTATAATAATTATAGCCAGCTAGAGGTGATATTAAATCATTTATCGATATGATTCTTTCTTCTGTGATTAAAAAATATTTCAGATCATCCATTACAATTCCAGAGCGTGGAAGCCTGTCGCGTGATGTAAGCTGTTAGTCAATTGTACTGGCCTATGATAACGACTGTTGGAGACCAATTGTTACCTACCGAGCCAACCCACTACACTGGTAACATAAAACATGCAGGCAACAGAAGGACTCCAATTAACCAGAAACCTGGCAAACAACAACATCCAACTCATTATACATACACTGTTAAAAATACATAGAGCTGCCACAACTGTACACAAACGTAGATATCAAGCTTTCAGGTACAGAGTGGTATCGTCACGATCAGCACATCGTATATCAAATGTTCACGCATGATGCGTCTACTTATTAATATCAACACTACAGAAATCATCATATAACATATTTAACCGATGAAAGCAATTTCAGTTCCAAGTGATTGATGGTTTGGAAGAACTGCCAATTAAGGATGATTTTGACCATTCAGTAAGAAAACTCCTATGGTCTCAATATAAGCTATCGTACCTTGAAATATTGACTTTAGGGACATAGTAAGGTTAGGTTTCTATACACTTGTTATGCCTATCAGGGAGTCAACCATAGCGACTACAGCTTCAAAGCTTCAGAGGGAGAAGAACTGAGGGAAAGGACCAGTGAATGAAATCAGAAAGATAAAACAGAAAGAGGTCATATGTTGTCCATTCCAGTCTGTAAAGAGATCTTTTGGAAGTAGGAATCATGACAGTTGAAACTGCTCAAAAGAGCCAGCAGAAGAAAATCTAAGAAAAATGCACAATGATCTGAGGAGAAAAGAAAACGTAGCAGAGAACACAATAATTCAGGATATGGAAGAGATAATAACACCATTTAATAAGAGTAATATAAAGTTTCTTGAGGTGTAGCATGTACTCAAGAAGGCAAGGAGTAGAGTAAGCACCAGGATCCAATGCTGTATCATATCTCTGTTAAATGTCAAAGGGAAGGTCATGCTTGTCCTTCTATCAAAGTGAATGCCAAATTGTGCGAGAAGCAACATGTACAAAGGAAGGGGGTATTCCTGAAGTACCTGGAGGCTTTGAACACAACAGGGTATTAATCCAGATCATCCAGGAAGGAAAAGGTAAAATGTGTGTAGAACAGTGCTCTGGATTGACCAGAAAAATGCATTATGGATCTATACCGCACAAGTTGTTGGAGTTGACCACAAGGAAGTATCATGCACTGAAGACCAGAAGACTGTTGAAGGACAATCCTGACAGATGTTCTACCCTGCTGGCTACTACACTGTATAGGATAGCTTGATAGATGGTATAACTGCTGGGTGCACAATATTTGTTATATTATATATAGTAGCCATGAACCTGGATGTGAAAGCTGCAGAGAAGAAGACAATTAAATGACAGCCACCTCAAACAGTTTCATCATGGTGACAACAAAGACTGTGGTGGAAGGAAGACGGGTCCTTAGAGATCAAAAAGAGATGATCATATGGCTATGCATGAAATTCAAATCAGTCAAGGACAAGATCACCTTGAAAAGCACACGAAGGAAAAAGGACAGCTGAGAGGTTTGAGGCAGAGATGACATTTCAGTAGTCAGTACCAAAACTTCTTAGTTATGAGGATCCACCTGACCAGCATTGCATTATTCAAGTTCATTCAAAGTATAAGATATATACTCTGAAAAAATTATATATGTTGACCAAAGGGCAAAAACTCTGTATATAGTTGTAAACAAGACTTGATTGGATTATACTGCAGTCTTCCATTCACAGAGGGTTTCAGATGCACAATTTGGTAGTTGTAAATTTGTATAAAAGACAAGGTAGCATACAAATTCAGGAAGACTGACTACCAGATTAAAAACCTGGCAGTTCTCAGTGGTAACCTGATTGTAAGTAGGTATATACTAATGGAAACTCAGAATAGTGATAAATCATACAAACTGCATCAACCCTTACTGCTGGTCAGTAACAAAATAATGCGAAAATTGTAAAATTTCATTGTCATGTAATAAGCCCATCCCTGACTGGGAGTAAAAAGCTACATTTAAATCCCTCTTTTTAAAGGATAAACTCTGTATGAAAGGATTTAGATAATAAGAAAAAGAGTTCATATTATAATTATATAGTTATATCCACTTCTGAATAAACTTCATTTTTGAAAAATAAAAAAAAAATCATAAATGACATGCTTATAATCAAATTATGTTTGAAAATTACAAAAACAACATTGTTTTAATATGCTTGCCTTGTATAGGAGCACAGCTGTTAATTTCCCCTCACACTAAGCCATTAATGAATCAAGAGACAGGGAGTAATTAATACCTACATATAATCATCAGCAACCTCACCCAAACTACTCTTGTCTCCCGAGGACGGGATCCAGGATATTATATTGGTGTAGAGATAGTCTGCATCATCAGAATTGATAAATATTTGATAGTCTATTACAGACTTCTTGGTTTTTACTGTAGGGTGGCAGTCAGTGGAGAATGAAAATCCACCACATAGGAATTGTGATGAAGAATAACTTACTCCATTTTAAAAATATTTCTAATTTGCTTTTGGGTTGAATGTACTTCTCTTTGTGGTAATTAATATGATTTCAGTTTAATAATACACCGTAAATGTCCTTATAATTCATTCCTTCATGTGTACTAAATCAATTTTTGAAATTATGAACAACTTAGAAGTCTACTATCACTGTCAAATGTAAAGATTATCAAAAGTGTAGTTGATGTTGCTTTTTATTTATCATGGCTTGAGGATTTCAAATTGGAATATGCAAGATTTAGTTTGTAAAATTCTGCGATTCTGTTTAAGATGTAGTTGGATACAGTTTCATCTTTAACTTCTGTGTTTTTTGGTTAAACATCATTTTCTTTGGTTACACAAGGAATCAACACAGAATTATTTAATTTAGTAAAATCAAATTAAAAAAAAAGTTAACATGCAAAATACCAATTTTGTGATAGGAATAAGATGTAAGCTTACCATAGTACTCCTGTCCCTCATAAAAATCCAAGGCCATTTTAGGATAAAGTTTGAGTAGAACTTTGGCAACCTCTAAACTTTCTGGTTTGTTCATGAGGTAGAGAAGGTGAAAGGGTGTTTCTCCTACCCCTCCCCTTTTGTCGAGATCCCAGCATGCCTCATGATCATTTATAATAATGAAATCATCATCTTTGTACTCCTGTAAAAGTTCTTCATCTGTTTTGGTCTCCCAAATGGTTGAGTTCTGCAAAAATAATCAAAATATTTGGTTATGTGGGTGTAAAATTTTGTAGCTTAGCAATAGGAACTTGCTTAACCTACTATAGGTAGTACAAAGATTCCTTCAGTATTGGTCAATTGTTTGTTAATGTCTTGCATCCACCAGTCAATTTGTATTTGCTTCCAAATTAGTGAAAGAAATACCTCGTCAAAAATGACTGATTCAGTTCAAATTATACATTTGTATGTTAAGACTTGCTCTTAAGTGATCAGTTATATAATAATCTCAAAATTGATGACTTTGCTCATTTAAATACAGGTAACAAAATATCAAATGACAGTAAATACATATTTAGATGAAACACACAAAGATTGCTAAGATTATTATACATCACATTTTTTTGAAAATGTTCAATGTTTTCGTTTTGCATCACATGTGCTTATTGAAATTGAGTTCATTAATTTTAAGGACACAATTCCTGAAACATCTTTATTTATAGGTTTTGAATACTATTCTCTAGATATAAAACAATCTGTCTTACAGGTAGACCTTAAAAATTGTACCCAGGGCCCAAATGCTGGATTGTAGGACTGGCAATTTTTGGGATCTGACTGTTTCTCTTCTTTCTAAACAACTGTTTTCCTAGTTGACTATTTGCTTCAGTGACAAAGGCTTTCTGTTCTGTCCCCTGACTGAGACATATTAGAGTCTTAAAAAATGATAGTTTCTAAGATGTTGCAGGCTGACCACAAACACAAAAACTAGACTTATGCACTCAAAATTACCAGGAAGTCCTGCCATGACCATAGGCAGTTTAAAGGACATTAAACACCATAAAACCAAGCCAAACCTGAATAATACTTCAACTCTGAAAAACATCCACTACTCAAATAACCTGACTTTTTAAAATTTCTAAATATTCCCTGGAAGTACATACATAAAAATTTTGACACAAAGCCACTGAAACGGTTTTTCTAGAAACATAAAAAAGACTATCTAAATTATGTATGAATAAAGTGTTTTAAACATTGCAGCTTCCTGATTGTTGTGATATTGATAAGTCCTCGGAGATTGTTAAAATCTTGTATTTAGTAACTCCTTTTCTGTACAAACTTTATACATATGACATATAATCAGTCATGTTTTATAGGAAATGGGCATAGAAAAATATTGCTTATAGCCTGCTTTCAATTGTTTTTACTTTTTTACCAAGAAAAGGGACAATAATGCCTGATACCATCAAGTATAATACTCTATAGATAAAGCCGTAGTAAATACTATGATGAAACACATCTATTCAGTCATATTTTTCAGTCTTGAAAATCTTTTGTTTATTTGTTAAGGTTTCTACTAAATGTTTTGCAGCATTTTCATAACCTGATAAAAATAGAACACATGCATTGCTATGCAACAATCAATACTGCCACGCCAACGTGAGTTGGACAGGAGATACATTTACATGTCCTTTACAGCCAGAATTAAGATTTAAAAGTATAAAGTAATACTGAGTCACACTACCGTTCTGTCACACTATCAATACTCAAGAACTAATTTTTTTAACCAAAATCAATTCTCAATTCTTCTAATGATTCCTCAAGACAACATGGTATGAGAGTTGCTCCTGGTCCTGATGTCCCACTACTCAATATGCCTTTCATCTTACTCCTTCCCCTCTGAGAGTGCTTTCCCCTTACGTTCCTTCACTTCCTGGAAGAATGGGATTGGTTCCTGATAAATCCTAACCCATCCCCACCAACCCAACCACCTTTGGGGTCATTTTAGAATCATGCTATGAGAGGTCATTAAGTACAATTACATATTATCAGATATGAAAACAAATGCACACTATCCAAACACAGGAAAGATAAAAGCTGGAGCCAGGCCAAAGGGAACAGTCCATTGGCTAAATGTTTATAAGGGACACCGAGTTATTAGACATGTCAGGGACAGTAGATCTTGTTAGGGAGTTAGTAGACATGTCAGAGACAGTAGATCTTGTTAGGGAGCTAGTAGACATGTCAGGGACAGTAGGTGTTGTTAGGGAGTTAGTAGACATGTCAGGGATGGTAGGTCTTGTTAGGGAGCTAGTAGACATGTCAGAGACAGTAGATCTTGTTAGGGAGCTAGTAGACATGTCAGGGACAGTAGGTGTTGTTAGGGAGTTAGTAGACATGTCAGGGATGGTAGGTCTTGTTAGGGAGCTAGTAGACATGTCAGGGACAGTAGGTCTTGTTAGGGAGCTAGTAGACATGTCAGGGACAGTAGGAGTTGTTTTGGAGTTGGTATTGCCAGAGACTGTGTTGTTTGGGAGTTGACATTGCCAGGGACAGTAGGTGTTGTTTGGGAGTTGACATTGCCAGGGACAGTAGGTGTTGTTTGGGAGTTGGTATTGCCAGGGACAGTAGGTGTTGTTTGGGAATTGGCATTGCCAGGGACAGTGGTGTTGCTTGGGAGTTGGCATTGCCAGGGACAGTGGTGTTGCTTGGGAGTTGGTATTGTCAGGAACAGTGGTGTTGCTTGGGAGTTGGCATTGCCAGGGACAGTAGGTGTTGTTTGGGAGTTTGCATTGCCAGGGACAGTGGTGTTGTTTGGGAGTTGGTATTGTCAGAGACTGTGTTGTTTGGGAGTTGACATTGCCAGGGACAGTAGGTGTTGTTTGGGAGTTTGCATTGCCAGGGACAGTAGGTGTTATTTTGGAGTTGGTATTGTCAGGAACAGTGGTGTGGTTTGGAAGTTGGTATTGTCAGGAACAGTGGTGTTGTTTGGGAGTTGGTATTGTCAGGAACAGTGGTGTTGTTTGGGAGTTGGTATTGTCAGGAACAGTGGTGTTGTTTGGGAGTTGGCATTGCCAGGGACAGTAGGTGTTGTTTGGGAGTTGGCATTGCCAGGGACAGTGTTGTTGTTTAGGAGTTAGCATTGCCAGGGACAGTGGTGTTGCTTGGGAGTTGGTATTGTCAGGAACAGTGGTGTTGTTTGGGAGTTGATATTGTCAGAAACAGTGGTGTTATTTGGGAGTTGGCATTGCCAGGGACAGTTGGTGTTGTTTTGGAGTTGGTATTGTCAGAAACAGTGGTGTTGTTTTGTAAATAGTAGGCAAAGATAGGGATAGGTTCATGATCCACGCTGTCTACCATCATCACACTTCAATTGGTCAAACAAATAAAGGGTCACCAAGCATGTTATAATCTCCAGTACACAGACAATATATACAATGGTACTGCCATGTTTACATTCAACATTAAAATATCTACAGGACAAGCCTGTAATGGTCATCTCTTTGATAAGTCATTAAAACATCAACTTGTCAAATTCTCAAGATTATTTGAACCAACCTAAAGTGCAGTCACCTATGAACATGGTAATATACTATGTGTGGATAGCCATATCTCTTTGAAGGTCATGACAATGTCAACTTGTCAATACACAAATAGCCCTGTGATAAAACTTGGTCATTATCTGTAGGATGTAGAAATGAGTCCTTTCCCTGTGAAAAAAGACCCTAAATGATTGTTTTAAGCATTATTTATGATGAGAAGTATGACAGTCACTTGATACTGACATGGATACATACACCTGTCCATTTGTCTGATAACACCAAATTATTTCTGTCTATTATAACCTAGTCTGGGCCACACTCTTCACCAGATATTTAGCAACATTATTAGATATAACCAGCTCTGAAATAAAATTTCAGCAAGAACCATTTTGTGTTGTTGTTTTCAACATCACGAATTCAAAAACACAGATTATTTTGACTCAATGAGACCACATTTCTGACAACATTAAAAATCAAACAGGCTGATTTTGTCTCTTTTAGTTACAGAAAGTCATAACTATATGCATGGCTTCTGCTTGTAGCCAGAAATAATTGATAAGTATACATGCCGGTTACTTACAACAAATACAATGTATGATGATATATATCCAAGCATAAGCTTCATTTTATTACCAACCCACTCTCCTGCCCACCTTTAGAATAATAAAAAAAAGCCCTTAGATTCAATTTCCATGTGTACGAAAAAAAAAAAACAACACCCAGAAACCATCATTTCACAGACACTTGTGTTTGTAGCTAAATACTGCCCTACTTATCTAATAACACAAGTTATAACAGTTCCTGGATATATGAATTCAAGGGCTAAGAATAAGAATATTAATAAAATCAGTGAAGTTTAATTTTTGTAGAAATATAAAAAAAATATATTGATATATGTTGAAATGGAATTTTCAATTCAAAATCCAAAATGGCAGTGAAATTTAATTTGGTAAAATTTTTAAAAAATGGTGGTCTGGTGATGAAATGGATAGCAACTGGTAATTTTTCAATTAACTGGGGTTTGATTAAGGATCAGACTTCTTGCCAAACAATTTTAACTTGTTTTCTTCATTCAGTATTAATATATACTCCATTTCCACAGATGTAACTAGGTAATACCCATTGACACTCACATTCAGGCAAACAAAAGGGATTAACATAAGTTAATAATCAAATATATATATATATATATATATATATATATATATATTTGTATGATATATATGAAAGTAAATACTTTTGGTAAACTTTTAGCCCGTGTGATTGTTTGAAACCTGCATGCCATATTTTAATTTATTTGCACAGTTGCACTGCTGATAAAATATATACGTACTTGACACTTGAAATAACATGTATATAATATTACAGAATGTTTTAATTACGGGACTAGTGCACCTTCCCATTCTAGATTTTGACATTTTTTTCAACCAATTTGGATCTTCCTCAGTTGCCTCCTAAGGTTTCAAAATTCAGTCCCATATCTGACTCGTCCTAAAACGAAAAATATATATCTGTGTAATGCAGCATAATTCACTATTTGGCTCTAGTGATTCTAAATTTGCATAGCAAGATGCTTCTCATTTGTACGTCTTTTGTACAATATTAAAAACAAATTATATCATTGTGTTTTGCTCACAGTAGCAAGATTGCTAAAACGCTACTTAGCCTATATAGAAGCAGCTAGAAAGAATATGCCTACTTCATCTCACAGCAAATTGTTCAAAAGTTAGGCGAATTATTTTTGGGGCACCCCTTGTAAGTGAGGGTGGTTTCTCTAATATCTTCAGTATAGGGGACATCAGAGAGTCCCAGGAGGCATTAAAGAGATCAAAATAGATCTGCTGTCCTTTGGAATGCACCAGTAGGGATCCATGTCTTTTCCTTTCTAGATCTGTCCACAATTTCTTTCTGTGCTTTATTTTCTACTGTAAGTGTCTGTCTTGATACCCGGCCCTTTATGACCCAGACTGTTGCTAGGACATCAAACTCCATAAAAACACACACTTACTAGATATCATCTCTTTATAAGTGAGAGAAAATGTTTTTAGTGACTGAATGCAAGTGTTCTGTCATCAACTATCCCTATAAATCATTTTGAACATGATGGCACTGACAAGACCATAGGATTCACTTGATTTAAACACATTCAGTATTGACAACAATGACAATATATGTGTTCTATACATGTGGATCTGTGTGATGCTTGATAGTTCCCTTTAAATAAAACCATGAATATATATTTACATAAATAATTAAAATAACCAAGATTTTTAGAGTTTGCTGCTCCATCATGAGCATAAAACACCATAGAAATTTGATACCCAAAGCAGTATATGGTATATAATATGTAAATGACACTGCCGGGATATTTAGCAAGCACATTTTAATCAACAATATGCAAATTTGCATATTTTTTATTTGTCTGCTCCATGGCTTCATTCAATTAGTTTATACATCATTTTAAAGGAAGTTTCTAAAATTATTCAAATATAATTCAAGTAGTCATTTTTGTCCATATGCATTCAATGTAATAAATACTTTTTATATCACAAGTACAACTAAATGATGCAGATGTAATGTAGTTATGAGAAATGGCAATACTGCAAGTTTCATTACAAATCAGGACCCTTTGGGACTTTAAGATATGCTTTATGACAAAAGTTAAAGGTTACCAAGTCGTACCAGAAATCTATATTTAAACTGGAAATCAGATGCGATTTTTATCCTGATTGATTGAAAGTTTTTGATAAGTTTTAGGAACATGCATTTCAAACCATATATTTTTGCTAAATTTATTTAGATTATTTAAGAATTTTATTCTTCATGAACGCTGGAAAAGATACTAAGTTGCTCAGGAGATTTTCTTATCGAATCTACAGTTCAGAAGTTCTCATTACATGCCTTGATAAAAGCTCCAAAGACTAACTGTTCAAGATCGCATATGCAGTTTGTTAGTTTTGGTTTTTTTCTTTAACATTCTCCACACCATAAAGCACTTGCTTGGCATGCTATAATGTAAAAATACATTGAACAATGACGGTAACAAAAATGAAATGGTAAAGTCTTTAATACAATATAATATTTTAGTTGTATACAGATCTACGCTAGATGAATAAATACAGTACATACATAAATCATGTAAAATAGGCTTCTAAGTTATCTTCTCTCAGTCTCAACAAAACAATAGCAAAATTGTACAAAGCAATCTCATTTAATTACCAACAAACTCCCTCTGACAGCTGTATTGATTCCCCATTACATAATCTCTTCAATATTAGCACCACGCAACAGGCTTTTCAGTAGATAAAACAGGTGAATACAATACTAGACAGCATTGTTGTTGGCTTCTCGTTTAATGATTTCATAATAATTCAATTAATGGCATCCGCCTTAAAAGGGCATTCATTGACATGCTGATTTCTGAAAAACCTTAAATAACATATCTAAGGTGTGATTATTGGTCCAGACAATGTCAATTTCAAAATCTGAATTTTCAATCAAAATTTGATGACAAGGTAGGCTATGATTTTTTTCCTGAATTAGCATTTTTATAAAGATGATAGCAGTTTGAAAACATTGCCTCCATTTCAAAGCTCAGAATGCCATATGGTTGGCTGTATTTAGAAAAGAAAGGAAATCATTTTGTATTAAAGTAAGACTATTAGCTGTATCATTTCTTTTTAAAATTAAGTCAAACAGAACTATAATAATTGACTCACTTTTTTTCATTTATAACTAACTACACCAGTTGACAATATCTTAATGTCTACACTACAAATTCTGGGGGAAAAAAACATCATCATAATTACCAGAGACTTAAAAAAAACCTACAAATTATTCACATTGAACCTCATCTCAAAAGCAAAAATTGATACTGGTATATATGACCATGGACATAATCTATTTTATAAGCTTGTATCACCTGGAAGTCACGTGCATCCTTTCATTTTGGGTTACAGGTCAAGGACAGGGTTAAGCAGTAACTTATTACCTCATGTTTAGAAGTGACTACTGATCAATCTACCTGTTGAAAGTTCAACTAATCTTCATTTTAATCCAAATCTGTACATTATGTATGGTTAAATCAGTTGGTCAGTTTATTGTTAAGACTTGGATACTTTTGTGAATACACACAAAGTTCTATACACTACCAGAACATAAATTTATAGTTGTGACCAAGCTTTGACCAATTAAACCCACTTAAGTGCTCACTGAAAGAGGATTTGATTTCTAAATTTCATTAACTGCTTCAAAAGACTTCAATTGCAGCATGCTGTAAGAAATATATCTATTGTAACGCGAGGAAAACAAAAATGTTCAGACAAAGCTAGATTTCCATTCACTTGTATATTTTTGTAACAGATTCAGCTAACACCTTCAAGTTGGGTGTATAAGTATTTTCACTCACCGTCAATATACAAACTAAAACCCTTCAAAGTTGACTTCATATTTATGAATAACACTTAAAAAATATGTGGTAGTAGTTCAATATTACATACACTGTACATGCAACACAAGCCCTATACATGTTAACACAGTGGATTTCAATTACATATTTTTGGAAAAGTCAATTTCAACTAACACGGACAACTTATTAAAAACAGATTTTTTTTATTGATTTAGGAACTAGAATTGTTGTCTGCTTACAGAAAGACCACATTTATCTCTCTGATGATTTTTCAGACTAAAATTAACTAGCTCCTGATTTACAAACACACACCTATATGAAATACTGTACTGTAGTGATGAATCTTATTATAACATAACCAGTTGAAGATTTAAGTGTGATGTTTTGATGACTAATAGAATCTTCCCCTGCCCTCAGAGGGTGTGACAGAGAAATTGACTTCAGGCAGAGCCTCGGGTTAGACAACAACAAAAAATCACCCCTCGGATTGGAGATTTCTCTGTCACATCATCAGGGTAAGGGATGATTATTTTTCTCCCATCCCATTATTTCCGCCATGACGTCAACGTAACAATATCACCTGTGTCAAACATTTGAACTTTAAACACAAGATATTTTCCTATGGGGCGAAAATTGTCAATTATTTTCTGCATCCTACCATTTGCACCTACTCTCACCACACTTCCTACTTTGAAGTTCATGATTGTTACCAATTCTGTTATAATAATTTTGGATTTGCTTCAGGATACCGATAGCTAGCAGACAATGTTTGTTTACAATCCAGAAGAAGTTCCAGTCGAACTTCCGGTTTAGCATGTGATAATCGCCATGAGGCTATCTCCCCCTAGGGGGTGACAAGCTGATCTTTCCCGGGTAAAACGGGAGATACGGCCATGACTGGTGGGAGAAAACAACGTCACCTTCATCAGACAAATGACCAATGTGAAGCACATTATCAATAATGTTTGAGTATATGAGTTATAGAAATCAACCAACTTTTTCAGCTGTACTATAATTCCATGTACATTACCGTAGAAAATAATGTGACAAGATGGTAAAACTGTTAGAAAATATAGAACCTCAAGATGGCAGGAAAATTCACCAGATTAGTATGAAAGCAATCTTAGTCTGAGATCAATAAATTGGCACTGACAGATTATTCCAAGCTGTAAATATATCATTGACTGGTAACATTTCATAAGAGTTAACTGGAAAATAACCTTTTCAGGTGTCAGGATACACAGAGACGAGGGGGGCCATAGACTCACACACATCTATGACCCAAGTGTTAAAGAAAATATAGCTGAATTGACTACAGTTAATTGTTACCATTCTGTGTACTTCTTTTTCTATAATCTTTTTATAACCTTGTCACTGTTTTCTACCATAGTGTACATGGTCAATTACACATCTATACACTGTATATGTCAGAGCCAATTATTTATCTGATGAAGGTGACAAGGTTGTCATTGAAATGTCAAGCTTAAATCTTCTACTGGTCGTGTTTAGGAGCTTTTATTCTAATGATTTGCCAAACTGCAAAAAAAACGTTCCAAATGATACCCACGGTATTTGTTTTCTGCATATCTATACTATTTTTCAGCATAAAAATGTACATTTAAATATTAATTTATGGCTTCTGTGCATGGTACATCTCATCCTAAACATTTAGCTCTAATAATTGCCCACTCTCACCCAACCCCTCGAGGATAATCAGAATGAATATGGTGTCACTGCAAACTTGCTTTTGCTATAGTTACGATGAAACTGTTTGACCGTTTGTATGCTAGAAATGATAAAAAATCTTCGTTTTATATTCAAATGAGACTATTTTAAGCAACAAATTCTCATTACCTCTTGAGCCAAAACATTTACAAATATACTGTTTTCAGTTCAGGTTAAAAGCACAGGTAAATACACCTACCGTAAATTTTGCTGTAAGACGGTGCTGCCATTTTATATTATCTAATTTGGTAAGTAAACGACCTTCTCCATCATTGAAGAGAAAATCAGGTAATTCTGTTTTGGCAATTTTCTCCACTGCAGCAGTACCTCCAGTGTTATAGGCAGCCAGAAGCTTTCCTCCATCAACAAAGTTGACATATTTGTACATAGGATTGTGCTCCTGTTCCTCATTTTGACGTTTCCATGCCGAATCAGGATCCGACTCTTTTTTACGACAAATATTTCCCATTGGATCTTGTAGTCGTAATCACTTTTTGAAATATATTTTCAACAATTTCCACTAGAATATATAATTTTATAGGAATATTTGCACATTTTCACTTCAACTGAGTGAAATATCACATTCCGATTTATATTTTATAAATGCCAAGAACTATATCGTCTCCATTGTGAACATTTCATACATTTTAACTGATATAAAAGCGAAATGTTCCACCACTATTCTTATGATGTCTTAAATATACAAAAGCCATCTTGTTACATGTGTAATCGTTTCAGTAATCCAGTTCTGAAAAAGACAAGAAATAGAATATTTCTTTAGCAAACCATTCAATTTGAAATAAAATCATTATGAGAATCTAAGATGCATTGAAAATTTTTCTAATTTCTGTCTGTCATGAAGTTGGAAAATATTATTTGGCCGAGATAAAAAATTATAACATTGCAAAATAATTGTGAATCCTTATAAAAGCAGAACATGACTAATGAAAGATATACCAAACAGCACTAAAATGAATGAAGTATGATGGATTCAATGAAATTTTTTGTTTTGTTTTATTAATTAGTCGGTTAAAACCCGGTTTGTAATAATCAATATATCTTTAAAACTGCAACCTCAATTACTACAAGGCATAATGACATATAAAACTAAACAACACCAAGTTCATTGAAAATCTCATTTTCTGTTTAAACCACTTGGGATATGCATTGAGTTATATCTTTGTAAAATAAGATATTTAATGCATAGGAAACAGAATTATAGAATAAATAATAAAGCTAGGTTTGGAACTGATATAACATTAAGAAGAGTAAACTATACAAAATAAGAACCAGAAAATTCTGAATTGGAAATTGCACTTACAATGAAGACAAACATGCAATTTTTTCCCTACTGCTAACTTCTAATGGATATTATGATCTCAAAATGCATTTTTAAACACATGATAAACAACATCTATGAATCAGGCTTGTTATAATTATGTACCGGTTATGTGGCAGCTTTAGATTTGACTCATTTGATATCATAAACATATTCTCAGGTGTGTATACAATATTGTGTTTTATTAAATCATCCAGAACTTATGTAGCACAAAACAGAAAGATTAAACATAACTTGTATATCCCTCGCTACACAGAAATGATAACAAAAACATCTTTAAGGAACCTTAAGACACTATAATTTTATGGAAAATATTATATACTGTAATGACCCTGCATACATATATTTGACACAAGAGAAATATAAAATTGTTTCAATCTAAAAAATAAACATTATTAAATATAAATATTATTCATGTAAAATCAATATTTCTGATAATATATACTGAAAGGATAAAGAAACGCAGGGTAATATTTATTGCGATATTTTGAAAACGCGTACTCCAAATAAAGTGAAACTTTGTGGATTGAGTAATTAGGTCATATTACACCTTGTCATGTATCGAAAATTTAGTCACGGTACAGTGTGCAGCTATGGTAAATGGAGGAAGGAAAAAACAAGAATCTTGTGCACCGTGTTGTTCTGGTCTCATGCAGCGTTAGTCAAGTCACTCTTCATTAGTCTTTATACAGACCAACTGCTTCCCTAAAATTAATTGAGAATTTAATTTGTTTTAAGAATGGCACGACTCACAGAAGTTCAGAGGGGTCAGGCCATTCAGATGCTGATGCAAGGACAGCTGCAAAATCAGGTTGCTAGGCACTTTGGTGTTAATGTTTCCACCATAAAACGTCTTGTAAGACGTCTTCGGGAAACTAGGCGATAGGTCAGGACATCCACGCGTAACGTCATGATGCCAGGATTGCTATATCGTCGTCTCTCATGTGCGTAATCGGCGCCTTACTGCCGTTGAGAGTGTACTTAATAATCGTGGAAATCATGGGCATCCTATAAGTTAAAAAACTGTAAGGAATTGATTACGAGAAGTTGGTTTAAGAGCACGTCACCCCTACGTAGGTCCACACCTTACCCCTGCTCAACGTCAGCGTCGTATGGCCTGGATCGCTGCTCATGCTCCACGACAGTTTCCACTGAGGCAGTGGAGACAAGTTTTCTTCACAGACAAGTCTTGATTTTGTCTTTATCGATCTGGCGGCCGTCAACGTGTCTACCGACGTCGTGGCGAATGTTTTACGGACGCTTGTGTTGTAGAGAGGGATAGGTTTGGGGGCGGTTCAGTAAAGGTGTGGGGAGGAATCTCACACGGGTTAAAATCACAATTGGTTGTTATTGATGGCAATTTAACAGCAACTAAGTATAGAGATGAGATCCTCTGACCTCATGTTATCCCTTTCTTACAGCAGCATAATCTAACCCTCCAGCAGGATAATGCTAGGCCCCACGTAGCAAGGATTTGCCAAGTCTTTCTGGCCAACAACAACATTCAACCACTAGATTGGCCACCTTATAGCCCTGATTTGTCCCCGATCGAGCATCTTTGGGACCAGTTGGATAGACAGGTTCAAAAGCGCCAGCCACCCCCTGCTACTCGAGAGCAGTTGACCAGAGCTCTGATTGAAGAGTGGGACAACATCCCCATAAGACGGATTAACGCTCTCATGAACTCTATGACAAGAATAATAAGGGCCGTGACCACAGCAAACGGCGGACACACAAGATATTGATGACTCAGTTCAATTTCAATTTCAAAATCCTATGGGTCCATTCAATTTAATGGTTAGTACCTCTAAACCAATTGTCAGATGCAAAATACAGACTTTGGAAATTGTTCAGCTTTAATTTATCTGTAAGTATACAAAATTTCGTTTTAAATGAAGCCCGCTATCATACTTAATTTCTGGTTTAAAGTTCACCCTGCGTTTCTTTATCCTTTTAGTATATATATCATGTCTAGACATATAGATTCAATGTAGGTCAAGGTTTTATTAGATATCTGAAATGCATTCAATTTTCTGATTCTTGGATTTGACCTTTCCCTTTCATGAAATTTGCATTCTTCACTTATCAAAAATGACTTCTGAGAGTTTAAAGTCTTGGCCTGTTTTTAAAACTATTTCCACACCAGCTCAATTGAAGTAACAAACATGAGACAGCAATCAATATATTTTCATGGAAGTAAATTCTTCTGTACAAGTTGAAATTAACATATCATACAGAAAACGACATTCACAATGAATGCACTAGGTAAACCACTGCATTTTAGATATACATTATACTCCTTGCCACTGGTTAGTTCTGTGTCAATGCTAGTTTCAAAATGATAGTCCCATCTGACCTATATAATGAACATTAGCCAAAACTGATTTCAGTTTTTTCTGTACGTAGGATCACTACATTGATGACTTGAAATGAGGTATAACTAATTAAGTTTATTGAAAACTGTTGTGCAATGTTACAGAATGATCAGCTACAACAGTAGAGCCTGTCTAGAATTATTATTACGATATTCTTAATGGCCTGTCAACACATAAAAGGTCATTAGGGCCATCAAATGGTAAAACACACAGCAATCACTTGTCTAGAAAGGGTTTGAACTATATCTTATCATCAACTGATGTAAAAGATTTGTATTAACCAAAATACTGCTTATATATACTAAAACGAAAAAGAAACGCCGTGTAACCTAAAAAGATTCTTTTAAATGATATAATTTAATGTTACATTATTTCATTCATTTTTGTATACAATTTCATCTGTTTGGAACCATTTGTTGAAGGTTCTATCGATTATCAATGCTAATTATGCCAAAAATATCCCCCTTTTAGCGATGACCCTACTTGTATTGCGCAACACGGCCGGACATTTCAGTACCTTGTGTGTCCTCCATGCGCAGCTGTCGCAGCCCTGATTCTTCTATGCATGGAATTCATCAGGGTGTTAACCCTTGCAATGGGGATGTTATTCCATTCTTCATGCAAGGCACGTGTGAGCTGGACCAGATTAGTGAGGGCATTTGGACGTCTCCTAACTCTCCTATTCAATTCGTCCCACAAATGCTCAATTGGAGACAAATCTGGACTGAATGCTGGCCAATCGATTGGGATTACATTATTGTTGGCAAGAAATTGCTGACAAACTCTAGCAACATGGGGCCGGGCATTTTCTTGCTGGAATATCAGGTTCCGTGCTTGCACACATGGCACGGCAACTGGGCGAAGGATTTCGTCTCTATACCTTACGCCGGTTAAATTACCGTCAATCACAATCAGGGGTGATTTAAATCCATAGGAGATACCGCCCCAAACACATACTGGACCACCGCCAAACCTATCCCACTCAGCGACGCACGCGTCGGTGTAACGTTCCCCTCAACGTCGATATACATGACGTCGCCCGTCTGAATGGTAGAGAGTGAACCGGGATTCGTCAGTGAAGAATACCCGTCTCCATTGACTCATAGGAAAATTTCTGGGTGAGTGTGCTTGTAACCAAGCCAATCGGCATTGGCGATGCGCAGGAGTTAAGGGCAGACCAACATAGGGACGTCGGGCTCTTAGGCCATTGACGCGTAATCGGTTTCAAACCGTATCAGGATGAATATGGTGGTTATGACTGCCTATAGTGTTATTTGCAGTTTCGGTAGCTGTGACATGGCGATTACGTAAGTGAGAAAGTCTTATAAACCGATCCTGATGTGGCGTCGTGACTCGCGGACATCCACTTCGCGGTCGGTCGATGACCCTCCCTGTCACTCGCACACGTTGGACAAGACGTTGAATTGTCTGAATATGCACACCAAAATGTGCAGCAACCTGAAGTTGGCACTGACCCTGCAAAAGCATTCCTATAGCCTGTCCCCGCTGGACTTCCATCAATCGTGGCATGGATGTAAATTGCTTAATTCGAATCAAACTTTGAAAAATCAATCCGAATACTTGAACAGTATCAAACAGACTGAAAATTTCCATTGGCGAACTCTATGACCTTCCCCTGCACGGGATTCTTGTATTTTAGCATGTGCCTCGCACGGAGCGCGGAGGTCAGGTATTGTGTGATTTTAAACACGTGTACCTAGTGACCGCAAACAACACATCAACCTGACCGAGTGTCATTATTCTAGGCCAAGCAATAAATCCTTTGTAGTATATTTAGTGTACCTGGTGTTTCTTTTTTGTGTTAGTATATATATATTCTATCTATCCTGCAATACTTTTCAATGATTTGTGAAGGCTATTCAATCTTTGTTAACCTGACATTGACATTACGCTGAATTCTACCTGATGACATATGTCAAAATAATTGCTCTGTGTGGAAATGTGGCTTGAAAACTTCGATGGATATAAAAAAAAAAAAAAACTATTTTCCAAATTTTCGAAAAAATTCTTGGTGGTTAATACAAACAAGATGTATATTTCGAAAAGTTATTTATATTTCTGAAAAAATGTTTAGGTAACTCAGAAAGTAATTTGATCAAATCAATGCACATGCTAATATGTCACTGCCAAATATAGCAAAAACACATGTGGCAGCTGTATTCTGACAATGGCAACACTAGTTGTAGGGTAAAAAGACACAGGAAAATATTTAATATATAACATTACAATTGTAATAATGAAATATGCAAGTTTTACTAATTAAACATGCATTTACCAATGACAGGTTGTAGTTAGGCCTGACAAAATTTCTGAAGGTAGGAATTAACTAATCATGAGACTGATGCCAGATATTGCTTGAAAGGCAGCTTTAATGTTTTCTCTTTAATCTTTTCAAGGAGATATGTAATAACAATATTACAAAGCAAGTTTGAAATTACTAATCTGTCAACCCTACTTGTTTAAGCTAAATATATATATACATGTTTCTATATATTCTTTTTTCAGCACTGCCAATTTACAGATAATCTAGTACATAAACATAAAAGGGGTGCCTTACACTTTAAATCACAATTAAATCAGACCATTCCTTTTATTGAAATATTTTTACAAAAATTATCATGATAAATATTTTAAGACATCTTAAAAATTGACCTTTATACCTACAATATGTATATCTGTATCTACTATTGTATGTTTTTAAGGGACAAAGTATTAGAGTGCAGCCTTATACGTTATTGTTACTTAATTGTGTGTATTGAATTGTCATTATAAAAAAATTGGGAGTTTACAACATGAGAAAAAACAGCTAGATTTCATAATGAACTATATCCAATCTGTCAAATAGCCATAATTTTGGGACACAATAAACACTAGTGATTTACGAAATATTTAAAATCAAAAGTACCATATGTCAGTGTGTTTTGCAATAGCATCTAAGACAGTGAATGACATATGAAAGCGTATTGACAGCCGCTAGCCATTACCTGAAACAGTGTATACACACAGGTAAACTTTCACTTGACCCAAATTTAACTTTAAACATTTTGCATCATAAAACACTTACTTCAAGTATGTTAAAGTACTTCTAACACTTTATACGAGACATTGGTAACAATTACACATATCTCTTTCCGCCACATTCGCATATTTACAGAAACAACTATAATTACCTCTGAATTAAGATCACAGTTACCATGGTATTTGTAAACAACCAACTTCATAGCAGTTTTAAAAAAAAACAACTTTTTTTCAAAATAACAAAAGTTATAAAAACGTTAAGATCAATACATATTACAAATTACTCACCTACTTAGAAATCACGTCATTCTGAATAATGAAAGAATTCCGTCAAAAATTACACAGCACAGTTGCTCGTGTCGTTCAATATTTTACCTGTGGTAGCTCACAGGATCACGTGACTTTTTGCGTAACGGAAGTGAATTTTTCATGTGTGTACACTTCCTGTTTTGCAAGTTATGCTACGCGCGTGACAAGTGTGTAAAGCCGGGTATTGGTCAGATCAAAGCAACATTGGATTGCTTGAAGCGTTTTACAACATAATTCAGTTGACAGGAAAAAACAGCATCACCATCACGACCTGCATTTGATATAAGATGGCATCTGAGACAGAGAAGGTAAATGGGCTGATATTACTACTTTCGATTTCTAACAATACTGCGTAACATTACGTTAACTTTATAATCAACTGTCATAATTAACAGGTAACGTGATGTATCAATTTTCATGGTGTGTTTGAATTCTGTATTTTATCTTTTTGTTTCATAAATAATTACGTTCTACTTTCATTTCCTACTTTGATTACACGCCAGCAGAGCATGGGTCTATACATAGTTAACGCAGTGATGCATGACAGGAATAGCATTGATACGGGTACCCCCACAAAACACACGCAGGCCGAAAAGTCACTTTTGGCAAATGTAAACATGCAGATGCGGTCTGGTCACAGTTTTTTTGTAAAGGTAAAAAAAATGGACAACAATTCATGTAAATCAGTTAAATGAATGTTTTTGGCATACTTGCTCAATTCAGAGACGTATGTTATATATGTCTCTGCTCAATTTCAGGCTTTTTTTTTTTTTCGAATTTCATCATTACATATTTCCAGTATCCATGTACTCCCGCTAGTATCAAACTCTATAGCAAATCCATCCAATATGACATCATTAACTCTTTATTTTTACAGATGTTGGCTACAACAGGTGTACTTTCAGCATTATTTTTCTGTGCAAAAAATCCATAATCCGGAATGAATGAGAATTGTGTGGTGGCAGCAAGTGAGATATAAGATGGTTTAATAATGAAATAAGGCAATTTCATGTCTTAACATTGGATTATGTGGGGAAAAAAAGATGTAAGGAAAAATTGCAAGGAAAAAATTAAACCAACTCACCAGAAACGGTGTCCTATGACGAAAATTATTCGTTTTACCAAGTTAAAAGATTCATTGACCACTTTTTCATTGTACACACCATGATTGAGACCAGGTATGGCTCAGTTGTTAATATTTGCCCTATATATGTTTAGTCAGATTTGACAATATTTCCTGTACTTATTTCACCAATCTTCACCGACAGAGGGAAATTGTGCCTCCACCCCTCTGCTTCGACTTATAATACATTTGAGTGTAGACTAATTTTTACTTGAATATAACCTATTTATGTTCAACTTTTCTGTAGGTGACTGCACCTGTAGTTACAAAGTGAAGACTTAACAGAGAATAGAAAGCAGACAAGTCTGTTAAATTGAAACTCTTGTGAAAAGATGAAAAGAGTTAAAAATTTCCTGACTTGGTCTAGGCATAAAACTTGACACAGGATCCATTGAACCTATGCAACAAAAAGCAATGTTGTGTATGGGAGTGATGGATTTTTAAGTTACAGATTTGATCCACTGGTCAAGGGGATATAACTCTAGTCTTAGATTTTTTTAACTCTTATGTAAAGACTTGACTTCCATTACAACCTTCTTGACATTTTTTGCTGAACAAAGTTGAATACATGTTACCAGAATTGCTTTCGTTTGTAAATGCTCCTGCACAAAACAATAATAGCACTTACTTGTCTTCAAAACATTGAAAGAAATTAGGATCATTTTGAAAGTGTAAAATGGAACTTATATCCATGTTTGGGAATAATCCAAATAATAAGTTATATTATGATCTCACCATCAACACAATGTATTTATATGTACCTATGACACATTGAATGTTCTTATTGTTGATCAGCCAAAAGGTTTAAGTCCAACTGATCCGTGTTCCTACTCCAGACCTGATGAATGTATTGTGACACATATAGACCTTGATCTGGATGTAGACTTCCAAAACACCTCCCTAAAAGGTCAAGTTCATCTATCTCTGCAGAAGAAGAAAGAGGACATAAAAAATGTGGTAAGTACTATAATTTGTACAAGACATCTTCAAAATCCAAGGGTTACATTCCCGAGACTGGGTAAATGATCTCAGTACATGTAAAGGTCAATGGGTCATAATCAGAACTTCAAGAAAGTTTCTGTAGTACAGAGCTTTTGTCAGAACTTAGTAGCTGTACCTTGTCCCCACAAATTTTTCTTGATCTTCTACTTGTCCTACAAATTTCCTTGTACTTATCCCTACAACAAAGTTACCTAATCTTGCACTTTGAAGTTGGGTGTTGCCACTTTGTAATCTTCAGATGAGTTTATCTCTCTGTGATTGTCATTTTTTTCGCCAGAAACCCACTCTATACAAATCAAATTACTTTGCTTGTGTCTTCAATTTTGCTTACCTAGACTTCAGATTGATTTATGTATTTTTATTGTTTTTTTTCTCTTTAAGCATCAATAATGTTTATCAAAATGATTTAAATGAAAAAAAAACATAGATTGCTTAGGTTTTGTGCTGATATGTTTTTGTAGAAGTCATCTGATTTTTTCCATTACTTGAATAATATGTACCTGGTATATGTCCAGCTTCAATTCTTATATTCAGCACCATAGCAACATTATCTAGATGTTCATTTTGATATTTCATTATACTATTTTCTGATTTATCATCAGCATTAAAGTATTTTTGCCAGTGATATTCAGGAATTCATCAAGTTGATAAGAACTTCATTCTGAAATCAATACAGCTGTGGTGTTGATATAATTTTCCTGTGATGGTTAACGTTCATACAATGTAGTTTTTATCAACCAGAATAGTGCTTTCTAGTCACTGCAATGAAATTTTCTGATTTTCTGTTCGACAAAAATAAAGCAAAGGTTGAATAAGTTTGTTTTCCATCAAATAATTTGTGTGTACATTTTTAAAATACTTGTGTTTCACACTCATGAAAAATATAAATGTACAATCATATACATTAAACATGATATTAAACAAGAAACAATCTCCCTCCCAATAATTTTGTAATGTGATAATATTTGACAGATGCATATGTATTTGGGCATGCTTTATTTGATGTTATTGATTTCATCATTGAAATTTTTTCAGGTGCTGGACACTCGAGAGGTGACTGTACAGCGAGTGACTGACCAAGCAAATGGACAAGAATTGAATTTCACCTTAGGAGAACATGATCCAAATTTTGGATCTAAACTGGACATCAAATTGCCTAGCAGCTGTGGAGACAAGTAAAAATGGGGATTTGAAAATAAACTTTTAAGATGAATAGGGATAAATTCAAAACTTATGAGTCGTCCAAATTGTAAATTTGTTGTTTCTGTAAAGGAGTGGGTTTCTCTATCACTCAGCTAATACAGCATGCTTCTTTGACTTAGTTGAATTATCATGCCAGATGATGTTGTGTAGTATGGTGTAATGAAGCCCATGGTAAATTGAACTGCAGCTCATTTTACCATTATGGTGAACTGAATCCTGAACCCCTGTAAGTTTTGCATAATCAGATACCTCCACACCTGATAAAAGCTATATGTCTGGGATAACAGTTAAGTTTTTGCTGGCATATTTTGTATCATTAATATCATAGTATATAGAATTATGAATGTTAGTAAATTAAGAAGATTTGATGAAAAAAAATATAAGTTACAATTAGTGAAATGCTTCAATTTACCATGACCCCTGACATATGACCTTTGACAGAGTAAAGCGAAGTCCCCTCTCCCCCACCCTTATTTCCTGACCCCTGACATATGACCTTTGCCAGAGTAAAGTGAAGTCCCATCTCCCCCACCCTTATTTCCTGACCCCTGACATATGACCTTTGCCAGAGTAAAACGAAGTCCCCTCTCCCCCACCCTTATTTCCTGACCCCTGACATATTACCTTTGCCAGAGTAAAACGAAGTCCCCTCTCCCCCACCCTTATTTCCTGACCCCTGACATATGACCTTTGTCAGAGTAAACTGAAGTCCCCTCTCCCCCACCCTTATTTCCTGACCCCTGACATATGACCTTTGCCAGAGTAAACTGAAGTCCCCTCTCCCCCACCCTTATTTCCTAACTCCTAACATAACTTATGACCTTTGCCACAGTAAAGTGAAGTCCTCTCTTCCCCGCCCTTATTCCCCGACCTCTGACATATGACCTTTCCCAGAGTAAAGTGAAGTCCCCTCTCCCCCACCCTTGTTTCCCGACCTCTGACATATGACCTTTCCCAGAGTAAAGTGAAGTCCCTTCTCCCCCACCCTAATTTCCTGACCTCTGACATGATGACAGCCATAGTAAAGTGAGCCCACATTCACCCACCCTAATTTCCTGATCCCTGACATATGACGACAACCGTAGTAAAGTGAGCCCACATTCACCCACCCTTATTTCCTGATCCCTGACATATGACCATGGCCATAGTTAAGTGAGCCCACATTCACCCACCCTAATTTCCTGATCCCTGACATATGACGACGGCCATGATAAAGTGAAGTATTTAATTTTGTTTCCATGGTATAGCTATGTGAAGTTGACTAAGTATAAAATACATTGATTATGATGTTCATGTAGATTGAATCGGTGAGGTTTGAAATCTATGATATTTCTTCCATATGTAGATGTGTTGTGACAGTGGATTATGAAACATCACCCCAGTGCTCAGCCTTGCAATGGTTACGAAAGGAGCAGACAGCAGGAAAACGCCAGCCATATCTTTTCAGTCAGTGCCAGGTGGGTTCTGTAAAAATTGTTTCACTTATTCACTTACTTGACCTCTGTCAGTATGAACTCATCACATACAAGATTTTATCACTTCATTATTACCAATAACCAGGTACTTTTATAGTATTTGAGATTTAAAAAAAAAGACTTGTGTGTACAGCTTTAGAATGTGGTCATGAAAATTGTGAATTATCTTATTTTCAAAAAGCTCGAGAAACAAGATTTCAAACAGAGGAAACTTAAAGTTTAAATTTATGGGTGGTAGGCAAAACATTTTGAAAATTTTGAATAGAGAAATAAATGTGTCTGGAGCATCACATATATACATATTTAGTCCAAGTTTTAAAGGGAGATAACACATGTACAATATACATGTATGACATGTAAAGTAGGAAAAGTGTGATAAAAACACACCCTAGTGTGATATTATTGAAATTGTGCATTACAGTCATAAAAGTCTAAATTGTAGTTTATGTACTTCACTGTAGTAAAGGGTGCACATGATTTGTAATTTCATAAGGTAGCATATATCCTTAACCCATATAACATAAAGTCAGATGAAATACATTTGTTAATTTTAGATATAAATTCTGGTTGTAAAGTGTAAGTTTAACATCCTAGATTTTTATATAAACCAGAAGTGAAAACATGTACACAAAAACTCTTACATGTGATGTATTTTGACAAAGAAACTTGTATGTATTTTGAATGCCTGCTGCAAACAGCAATGATTGCTTGAATAGGTTTTCTTGTAAATTGTAAACATGCATATATTTTAGAGGTAATGTTATTTGAGTATTTTGCTGTGCTATGATTATTCTTATTCCAGTTTCTGTTGGTCATATGTATAATAATCATATTGAAAGCATAAAGTCATGATTATTTTGGTTTAAAAAAAAAACAAGATAAGTGATCTGATGTTTTGTAGGCTATCCACTGTCGGAGTATGATTCCATGTCAGGATACGCCTGCCGTTAAATCTGGATACTCTGCAAAAGTAAGTATTTGTTGACTTCAAATGTGAGTTTATGCTAAGTCCATCCTTTACAAATAAAGGTAACTTTAAAGTATACTCAAACGTCCAGTCTCTACATGGTAGTAAGTATACTCAAGAATCTGTAGTACTGTAATGAAAAAGCGAGTATACTTGAACACTTGTATCCCACAACATTTATTTTTCTAAAGGTTGGAATTTTTTGAATTGAAAGTATTAAAAAATCAATGTAAAAAGAAAAAGCAAGATGTGAAAATTGGAAATACAATTACACAATTAGATGAATTCAATAAAAGATTGAAAATTGTCAACCAATCACTTTTTATAGGTCTCCTGAGATGAAGTCTCAAGTGACCTATTGCAATTGCCTATTGTCTGTTTTCTTCGTGCGTTGTTAGTCACACACAAGTGAATGACCTTGACCCACTTTCAAGGTCACCAGTATCAAATATCTTAAAATCTTCAAACGACTTCTTCTCAATAAGTGAAAAGCCCATAGGTCTAATATTGATATTTGGAAACTTATGGGCATGGCCTGAAGGGTTGGATTTGTTCAAGTTTCTGCAATGTCCTTTAAATCCACACTTGCTATAAACAATATTCTGCAGGCTTTATATGTATTCTAGATATTGGATAAGGAAGTTTTGATAAATTTGTGCTTGTCATTTGTTAAAAAATTTAGAACTAAGGTGACCGTTAAGACCGATATGCCTCTTGTTAGAGAGGATCGACTATGAAAGTTATACCAATTCTGTTCACTAGCAGAGTTTTTGTTATGGATTTAGGTTGAGATTGATATCAGAATTAAGATCTTATTTATCATGTGTCTGTTGTTCTAAATAGATATCTGCTCCAAAAGAGGTAATTGTGTTGATGAGTGCACTACGTCTGGGAACTGAGGCACACAACAGTGATAGTTCCAAACTGGTTCACAAGTTTGTACAGAAGGTCCCTATTGCCAGTTATCTCATTGCTATCGTCAGTGGAGACATTGAAAGCAGGTATCTATTGGTCATACTATATCAAAGTAGTATAAAAATGGGTGTTCGTGTGGCACAGTGGTAATGCACTTGCCTTTCACCAAGCTGTCTGGGGTTCGATTCTCGGAATGGATGTGAAAAGGTATGGGGTCACCTGTCTTACCATGTTGGTTTTTCCTAGGTTACTCCCGTTTCCTCCCACAGTAAGATCCCTCGCACACTTTCATCCTGGCCAACAAGAGCAATTAATATAAGTTGGAAAAACTTGTTTTGCAGTTGTTGTAAAATAAAGTTTATTTATCAAATTGGTAAAATACAATGTTTTACCTATTGAAAACTTAAATAAAAAATGGAAGAAATAGTTTGTGATGTTTTGTTCGATATTACAGTTGATCTTTAATGTTTGTACATAATTCAACTATTTGCAGAGATATTGGTCCAAGGTCCAAAGTTTGGTCAGAAAAAGAAATGGTTGAACAAGCAGCCTTTGAATTTGATCAGGTATTTGAATATTTGTTAATGCTTATCAAGATGGTTAATAACACAACATCTCCATGAATAGATTTGTCACTCCAAAAATGAACAGAGTAAAATGTATTTTATAATGGTCAAATACTTTTTGCTTCCTTCCAACTCAGCTTTAGAGAATTTAATCTCGTTATCTCAATTGATAAAACATACTATATATTAGTAATCAGACATCAGAGATTTGATTCTTAGTAAAGTTATTGAAAAGAATCATAACCTCAATATCATTTACAGCTTCAAATTTCAATTTACAAAGATAGCAACATTTTCAACCCTTTTTAGTTTAATCAGGAAGATTATTAAAGTTTTATCCTGGTGTGTTGAACTGATATTCTTCATTACAATTACAGACAGAGAACATGTTGCAGACAGCAGAGGCCTTGGTGGGACCCTATGTTTGGGGGCAATATGATTTACTGGTTTTACCCCCTTCTTTTCCCTATGGTGGAATGGAGAACCCCTGCCTGACCTTTGTAACCCCTACTCTGCTGGTGACTATAATTTTTAACAAGAAATATCTTACATCTGACAGCAAGTAAAAATACAATACTAGTAGAACCTGTCTAATCTGACACAACACATTAGTCAAATTCACTTATCTAATTTCACAGCCAGTGGGATTTAATCAGACACCTTGTTGGATACAACTTTATGCCCTAGTCAGACTTTTGTCAGCTTATGTGGTCTGAAGGACATAGGGAATAGTTTATGATGTACTGTTAGATATCAGAATTAACCCATAATGTATGTATTTAATTCAGCTATTTCACTTCTTCTGTAGAAATATAAGGATTCTGTCCTCTTTTGGTCTAAAACATGCTAGGTTGAATGAAAATAAATTTTGTATAAATGTTAGGTCTCTGACTTCTCGGCATGAAAGAGTGGATGGGGCGGGGCAGAGCAGATGGGATGGGATGTGGCGGGGCGGGGCCGGGCCGGAGCCTAATTTTGTATCAACCAGGAGTCTGATTATCAGAGATGTGGGAAATGTAAGATGTTAAAATCCATCTGTTCAGGGATATTGATCAAGTTTGGTCTGAAGCAATTTTATGAAGACTGGATCCAACAGGGAAATTATTTCAGAAATCATTTGTCATATTTGAAAATCTTTGGTGAAATAACTAAATAGCTGAATTAGCCAGGTGAATGATGCAGGACCCTTTGGCCTCTTGTTCATTTGAAAGTGGCAGGAAAGCCCGATTATACAGATAGTTTTGTTCTTATACTTTGATCGCATAGTTTTGGGTTTAGACTGCTCATTATTTGTTAAAACAATGCTCAGGTACTATTGTATACATTCATAAGTAAATAGTAATCACAGGTGTGATACATTCACCATAGATGTTTATTGATAAATCAAATCTTCAACATAAAGTTAAGCATACATTTGTAACTCAAACACAGGTCACAGGTGTAATATGTAAGGTAGCATATATCCTTACCTAAAGTACATGTCACAGGTGTAATATTTAGGTAGCATACCGGTATATCCTTACCTAAAGTACATGTCACAGGTGTAATATGTAGGTAGCATATATCCTTACCTAAAGCACATGTTACATGTGTAATATGTAGGTAGCATATATCCTTACCTAAAGTACATGTCACAGGTGTAATATGTAGGTAGCATATATCCTTACCTAAAGTACATGTCACAGGTGTAATATGTAGGTAGCATATATCCTTACCTAAAGCACATGTCACCGGTGTAATATGTAGGTAGCATATATCCTTACCTAAAGCACATGTTACATGTGTAATATTCATTGTGGCAAATATCTTTAAATATTAAGCACAAACCACAGGTGCAATATGCAAGATGGCAGATATCCTTAATGAGATTTGTATGACTGTTCTGTACAATCTTCTTCTGTCTTTTTACAGGCAGGTGACCAGTCTCTAGCCAATGTAGTTGCTCATGAGATTGCTCACAGCTGGACTGGCAATCTTGTGACCAATTCCAATTTTGAACATTTCTGGTCTGTATTACCTATGTACGAAGAAAATTTAAATAAATAAAAAAAGTTGTATGATATAATTTATCATCTCCAACTGTTATGTGTTCAAAGAAAAACTTCAGTTAAAGATAAATTGTTATGTTTCCAAGTGCCCATCTATTCATGATACCTTCTTGTACACCATATCTCAGTAAACAAAGGAATAACAATTTGTAGAGCTGTACATGTATCTGATGTCCTCTGATCATTGGAACCATGAGACCAGTATAGGATCTTAAATCAGTTTTAACATACTGCTGATGTAATCTTTTAAAGGTTGAATGAAGGTCACACTGTGTTTTTGGAGAGGAAGATCGCTGGACGTCTACATGGAGGAGAACTGATGAGGCACTTCACAGGAATAGGGGGTTGGAAAAGTCTCCAGTATGGGGTACAATATTTGTTTTGTCTTGAAGAAGAACAGCTTTATAGATGACTTTGGCACCATCATCTCAGACATGGACCATCTTTTGTTACCTAAACAAAGGTTTTCATGGAAAACTTAAATTATTTTGGACAAGTCAATCTTTTTACAATGCTTTCTTACTGAGACTGCCCGAGTGTGTATAGACCTGCTTTTTAAGTTTTCAGTCTCAAAATATCAAATGTCAAGCACATAATTGCTTTATATGGAAACTGCTGTCTTCATGATATCTGTAGGCCAAGATCAAATTCAAATTTGTAATACCTCACTTGCTAGAATTCAAATTTCTCGAAACCCCCTATTGGTTGAACTGGTCAATTGATCCTTACTTGTCCTTATATATTCCTAGTTATTTAACCTCGGATTCCTCGAACCGTTATTCCTCAAATACTACACATTCCATGAGCTCATTTTTATCCCCACCTCTTCATTTCCATCATCACTTGTAAAAATCTGCCTGTGTTACGCATGAATGAGTCTAATTGGAGGGTAACAGTTCTTCTCTCTCCCAATGTGTTTATACATGTGGCTGGCAGGACAGCAGATGATAAGGAGATTAACGTTAGTATGATTACATACCTGTATGATTGTTTTACTGGGACATGTCTGATGAATTTTGTCTTTATTCGCCATAAAAATTAGCATTGTTTAAATGGAATGTTTGTCAACAAATTTACGGAATGCTGCCTGGTGAGACAGTAAGAATGAATAAAGACAACTCTCCATGTTAGGTTATATAGTTTATCAATTGTTTAAGTGTTTAAGAATGTTAATAACACATTTATCCATATAAGTAGTATACACATAGGCTCAAGTATGTTTATGTCAAAACATTTTGCATCTGTACTGTTATTTCGCAAATTCATCTTACCAGAGATAAACCATGGTAGTTACAGTATCAGTATATTTGGCCTCATAAGAGTTTTGCAGTTTTTCCTTGTGATTTGATGACTGTTTGTATTAGTTATTCAACACTTGTTATTAAATTCTGTAAATCTTTCCACCTCATATTTTCTACATACACTACATTCTTAATGACATGCTTTCTGCTGAATATAGGCTGTGCTATATTTTACCACTTTTATACAGTCGTTACACAACAATCAACATGTATGACCAACCTCTGATTACTCAAATAGCCCTATATTCCTCAAACTATTGACATGGTCCCAAGGAGTTCAACTTATTGAGGATTTACTGTACTAACTTAAGAATGCTTTAATGGTCTTAAGGTCAAAGGTCATAATTAATGTCGGTTGAGATTTGGTATCTCGGGAATAGTTGTCTATTATTTGTTTGGTCTCATGGACAAAACTTAAAGTTCTTTTCTTGTATAATACATATTCATTTTATGAATGACAACAGCTTTTGAAAAAGTGATTTTTTTATCTTCATTTTGAAAAAGAACAGTGAATCCTGATTATATTGGATGGGTTTGAGACATGGATTTACGTTAATGCAAATTATCATTTGACAAATATACCTTAAACAGTAACGATTATCTTGTCCCTGAACTTTATTTCTTGACACATGAACTTGACAGGTGTATTCTCATTCTTCACCTGTCTTCAATCTTTTTACAAATGAAAGGATATTAAGGATCAGTTGTGACATCATCAGTTTTAAATACATGCAGTTATTGTGGCATTATATTGACCTTTGAACCAAACAGTTATAATAATTTTCTCAAATGGGGTACTTTGACAGGTTGTGGATGTACTTAAAAATGGTCCCTACACCAAGCTGATCCCAGATCTGTGTGGAGTGGACCCTGATGATGCCTTTTCTGTGGTACCCTATGAGAAAGGTTTTGCTCTCTTGTTTTACTTGGAAACACTGGTAGGAGGCCCAGGTAGGTTTTGGTTTTGTTTTTTGGATGTTGACATGTAATTCTCATATATTGAATTGATAATATGTGAACCTATCAGAAAACAGTTTGTGTTTTATCTCACAGTGTAGAAACCTTCAATATTATTTATGACCATACTAATTATAGCACAACATTTTATCTAATTGTTCAAATTATGAACTGATATATCGATAAGCATTTCAACTGTCCAATCAAATTACAATTCACTTTATTGATAAAGATAATAGATTAATATTGAATGTTATATACACTGTATACGATATTGAAATTTCTTCTGTATTTTTATCTTGCTTATTTGTACATTGTAGCATGAGTGTCTTATTTGTGTGTTGTACCATGTGGAGGGAAAGTCGTAGGTTTTAGGTCACCAATTCCAAGTTGATATAACATTCATTACTAGCATTTTGCATGGAATATAGTTGTTGAACTTTTTTTTCCATGTCTGATCACGACCATTTTGAGATCTATCAATACTTGTATGAGTTTTTGCACTTCTTTGGGGATTTTTAAATTTAGATGCGTTTGAGCCATTCCTACGGGCATACATTGAAAGGTTCCAGGGAGATTCCATAGTTACTAGTCAGTGGAAAGACTTCTTGTTGGATTTCTTCCATCAAAAGGTAAATTAACATCACTACTATACAATTAAGTTGTTCATTTTAACATATTTTGGATGATGTGCTTATCAGTTTCCCTTTTGTCTGTAATTCTGTCTGAAAAAATATTCTGTTCTAAATGGTATACTGGACAAATCTTTTGGGAATTACTACGCCTATTTTTCAGGAAGAACATGTGATTGATAAAGTATTGTATACAGGTTTCCCTTGAGTATCATGGCTTTTATGTTCAAAGTATGTTAGCATTATTTCTTTGAAAGTATTGTGCAGATCTGCCTAAATTTTTTTTATAATGAAGGCTCCTAGCATTCAAAATTTTGCTATAGCTTTAAGTAAATTATTTGGATTTGAGGTTAATTGTACCAAGGTCACCAGATCAAAGTTCACGGTAATATGACTAAGTTCCAACATCTCCCAGTCAAGATGATTTTTAAAGTAACGTGCAAAGTTATGTGGAAATATGTATGTTAAGGATATCATCAGGTTACCAGTAATGGAATCTGACATCTTCAGTTTCACAAAATAGGAAGTAGTAAGTGTTTATTTGATTAACTATGTATTAGGAAACTCTAACAAAACAGTTATAGTTAGAGTTTTTATTGTTGTAAACAGGTGATATTTTGGTTATACAGGTTGGTGTGTTTGATGAGGTAGATTGGAACAAATGGTTTTTTGGTCAAGGAATGCCACCATTTAAACCTGAGTAAGTCACAGAATTTGCCACTGTTGGAACTCCAGTATGTTGGAAAGGAGAAGTCTTAATCCAGTGATCCAGTGTCTTGTTGTTTAGATCTTAAAATATTGCCTTGAAATAATTTGATAGTGTTTGTCCTATGATAGGCAGTAGTCAAATATCACTTTCCTATGCCTGTATTGGGGTAGATTCTTCTTACAATTTACAACAGCTTCTATCATACAAGAAACCAAAACAAGTTCTGCTCCAGTAGTACTACAAGCACTATTGCCTAAAGATAAACTAATACCAGGTAATTGTGTGTTGCTTTCTCCATATCAGACAATTGTAAAAACTACTTGTCTCTACATTACATATTACATCATCTGACAATAAATGCCATGCATACAAAAGCTGCATCATTGTCCTGTAATAAGCCCACCAACATTTCTTTCAATTAAGTAACTATAGCAACAAATGCTACATCATTGTCCTGTAATAAGCCCACCCACATTTTCTTCAATTTAGTAACTATAGCAACAAATGCTACATCATTGTCCTGTAATAAGCCCACAAAGAGTTCCTTTAATTAAGTAACTATAGCAACAAATGCTACATCATTGTCCTGTAATAAGCCCACAAAGAGTTCCTTTAATTAAGTAACTATAGCAACAAATGATACATCATTGTCCTGTAATAAGCCCACTTCCCTACATTAAGTTACAGGATATGTGTTAGGCTAAGGGGTCAACACATCAATTCTGACTTAAAATAGTTACTGGGAGATAGGTTTTCTTCAGTCCAAAACTCTATCAATCATTAGCAGTTCAAAACCTGCACTTATTTTGGATGGGTTTATTACATGGCATGTGCTGTGGTTTTATCAGTAAGCATTCTCAACTGAATCATGCTTTTACATGAAACCAAGCTACATGTTTTGAACAAGTTGGAAATTCATGTATGCTGCAGACATCATATATTATACTTAGTAGTAAGTAAACATTGTTTACATAATTTACCTTGTGCAAAATGTTTCCTCATTGAAATAAGAAACTTACCACATTTGAAGCAGATAGATAGAAAAATAAACATTTGACGATATCTTTAGAAATAGAATTCATCTGACCATGTGTCTGATACTACTTTCTGTTTGCTGTAGCTATGACAACAGTCTTGCCTTACCATGTGCTGATCTGTGTCAGCGATGGGTGAATGCTTTGGAAGAAGATTTCTCCTCATTCAAGGCAGAAGATTTTGAATCTATGTCAACTGCACAAAAAAGAGAATTTCTCTCTCTTTTGTTATTAGAGGTAAGAATCGTTCATTACCAGAAATTGAAAGATATTATTACCTACCATTAACATATTATTTCTTTTCGTAACTTTAAACAAAAAAAAATGTCTAAAGAAGACCAAATAATCTAAAATGGATGTTATGTCATTTAAGCTCATGGCTGCTTAAAAAAGTATCTCCATATTTACTGTATATGTATATATAGATTGAGTTACCTAAAACCTCTATTTCATTGTCCTGTAATAAGCCCTCTCCCATATTTAGTTAAAAGGCAATGTTTTGACATTAATTACAAATACTTTAAAACAAATCTGTTACATGTAGTTTTATCTCTTAGTTCATATAATAATTTTTTGTATTACATTGCAGTGATTTTCTTTCTCTTTATTCTTAGGACCCGTTTTCTCCTGAGAAAATCCAGGCAATGGAAACTGCCTATAACCTCAACTCCATCAAAAATTCAGAAATTCGATTCAGGTATGACTTTATATGAACAACAGTTTTCTTGTTTTCCATAAAAAGATTAACCTTTAGTTACATTTTTCTTCTTACAATTTTTTACCGAAATTATAAAAGTATATTAAAAGAACAATTGAACACAAAAAGCTTGATATATATATATATTAGAATAACTTAAAGCAACACGTCAAATTAAGCATTAATCCTGAAGATTCAGGAATGAAGTGCTAATGCTTAATTCGACGTATTGTTTTAAGTTATTCTAATATATTTCACCGGACACTGAGAATTTAACTTTTATATTTGAAGATATATAGGATATATAATAGTGTCTTCAATAATAACAATTATGTTTCACTAGTGTTGCTAATATTTTGGTATCTTTCACGAGTGTGAAGCACAAGTGAACAATACCAAAAATATTAGCCACACGAGTGAAATATATTTGTTATTACTGAAGACACTATTAAATATTCTGTTTATTACATTTTCATCGCAAAAATAAACCAAAACAATGGCAAACTTACGATAACTATAAAATGGGTAAGTTGACCATGCTTTTTCCAGACACTACTCACTCATTATACAATGATGTTTTGCGCAGCAAAAAATAGTCCATTTTATGAAAAATCAGTAAAAATATACAGACTCATAAATAAATCATAATGAATGTTTATTTGTGTTTGGACATGGATTTTGTTATTTATTGATGTCACTTATACACAATAAAATGGTTTAAACGTTAAATGGAAAAAAAAAAAAAAAATGTAGTCCTATCTGGAATTGGAGTAGATTTGTATCGGGCTCTGTGATAGGTCAATCCTCAAAGTGATATTTTTCACTAGTAATTTTTTCACAAGTGAAAAATATCACTTTTATCAGTTTGAGATATTCCTATACATTTGTATTTCACTGCTAAAAATATAATAAATATGTATATCACATATGTATTAAAAAGATATCAAGAGTAAATTTCATATCTTTTGCATTGATTACCTGGGTTTAGTAAATAATTGAAGATGATATTTTTAACATGTTTTTTGTTTCCTGCTGCAGCTGGCTGAGGATGTGCATTCGTGCAAAATGTGAAGATTGCATTCCACGTGCTTTAGCTTTTGTCAATGAGCAAGGAAGAATGAAGTTTGTGCGACCAATATATCGGTATGTCACAGATATTTCATTATGAATGAGGAAAATAAGATATTTTCAGTTTGGTTTACCCATTGATATTCATGGAGTTCTGCTATGACTTTTTAATGATAATAACCTTGAGGTCAGACTCATGACCATCACTTAAAGGTTTCACTGTGGCCCTTTTAACTTTGATTCAATTTTAACTATTTCTTCTTGATCCCAATCTTATGGGTTTTTTTAGCAATCTGTTGACCATCATCTTAGGGTAGATTGAGGTAGATATTTCATAAATTTGGAGATAATTGGCCATGTTGAAAGTCTGTTAAATCCTGTTTGGAAATATCTTGTTGTTTTACTTAGTATAGATTTCAATGTATTCTATCTTGGAGTTCTTATATATTGCATGTTTTCAAATAACATACTAAAAGTCAAATATATGGTGTGATAAGATAATAATTATAAACAATATGCCCAAATGTGAAGTGCAATAGTTAACTTAGAATATTGGACAAGTCGTCTTCAAAAAAATTTTTTGAGATTTTTAGGTCATCTGATCGAAAGGGCCGTGCGCCATCTGCTGTTTGTCGTGCGTAAACTTTTGACATTTCAAACTTCTTCTCAAGTTCCACAAATGGGATTGAGCTCAAACTTGCGTGAAATGATCCCGAGATAGCCCTGACCAAATGTTGTTATTTTTCAGGAATTGCCTTAAATCCAAGATGGCCACCATCTTGAAAACCATATTTGAAACTTCTTGTCCAGTTACACTGGTGTCATTGAGCTAAGAATTGATGGGAATGTTAAGGAAAGGTAGCCAACAAAGTGTTATTTTTTGGCCGTGTCAAAACTTTGATACAGCAGCCAGGGAGGCCATTTTGTAACATGATTGCACAATCATGGTTTTTTCTTAGCAACATCTATTTCAAACTTCTTCTCAAGTTTCATTTGTGGAATGGAGCTTAAACTTGCATGAAATGATCTTGAGATGGTTCTGACCAAGAGTTGTTATTTTTTGGATATGTCTGAAATCCAAGATGGCCGCTATGACCGCCATCTAGAAAAACATATTTTAAATTTCTTGTCCAGTTACACTGGCAATCATGGTTTTTTTCTGTGCAACACCTATTTCAAACTTCTTCTCAAGTTTCCCTGGTTGAATTGAGCTCTAACTTTACTGTCAAAAATGGTAAAACTTGTTATAGTTACCAATTCCTCACCAAAACTACCATCTGAATCATGAAAAACAACTTCAATTCTATTACATTCAAAGTAGAAAAGAAACAGCCCTTCTCCTTGCTGAAAGTTTTTGTAGTTGGATGACTGTTAAGACCCATGGGCCTCTTGTCAACAAATGGACTTAGGCTGCCATGAATTAGGGTCCCCTAATATACACAAAGTTGAAATAACGGCAGTTGGTAGACCAATCTCCAATATTGTGTGTGCTCTCCCGAACAGTTGTAGCATCTCTAATTCTGTGTGGCATGGAGTTCCTAAGAACTCTCCGGAAAGGAATATTATTCCATTCCTAGGTAAGAGCATTGTCAAATTAGTGGAGGTTATTTTGGATATTTGCTTAATTCCAAATTCGTTTGTCTAATTAATTCCACAGGTGTTTGATTTAGGAGAAATTGGGGCTATACGGAGGCCAATCAATTGGAACAATGATCTGGGCTGTAAGAAAGTCCCTACAAACTCTTGCAATGTGTGTCCTAGCATTATGATGCTGAAAGGTCAAATGGTGTATTGTAAGGAAAGTCACAACAAGAGGTCACAGGATCTCATTTCAATAGCATATAGCCATTAAATTCTCGTTAATGATCACTAGAGGTGCCTTTAAACCATCTATACAAATGTGAGAAGTCAAGATAAGCATTACCTATTGTTGCCCATTAATATTGAAATATGATTCTGCTATTCACAGGGACCTGTACGATTGGGAGCAGTCAAGACAGGTTGCTATTGACAACCTACAGGCTCATAGAGATGAGATGCACAACACAACAGCTAAACTTGTGGCCACAAAAGACCTCCATCTTCCAAACTGACCTTCGAACTCTGGCATCAGCTGAATACTGACTACTTCAGTGACCAAATCAAACCTTCCAATTTTTTATAGATTGTGATAATTGAAAAAAGACTGTCTCTTTCAGTTAGAGTGTTTTGTTGTTATTGTTGTGGTTTTTGTTTTTTATTTTCTTGGAGTTTAGAGAGAAAATAAATCATATCATGAATACTTCGTTGAAACTATGGGATATCATTGTTTCATGGATTCTAATTGGTTGACCATTTTAGAAGCTAGCATTAATGTGTTATGTCCTATGATCTGGTTGGTTGTATCAAAACTTTAGTCAGCTTTGTCCAGAATCTCTGTAGTGATGGTGTTTTGTTCACTAGGAGATGTGCCATTATTCATATCTCAAGATTTATTTAATCTTTTAATCTTATTTAATTATTGGGTAAGTAATTGTGTGAAGCATTTAGTAATTCAGTTGTTCATCTTTTAGATATCATAAACGTGTATGCTTGAGTGTACAATGTTCATGGAATTACCTGTTTTCTTATACCTACTAGCCAAGGAATTCAGTTTTTCAAATGCCTACTAACCAGAGAATTCAGTTTTACAAATGCCTACTAACCAAAGAATTCAGTTTTTCAGATACCCACTAACCAGAGAATTCAGTTTGCAAATGCCAATTTATCCGGCCATGATTTCAATTTAACAGCTGTATTGATGGTGAATAAAACTACCTATGAAAAAAGTATTAAATGTGACATATATATTTGATACAATTTTGGATACGTTTGCTTAAAATATTTCACCAGGGTTCAGGTTGTGAAGCTAGATAAATGTAACACGTACAAAAGTTATTATCAGGCAAGTTTCTGAAATGGGTTGAACTTAAAGAATGTGTGTAGCAATATATATAGTTTGGTGTCGTGTGTTATCTATTGAATAGATCTTCATTCCTTGACATTTACTTTGGAATATAATTTTAAATTACAGGTCTTTTAGATCACATATAAGTTGAAACTTATATAATGTTTCGCATTACTTACCATGCAGTAAAATTAATTGATTACACTTTTAACAAGTCAACCAAGGTATGATCAAGAGATTTTTTACAGCATATATTCAAAATGTTGTGAAAATATGTACAAGTATCAACCAGAATATTGGCTTATTAATTTATTAAGTTTTTAGTCATCAAAAATGAAATATTCCATAGTTAATTGGACATCACAGTAAAAAATATGTGATTAAAAACTGAAGGAGCATGTTGTTTTCACCCCCAAATATATCTAGACCAATGCTATGTTATTACTGATAGTCTATTGTGAATGTCCAGTTTGACCCCTCAAATTGTTCAGGAAACTATCCAATTCATAAATTCAAAAACAAGGTAGTGACATTTGTTTACATTGAGAAAGACGGTAAACACATGTTTACTGTGAAATGTAATTATCTAACAACTTTTGCACACAGTTTCTAATATTTCAAATGTTAATCAGTATACAAATTTTAAAAATGTGTCATTTTATGATCGTTATTTCTCCCTTTGTGACCTCCTTTACAATACACGCTTACTTGTCAAGTTCAACCTCGAATTATCTTTGCATCACCTGACTGCTCTTCACTTAAAGCTGTGAGTGCAGTGACTGTTTTTGTTTGCCACTGCTTCGCATGAGACACCAGATTATTTACAACGGCAACTTCTTCAACATCCAGTGAATTTGGTAGTGATGAAAAGTCCCTTTATAGCATGATTGGTCAATATGGATAACTTCTCAGCTAATTCTTGCCACATTTTCCCATAAGGACCTGGCAGTGTACCACATTTATTAATGCAGAATTTAGGAAGGAACAATGACTTCACAGTGATGACCCTATAACAGCCTAGATGGTCAATTTGCACACTGGTAACACACCTTTCACCAAGCTGCTGGGGGATAAGATTCTCCAAACAAACATGAAAATAACCTGCCCAACCTTTTGGGTTTACCCTGGGTTCTCCACTTTCCTTCCATAGTAAATATCTCTTAGCATTTACAATCAGGCCAACATTAGCAATTAGTATAAGTTGAAAAAAAAACTTGTTTAGCAATTATTTTAAAATAAATGAAGATATTATTTTATTTCATATATTTCCTCCAGTCTTAAAAAAACACCATGAAGTTCACATTTAATATTTTTGATAGTAGTGTTTTTTTTATTATTGATAATTTTATAATTAGCCCATCAAGAATAAGAATAATGAATGTTGTTAAATGTACATGCAAGTTGTTTGTCTGATTTTATGTAAATCATAAAATGACATGTAATGATTCAATTTATAAGCTGTGATTTAGTAAGTTGTTTTACATTGCTAGACTTGTCCATGTTTTCTTATACAAATACATTTTATAAGGAATCATAACTTGAGAGTTGTTGTTTAATGTCCATTAGGAAAGGGTAAGGAAATGTATTCTGTCTGTGTGAGAGGGCACCTGAACTGACAATTTAATATATCAAAGGAAGCTATTTAGGCTAAAGGGAAAGTCCTACCAGTTGAATATATTAGATAGCATGTCAGTTCTCAATTTCCAAATCTTTACTTGATTTATGAGTCAATATAAGAAGTTGTCAAACTTTGCAGAAGGAAAACTAAAAGAAATCAAGTTGCTGTTATTGCATGTTTTTTTAAGCAATGACCTCATTTGGCATCTCTCACCAGATCTCGGCCTGATTCATTTTGTGCATACTATCAAAATGCCATCCCCTATAATGATACATAAGTGTAGATCATTACGAATGAAAATTAAACAAAATGTGCTCAAGAAAAGATAACTTGCTTTGTCTTGTAGGAAATATTTCTTAACAGACTTTCAACCAGAAACAGTTGACACAATAAACAAAAAATTTCAATCAACAACAGGTGACACCAATAAAGACTTCCAAACAACAACAGAGAAGACTTCTGACCAACAACAGGTGACACCAATAAAGACTTCCAAACAACAACAGAGAAGACTTCTGACCAACAACAGTTGACATCAACAACAAAGACTTCCAAAAAGCAACAGAGAACAGATTTCCGGCCAACAACAGTTGACACCAGTACAGTAACAAAGACTTTCAAACGACAACAGTTGACACCATAAACAAAGGCTTTCAAACAAAGACATTTTCAAAGAACAACAGACAACAGTTGACACCATAAACAAAGAATTTCAATCAACAACAGGTGATGCCAATAAAGACTTCCAAAGAACAACAGAGAAGACTTCTGACCAACAACAGTTGACACCAATAACAAAGACTTCCAAATAACAGCAGAGAACAGACTTCCGGTCAACAACAGCTGACACTTGTAACAAAGACTTTCAAACAACATGTGACGCCATTAGCAAAGATTTTCAACTAACAACAGGTGACATTATTAACGAATAATTGCAAAGAACAACAAGTGACACCATTAACAATGACTTTCAATCAACAACAGAGGATACAGTCATCAGAAAGACATCCAACTTGATCAAGAAAATAGCAAGACGCTGTGAATAGATAATATCAAACCAATTATACATGGGTCAAAACAAACCAGAGAGTAGTCACTAATCTACCAACATTTTGTTATTTATACAAGTTCTTTAATCTTATGTCAGTTGATAATCCACAGACGCATTGCTGATCGGTTAAGTACAAAACAATTCTGTAACGTGTTGATTCCTTGTAAACTGCGCATCGGTAATCGGGGATGTTCTGAATGTCACTTTGTCAGTTATGAGACTGGCAGACATTATTTTGACGATTAATATAACAGTATATGTTTTAGGAAGTGATGATAACACTTACCTATGGGCGCCCATTGATGCCAAATGAAAAAGAAATATACGCTATAATTGCAAATATACGCCATACTTATTGTGAATATAAGCTATAATTGTGAATACAAGCAATACTTATTGTGAATATAACCTGTAATTGTGGATATAGGCAATACTTATTGTAAATATAAACAATACTTATTGTGAATATAAACGATACTTATTGTGAATATGCGTAATAGTTTAACTAAAGTACACGTCTCTTATGATTCCCGGTAGTTTCATGGCTTACTGCTATACACACAGGTTCTCTAGTGACAGATTACATCACGACAATATGGATTTTAACCGAAATTGAAGTCTTAAGCAAGAAAAGTGCATATGAAATAAAACACTTTTACTAATAGATAATCAGCATTCCATGGTAAACTCTGTTGAGAGCCAAAAGTAGCAAGTGTTTATAAGTCTATCTTTATTGCTGTACTTCGTTGCTAACAATACATAGCTGGCTAAAATCAAGTGTCGTTCATACCATCTACGTCATGCTGAAACGTAACTTCATCTGGATCAACAGTAAGTTTACTTGTTCCCAGAGTAGTTGAGTTGTAACCACACGAAACTCGAAAATTAGTGACCCCCGTCAGCCCCTCAACGATATGTGAATATGAATTATTTCCCGTTCACTGACACACGGAAAGAAAGTTCTTGATCACTCTTTGTTAAAGTACAACAAACATTTGAGAATTGCTCCGAGTGGCAAACAAAATATTAAGGTAAACCATTGCAAACTGGAATCAATTTGAGTAGTTTGCGTCACACCTGCTCCGAGACCTGTATCGGAGAATGAAGTACAGCAACATAAATACCGTGACTTGTCATGTGTGTTTCACTTTTATTGTTTTGCTTCTGTTTTACTATATACCCTTGGTATTTCAACTTTGAATTTCCATTCACGGACATTTTTTTAATGAAATTTTGAATACTTAAGGAGAATTGTTTCCCGCTTCATCTCATAATATTACCACTGTTTTCCGTTCAGCATGACCAGGGATATAAATCATTTACAACATACGATTTTCGGGAGGTTTTCTTGAAGTCATTTTGGTAACCATATATAGGAAACACGAAAATAGCAGCGTAGATAATTTTGTTAAACTCCTGAAATAAAAAATAGAAAAAAAATGAATATCATGAGAAGAAACTATAGATATCATTGTAAGAAATTATCAAATACAATGTATTGTCAAAATCCATCCCTAGATGAGGTCCACAAAATTCATTTAAAAAGTTAGAAATGTAATGAATATATAAATACATATCATGGGATAATTTTTAAGAAAAGGCACGTCGCTATGTTTTTCTTTTAATATCCTTTCTAGAATCTAACCTTTCAAAAAATTCTTCGTACGAATACCCATCTCACGGCTGTCCTCTTCCAAACGCTAAACAAGGTCCGGAAGAATACGTTTCGTCGTTTCCGTATATTATATATAACAAGAAACCGGAAGTTGACATCTGTAGAACGAATCGTGTTTTGACGAAAGATTGAGAATGGGAAAAGAAAAAGCTGGTTTTCTCACTCCTAAGGCGATAGCAAATCGGATCAAATCAAAAGGCTTACAGAAATTGAGATGGTTTTGTCAGATGTGTCAGAAACAATGTCGAGACGAGGTAAGACATCAAAAACGGTATCGTCACGACATTGATTCTTGACACTTTGTATGTTGGTTCATTGTATGTATGATTGTGTCCCCGTGTAGGAAAGATTAAATATATGTGAAGTAGTGGTCCAGTACTAGAACACAATTTTGTTTGCATAGATGTTTAGCTTTATGAGGAAACAACAGCTTCATTGGGTGATATTTTAATTATATTGATACCATTGCATATACTTTATTTTAAGGATAGAAATTCAAGAACATGTACATTCCCCATGATATAATGAAGCTAATAGTATCATTTCAGGTGGGAAGATAATCCTATAAGCTTCCTGACCAGATTTTGAAAATAATATGGACATAGAAACATATTCTACATGCATATTGAAAAGAGATGATTTGATCTGTGATTGTTATTAATTTTTATTTTTTAGAATGGCTTCAAGTGTCACATGACATCAGAATCTCACCAAAGACAGCTGTTGCTCTTTGCAGAAAATCCAGATAAATACATTGATGAATTTTCAGAGTAATTATCAACCTTTTTTTCTCAGAAGTTTATCAGAAAGGATCTTTCTTGAAATCCCAATGAGTAACTCAAATAGAAATTTCTTAAACTTCATTTAGCACAATCAAATTTGAGCATATTAACACTTTCTAGCAAATCAGTGCAAATTAAAATTTGTACCATTATTACTATGTATATCAGCAGCAAATAGAACTTGCAATTGATGCAATGATTTCGGGGCAAAAAGTGCTAAAATTAGATTACTACTAAGAAGACATCCATCTGGGTTATTTCCCTTGACATAGCACTAATACAGCTGCTCTGCTTGTATGCCACCATATTAAATATCTGTTGTAATTAGACAGGGTTTTCCATAATTTTGTTAGTAGCAGGCTGTGTAGTGAAAGTAGGAGGCTGGCCTGCCGTGTACGTGTAGTCGTGTACGGAACATTATTACGGAACTGGATTGGTGTAGGCGGCCAAATGATCAAAGTAGAGGGTCAAATTGGCCGGCGACCGGCTCTTATGGAAAACCCTGATTAGATCATGTCTGTGATGTAATACTTTTTTAATACTTTCCATTTAGACAATTCGCAAATGAGTATCTGGAGCTGTTAAGTCGCAGATTCAACACCAAACGTGTCCATGCAAATATTGTGTACCAGGAGTATATTGCATTCAGGGAACATGTTCACATGAATGCCACACAATGGGAAACCCTAACAGAATTTGTCAAGTGGCTTGGAAAAGAAGGTTTGTTTATAACCCAACCTTAGAAACATTTAAACAATACAGATTTCAAAATAGCACATTGCATGATGTATTTGATTAAATTGTCAACAAATTGCTTCTATATTGTTTATGTACAATATGAATTATGTCCCTTTATACAGGAAAGTGTATAGTAGACGAAACAGAAAAGGGCTGGTTTGTTGCGTATATTGACCGGAACCCGGAGACAATTCGCAAGCAGGAGCAGGTGAAAACTAAGGAAAAAATGGATTTAACGGATGAAGAGAGGACTTCAAAATTTATACAGCAACAGATTGAGCGTGCTGCAGAGAAGGACACAACATCTAAAACTCCAGAGTTTACAGAACTGAAGAGAGAGAGTGAGGAAGAGAAAGGTGAAGATGTTACTGTGAATGATCTGTAATTGAACTTATCACCATGATGCTATTTCTAATATGGGTTATAAGTGTAGCCCATTATTTGTACAATGCATTATAGATTATATATGTCAGGGATAAGCTTCCTCATTCTACAAGATTTTCTCTTTAAGCTTTCAGTAGTTTTGAATGTCCTCTGAATGACACTTTAATTTCGTGATCCCCTCTGTCCACAACCAATGTATTGGTAATGCTTGCCTAAATTTTTTTCACCTCATTACCAAAACTATATATAACATGATTTTGAAAATGTTCAAGTACAAGTCTATGAAAATTGCTAGATGAAACATGTATATCCTTATGCTAAGGCAAATTTGGGGGATGACAGAACTTTTGTGCCTTTATAACATGTTCATTGCAAGCTTCTGTCAAATTATGAACTTTACGTGTTGTAAATTTATGTAAGATGAAACATTACTATTTCAAACAATGCTTTGACAATCTTTTATTGGGTACATCAGTAAGAAACATCTTCATCTGAATGCAAAATCAGAACAACAAATTTCATAGAGTGTATCACTGAAGGATACATGTTGTTCATGTAAGTTTTCTTTTTGGAAACACAAATTTTACAGGAAAAAAATTACAATGTATTCCAATGATATTTATAGTTGAATCAAAGAAACTTATGTTCAGCCGTCCGAATGTTTTGTGATGATAGTTGCCAACAGAGGTCTAATGTCATTTCACTTCATTTTTATTAAGTCCTGGATAAAATTAAAACATATCATGAGTTATTCCAATCCTCTGTCATATATTTTGCAGTGCATGAAATGTATTTCATTGCCAGCAAAAGTTTTCAGTTTAGACCTTGCAATGAAAATGTGAATGTTACTGTAAATTATGGATGGCTACTATTTTTAATTCACCTGATGTGAAGGACCAGTTAGTTTTTGCCATGGCATTTCATCCATCTGCCATCTGATGTCCTTCAACTTTTTATTAAAAATTGCTACTAGCCATAAAAAACTAAACTGATTTTCATCAAATTTGGTCAGAAGCAACCTTAGGGGAAGAGGATCCAAGTTTGTATCAAATATCCATTCTTGGACTCTGGGTCTGAGGGGCAGGCCCAAATGAGAACATTTTTAAAAGATTGGGTCTCTGTCCACTGTGGTGGGAAGGTGGGGCCCAAAAGTGGAAATAAAGTAAATTTTTAAAATCCTACTCCTCCTGTAGAAATAAATGGATATTACCCAAATTTGGTCTGAAGCATTCTTGGGTGAATGGGAATCAATCTTGTATAAATGTTAAGCCTCAGCCCCAGGGGGTCCAATAGGGGAAATAAGGTAAATGCTACTCCTTTCGAAGGAAAAATTGAATTTTGTTCAAATTTCGTTTCAAGTATTTTTGGGTGAAGGGGCCCAGTTGGGGAAAGATAGGTTCTTTAAAGTTCATTGTCTGTACAAGGTTATTGTCCATGTTTGGTCTGAAGTAATTTTTATGAATAATGAATCTGACTTTTGTTCGACCACAAGGCAAGAACCAAATAGGGAAGTTATTTCAGAAATTGTTTGTTAAATGGCTGAATAGCATATATTCATACCGTTGTTTTCTATTTTAGTAACTATGAGTCTCTCAGGTCTTGTGAAGAAGAAAGAAGAAAAAGTCAAGTAAGTGTTGTAGTAACTGCCAAATATTGCAAAATCATTACCTTCATAATTTTTTTGTTTTTTTTTTTGTTGAGTTTTTGCTTATTCTTAATTCACAAAACCAGAAAAAACTTACATATGATTATAGGTCATGTGAATTTTCGAGAGCAAGATTTATTCATGAAATCAAAAGGCAACGAAAATGTATACAGTTTTACAATATCCTGTTTCAAAATCAATTACATTGTTATCATAATTTTTTTCATGTTTAAGGATCAGTACAGATAATCTTTTTACAAAACCCATGGAAAGCTCTGTCCCAAGTAAAGGGGAAAGCAGCGCATCTTTTCAAAAGGCTGAAGCTTCAAAACCAAAATTTGCAGGTCAGAAACGAAAATCAGCACTGGATGAAATTATGGAGGTATATATCTTGCTTGTTTTACACTTATTTTCAATTAAATGTAATAAATTGTAATCATACATATGTCGCTCACTTTTCAGAAGTGTAATAAATCAAATGCAGAGTGAATATATTTATTTTTTGGAAGAAAATATATAAAATGTATCAATCACAGTTAAACAGAAGTTACTTTTTGAAGTACTTGGTAGGAGTTGAATCAGCTTACAAATTACTGCTCCAGTTTGTCATCAGTTAGGTTGAATAAATTGACCACAATCTAAGTAACAAGTTAATAACCAGGTGGTGTACAACTGGGACACATTCCTACCAGCTCCATAGAAGAAGACTCTGGTCTTCCCATTTCCACCAGATGGTGTACAACTGGGACATATTACTACCAGCTCCATAGAAGAAGACTCCGGTCTTCCCATTTCCACCAGATGGTGTACAACTGGGACACATTCCTACCAGCTCCATAGAAGAAGACTCTGGTCTTCCCATTTCCACCAGATGGTGTACAACTGGAACACATTCCTACCAGCTCCATAGAAGAAGACTCCGGTCTTCCCATTTCCACTAGATGGTGTACAACTGGAACACATTCCTACCAGCTCCATAGAAGAAGACTCCGGTCTTCCCATTTCCACCAGATGGTGTACAACTGGGACACATTCCTACCAGCTCCATAGAAGAAGACTCTGGTCTTCCCATTTCCACCAGATGGTTTACAACTTGAACATATTACTACCAGCTCCATAGAAGAAGACTCCAGTCTTCCCATTTCCACCAGATGGTGTACAACTGGAACACATTCCTACCAGCTCCATAGAAGAAGACTCCGGTCTTCCCATTTCCACCAGATTGTGTACAACTCGGACACATTCCTACCAGCTCCATAGAAGAAGACTCTGGTCTTCCCATTTCCACCAGATGGTGTACAACTGGAACATATTACTACCAGCTCCATAGAAGAAGACTCTGTTCTTCCCATTTCCACCAGATTGTGTACAACTCGGACACATTCCTACCAGCTCCATAGAAGAAGACTCTGGTCTTCCCATTTCCACCAGATGGTGTACAACTGGGACACATTCCTACCAGCTCCATAGAAGAAGACTCTGGTCTTCCCATTTCCACCAGATGGTGTACAACTGGAACACATTCCTACCAGCTCCATAGAAGAAGACTCTGGTCTTCCCATTTCCACCAGATTGTGTACAAGTGGAACACATGCCAATAAAATCCATTGATAAAAACCTCAGGTCTTCCAAGTTCATCCAGATAGTACACATTCCTATATGCTGCATGGAAACAAAAATTACGGTTTCCAATTTCCACCAAATAGCGTACTACTGAGACATACTCTGAACAACAGTGACGTTTAGAGGATTGTGCTAAAGTCACAGAATGAAATATAGCCCCTTAATGTATAGGTAATTTCCTGGTAAGGAATGATACTGTATCATGCAGGAATACTCCAGACTTTAGAAGTGATGACAGAACTGCATCATATACAGGAATACTCCAGAACTCTACAGTGGTGTTTTATTTTGGAAAGTTTGAAATCTTAATGGAAAGTCTGAAAAATATTTTCAAATTCGGCTAAATAAATCTAAAAAGGCATGCTTAACATTAGTCTTCAGACAGGACATTAATGGTATTGAGGATTAGTTGTTTTGCTGATTTAATCACCATGTGAATGCCAAGGGTTATAGGTCTCCCTTTTGTAGTCGCAGTCGGTTTCTGATTCAATGAGCATAACGAAGGAGGCTTGTGACATTCCATTCAGAATAAATGGATTGAAGTGTACATGTGTTTCTTAAGGTTGCAATCACTTCAACTCTACTGGATGGTCTAGATATGTTATCTTTGACTTCTGAGAAATTAGAAAAAAGCCACGACGATACATCTCAGATCTTCCTGGAATTTGACGCTTTAACGACTGAGCTATTTCTGTCTCATTATCACTTTTTGTGGTTTTATGAACAGAGTTGTAATAAATGTATATTTACCCATAGTATACCTGAATTTTACTTTTTGACTAGTTTGAAGAACAGAAGAAGGAGAAGATGAACAGAAAAGACTACTGGTTACATGAAGGCATTACAGTGAAAGTGGTCACAAGGAAACTCGGAGACAAGTACTACAAGAAAAAGGCATTTGTAAAGGTTAGTATGTTTATCACTTAATGGAAATACACCCAAATCTAAGAAATGATTTGTAAATCTTCATTTTTATCGCTTTCTTGTGCAGTTTCATAGCTCTTTCCTACTACATAATGCTTCCAATTTTCCTTTTTCATTTTTTCCTTTAAATCAAAATAAATAAACCAATCAGATGTTCTTAGAATCATATCTGAAATAAAATTAGGACATATTTTGTAGTATGCTGTTTAACTTCATTAGTATGTTTTGACCTTAATAGGAAGTTATGTTTATTATTCATGATGTAAAGATGTATAGAAGGTTATCAAACTTCTTAGCTGTACATTATTACCTGAATTTGCGACTCACAATGTTCTAGTGTCGTCTTTTTTATTTCTATATATTCTTGACAATATTAATAGATGTCCTTTTTTTCCTTACAATATAAATTTGTAACTCACAATCAACTTATCCAGCTAAAACATTGCATGTCTAATCCTAGGAAGTGATAGATCTTTACAAGGCAGTGATAAAGATGATAGACAGTGGTGACAAAATGAAGGTGGATCAGACACATGTAGAGACTGTTATACCTGCTATAGGTAAAATAAATACAATTACTTCTACAGCTTTTTATTAAAGAAAATTTATTTATATTCCTGTGTCGTGCAATATTTCTTCTATTAATGGTTTTTGTTTTGTGTGAAGATCTTATCATAAGTAGAATCACTAGAAATGACAAAATCATTTTCACATTTTCTGGTTTAATATCATTACTTTTTATTTTTCTTTCTTCTCATCAGAATTGAATTGCTGATTTTTCTTAGAAGTGTTGAATATTTAATTTGTATGGTTTTCAAATGTTAATACTTTTTGCCTACAGGTAAAACAGTCATAATTGTAAATGGAGCATATCGAGGTCATGAAGCCATCCTCGAAAGTATTAACGAAAGGAAATTTTCCTGTACAGTGTCCATCAAATCTGTAAGTATAGAAAATAGTTGTTTTGTATTTTGTACATATCAGAATGAATTGATTTGTCACTTACCCTATGTTCTGGATTTACATGAAAACAGCCTGCAAGATCATTAGGTTCAATGAACTAAAAGGAATAAAGCTGTTTTGGGTAATGGGCAAAAATTCTCCATTGGAAAGAAAACTTCAGACTTCATTCACTTATACACAAGATTTCACTATACATAGTTCATACTATACATATTTTTCTTCAGTTTGTTACATTGTATTAGTTTAAAGTTTAGTGCTTGTTAAATAACATTACAAGTTTATGTGGGATCTTTTGGAAACGAAATTGCACAAAAGACGTAAGGTCCTGGCTTGTGAAGGTTACATTGAACCCTCAGTCAGGACTGGTACTATTGATCTGTTTTAAGTTCCTAAAGAAATTCATTTTTGACTTGAATGAAGATAATTTCTGTTATTTTCAGGGTCCATTAAAGGGAAGGATGATTGAAAGCATAAAATATGAAGATATAAGTAAAATTTATCAACCGTCCTGAGGAAAATATATGATGGAAGTGTAGACGAGGATCTAACAAGCTTGTGGATCGAAGTGATTACTCATATCTCATGTGAGAAAGGTATCAGCGCCAAGCTTCTTAACTAGCATCTGTAGATAATGGAAAAGAAATGGAGTGTGAAACAGAGGAAAGGCAGAAGGATTCCCACTTTGTTTGTTGAGTGTATAAATACATCTGTAAGGAGAGAGACTTTAGGGTCCAGTTCCCTGTGAAACAATCATCACAAAAAAGGGCCAGAATTTACAGTGTGTTTACAATTGCTTGGAGACTTGGTACTGGATTCAACAAAAGCATCTTGGATTTTACATAAATACAATTTGTAACATTCAGCCTATTGTGTTAGCAGTAGAAGAATGTGACGCTTTTATTATGGAGTCTCTAGATTGTCAATCACAATTACTTTTGTATTTTTGTAAATCTAAAGGACTTAAGTGAGAACAAGTCAAGGTAAAATTAAAATTCGTTATTTTTGTTTATAAACAACTTTGTGGTTTTACTTGACTCTTTAGTCATATCACGAGCTTCAGGTTCCTTCCAGGGTCACAAGTTCACACGAAAGTCAATCAGATTAGACACCCAGGTATATATCACTATTAATGTACAGTAACTTTTCAGGATAAACAATTCTTTGTTTTTATTTAAATTAGAAGGCATGTCAGAGCCAATCAATAGGTATGTCCATAAGAGATCATCTGTATTTTCTCTGGAACCTACAACTCTAAATAACAAACTCAAATAGTGTAATAAGTATACATACAGGAACCAATGAATGCATGTGCATTAGACAACATCATATATTTGTCCTGTGACTTTGTAAACATTATGACAGACGTCAAATCATATCTATTCCCCAATGGATTTTTATATATATGTAGAAGATAACTATACAGCATCATGATCAGTTGACATTTATTTATTGGAAAGTCAATGTAAATGAGACATTTCATTTATAAGACTTTACATCAGCAATCATGTGTGGGCTAATCAGACACAACTGTCAATCAGCCTGATTCAGTCGGCATCCAAATACCAGTGTTGGCGACATCAGGGAACAATGCAATTCATTGGATCTGAGCATTCCAGAAAATTGGACAGTGTCGAAATTACGAAAAGAGCTGGATAATCTTGGATTGTCTGTGGCTCCAAGGAGCAAACATTCCGTAGTATTAAGGATTACAAAGAAGCGGTGCAGTTACAGAACAACAGTGACCCAGAGCTGACCTCAATGTCCTCATCTAATGACAGTGGGCGTGGCTTAATTGCATGTGCATCGTCATCTGAGGTTTCTCCATCCGAGTTCAAGGCCATGCAGATGACTATTTCTGGCCTTCTGTTAGCCTCGGGAAATCTGACAATAGTGGCAGCACAACAGGGCCACAAAAATATTGAACGTACAAGTGTACATCAGTTTTGTCAGACAAAATTTGGTAATTCAGCCGAATCTTTGCCTTTCATCAAAATATTGTGATAGTCACACAGATGTCAAATACAGGAGGGAAAAGATGTAAATTTAGCTGCCCTGCTCATTCCATATTACAAATTATGATGGACCCCATCCTCAAAGACCTAAGACTACTACAATCGCTGACATTTAATTCATGCCTTTGGCATGTACTGACATTATTTGTCAATCTCATCTACACCACAGAAGAATTAGATATGTACATGTATGAAAGGGATATCATTTACATGTTTAGTCGATACAACACCGCACAAACGGTAGCTCATCTTAAATATAAGAATGTTAGTGGGTCGATTGGTCAGGAATAGCACTGTTCTGTGGAAGTTTTGCTAATTAAAAAGTCAATGCATGTTCTGTGTGTGACAGCATCCTGCATCATCAAACAGGTTTCTGTGCAGACAGTGCTAGTATCATAACAACTGATCATTTGAAAGAGCAGCAACAGCAGTGCTATTGATGTGCTTGGCCGGGCATAAGTGCAACACAATGGCAAAGAAATTTGTGACAATTTCGAAGCTTGAGACTGTACAAGAAACAAATTAAAAAAACTTCATCTCTCTTTGATCTGTAAAGGAGAACATACCTAACAAAATGTAAGACTTTTTACAAAAAACTCCCAGGAGATGGGACATAGCAAATAAATCAGACTTTAAGTAGTAAATTTGAATATTAGCTAGCGCAAGGTTTCAGATCAGGATTTGATACCAGACTTCCACACTTACCAACCATACCTTATGAATGAAAGACCCTACAGTCAGCACTGATAAAACCAGAGAATAAACAACAACCTTAGTACATGCAGATCTACAAAAAGGTTTTGTCATCATTCCATTTAAAGATGTGCCATTTCAGAATTCAAGGATAAGTCCTATTGGTATAGCAGAAGGGAAATACTAGCCTCAATTACCTGGTATGCTAAGAAGAGTTTTCCTTGTCATATGTAACAATCAATGATGTTACAACTATGACAATATATGGCATTTGCTGGATAACTTTATGGCTATAGATGCACCAGAAAGCTTGCCTCATCATACTATGGCACTTCTTACACAGGTCTTAAAACAACTGTGTACATCATACTATGGCACTTCTTACACAGGTCTTAAAACAACTGTGTACCATCGTGGGACCAACTACATGTCTGGAGTGTTTGGGTATTATCCAAGATATAGATAGTAAGTTAGGTTTTAACAAAAACCTGTTGTGTGATAAGTAAATGGAAGTTGTTTGAAGCTACACCTTGAAAGTGCACTGAAAAGGCATGCATGATTTCAAGGTGAAATTGATATTTTGATGAAGTCAGTAACACACGTGGCAGATGTCTTAGTGTTGTTTTTGAAACAGTTGCATGTGAAACATATAAGTGTGTGTTTGGTTACTAACATGTATGGCTTATGCCTTTAAGTTGCTTACGGAAGTCATGAGACCAAAAACATACCGGCAAATTATCCCAGTCATTGAGGCACAGGATATTAGGGTTGTTGACACATGCGAAATTCCATTTTGAGTACGTAATTGACACAAGGGACATGCCTCCGTGAGTCAATGACACAAGGGACATGCCTCTGTGAGTCAATGACACAGGGGACATGCCTCTTTAGTCATTCACACACAGGACATGCGTCTTAAGTCATTGACACATGGGCAACCTCTTGAATGAGTCATTGTCACATGGGACATGCCTCTGAGTCATTGACACATGGGACATGCCTCTGAGTCATTGACACATGGGCAACCCCTTGAATGAGTCATTGTCACATGGGACATGCCTCATAAGTCATTGACACTTGGGACATGCCTCTGAGTCATTCACACATGGGACATGCGTCTTAAGTCATTGACACATGGGCAATCCTTTGAATGAGTAATTGTCACATGGGACATGCCTCATAAGTCATTGACACATGGGACATGCCTCTGAGTCATTCACACATGGGGCATGCGTCTTAGGTCCTTGACACATGGACAACCCCTTGAATGAGTCATTGTCACATGGGACATGCCTCTGGGTCATTGACACATGGGCAACCCCTTATATGAGTCATTGTCACATGGGACATGCCTCCGAGTCATTGACACATGGGCAACCCCTTGAATGAGTCATTGTCACATGGGACATGCCTCATAAGTCATTGACACATGGGACATGCCTCATAAGTCATTGACACATGGGACATGCCTCTGAGTCATTCACACATGGGACATGCGTCTTAAGTCCTTGACACATGGACAACCCCTAGAATGAGTCATTGTCACATGGGACATGCCTCTGGGTCACTGACACATGTGCAACCCCTTATATGAGTCATTGTCACATGGGACATGCCTCCGAGTCATTGACACATGGGACATGCCTCTGGGTCTTTGACACATAAGTAACCCCTTATATGAGTCATTGTCACATGGGACATGCCTCATAAGTCATTGACACATGGGACATGCCTCTTTGATTCATTGACACATGTTTTTTTGAGACATTAACACACTGTCCCTTTTTGGTATCTTTTTTCTCAGTTTCCTACCGATTTTTTGTCAAACATGGTTGACTTAATCACCATTACACGAAGTCGTGTTTTCCTTAATACCAATTTAATTCGACTGTATTTGGAAGAGTTACGGTTCCTTGTTGTTTCCATGACGTTAAACTTGTCCAGAGATCACTCTCAGTTTTCAGTCGATTTTTTTTAATATGGTAGGCTAAATAAGTATGGCATTAAGTTGTGTTTTCCCTACACAACAGTTTGTTTCAGCAACTTTTAAAGTAGTTACTGATATTTTAATTTTGTACGGAGATCCTCCTATTCCCATCAATTTCTTTGAAACTTGTTAGGTTTTACAACCATTAATGCGTTTTCCTTAATGACAGTATCGTTTTACTACGAGTTATTGCACTTCGCCTTATCGAAGTTTTTATCTTGTCCTGAGATTTCTTACACTTACTTCTTTAAAACTTCGTTTGCTTTAATTATCAATTAAACTTATTCAAACTATTTTGACCCATTCTTACTATTTTCATACATGTATTCTTTAAGATACAATAAATCCTGAATATTACTTGGTCATTTGAATGTTGTGTCGTCCTCGCTGCGATACTCTTGTAGAGTCATTGAGACATAGGTAATGCCTCTTTGAGTGGTTGAAATGATAAGTGTGTCTTTTAGAATCATTGATACCCCACATGTAGTAAAGCGACACGCCCGCATGTAGCAAAGAGACACACCACATGTAGTAAAGCGACACGCTCGCATGTAGCAAAGAGACACACCACATGTAGTAAAGAGACACGCCCACATGTAGCCATGTTGTGTCATTGACAAAGTTGACAAAACCCCGTCATTCACATGGAAAAAATATCAGTTTGACCGATATCCCTCATTTTCAATATGTATATCAACCACGTCGGGCATTTTCAAATGTTAAGATTCCAGTTAAATGGTATATTTACTCTTGAGAACTTTATTTTTATATATTCAATATGACAGAACCTAAAGCTGGATTGTATGGAATGTTTCTATAAACGATAAGTTTATGGTGAACTTACCAACACTCTTGCAGGATGACAGTAGCCATGATCATGGTCGGAACCGAAGATGGAACCTCCAGTTTGACCTTCAAACAAGATTCTCTTCCTTTTTCCGATACCGAATCCACCGTGAACACAACACAGGTCCTGAGCACAGTCACTCTGGTGGGAACATTGACCATTTAGAGCAACGCTGCCTGTCGGCTTTGTGGTCGACTGACTCCTTACCTGCGAAAAGAGACGGAAAAGGATGGGAATTCTGCTTGCACAATATAATTTTATTTCAGATGGTTTAAAATTATTATAAAGGCAGCACATGTTTTAACGATAATTATGTAGGATGTGAAGATGATTTTACAACCATTTACTCTCATATATCAAGTTGAAAAAAAAAATAACAATTTAATTCACAAAAAAGTTATGTCAATGACCAGTTACCGTGTATCCTGGGATATTAACATTGAATTTTTAATACTTTCCCCTCAAATGTGCTGATCCGATCTTCATTACAAGTCCTGAGACCTAATGACGCGTTCACATATATAACTTCAGTGAACATTAGCTCAAAGTGTGTTCCCTATAGGAACATTCAAATACGTGTGCTATGTATAACCAATATGTGACAACACAAACGACTACCTGGTGGAAAAGTTGCTACATTTAGTAACTTTATAACGACGATTGCCTTTTTCAATAAGCTTATATACATTATTTAAATATATTTACTTTCAAATCCAACGACTTTGAGATGAAGTGAACCTTTTATGAATTTCAAAAACCAAATGATTTTTTTCATCAGTCACACCAGATATATACATATTACGATCAGCTGTTTTTTCACCACCACCTAAAACTGAAAGTATGAGTGCTTACAAGAAGTCAGAATACGACTTCATACCTATTGCCGTGATTGGTTGATTACATATTGGTGAATATTGATTATAAAATATCTAATTAACGAGGTCTCAAGCTGTAACGGAGTCATCTGTTCACCTATTGAATACTAAGAAATATTCTGTGTTGTGTCTGTTTACCAATCCGACTGATCTAATTTCTTAAATTGTAATTGGCAATTGGGACATGTACATTTGCAAATCCTGTATTCAAAAAGATGGATACGGAAACATGGGAAATGGACTTTCAGTCATTACCGCTAAATATGTCGAACGAAACAACCTCGGAAGTGTCTATTTATAAAGATTTCGTTTCTTATATATTGTTTTTAACACGAATATTCGTATTAGGTGTTAATATAAAACTAAAAATTTTCAATGGACATATGGTAATATATTATTTTACTCTCTAAAAGTTATTGTGATTTTACCCTTCCAAAGCCACTGACAATGGAATCTTATATACTCTCTGAAATCCCTTGCTAATTTCGAATACTTACGACGACAGCGACGCAGAGACAGAGAAAAGCTACTGCTACCTTCATTTTGATTTTACGGAATGTGCTGGTGGCACCTTTGAGAACACGTCAGCTGTGCCTAGAATAGCTCTAGCTGGTATCTCAATGCTAGGGACCTTTGTACCGCGCCCTTAAGCGCAGTCAGTTTTACCGAATGTGCGCACCTACTTTTTCTTTAACGTCTACTAATTTTACTATAAGCTATCCCGATTTCCATGCATGCTGATGTCTATAAGTAGTATATATTTAACTACATAGCTTTATTTTTAAAATGGACACCCCATACATCCCTCTGGAACGTTATTTGTATGGTAACCAGCCGTTTGAAAGGTAGTTTTTCGATATGAAATGTCCTAATTTTTGTTATGGTGTTGTACATATATTTGCTAAAACAAAAGGAACGATAATTATTCCAATTAAGTGAAGTAATTTCAAGGTATCTTATGAACTTGTTTTTTTTTACTGAACATTCTGCTGATGGTGGTAGAAGTCGGTCAATAGGTCCCTTCGTATACTTACACTTATATTATCATATCATGATCATGGCTAGATAGTGATAGAGTACCCTGTTTCCCAGTACTGGCTACATCCAGAGGAGGGTACCTTGTTTGTCAGTACCGGCTACACCCAGAAAGGGTACCTTGTTTCCCAGTACTGGCTACACTCAGAAGGCGTATCTTGTTTCCCAGTACTGGCTTCACCCAGAAGGGGTACCTTGTTTCCCAGTACTGGCTACACCCAGAAGGAGTACCTTGTTTCCCAGTACTGGCTACACCCAGAGAAGGATACCTTGTTTCTCAGTACAGGATATACCCAGAGAAGGACACCTTGTTTCCCAGTACTGGCTACATCCAGAGGGAGTACCTTGTTTCCCAGTACTGGCTACATCCAGAAGGGGTGCCTTGTTTCCCAGTACTGGCTACATCCAGAGGGAGTACCTTGTTTCTCAGTACTGGCTACATCCAGAAGGGGTGCCTTGTTTCCCAGTACTGGCTACACCCAGAAGGAGAACCTTGTTTCCCAGTACAGGATATACCCAGAGAAGGACACCTTGTTTCCCAGTACTGGCTTCACCCAGAAGGGGTACCTTATTTCTCAGTAATGGCTACATCCAGAAGGGGTACCTTGTTTCCCAGTACTGGCTACACCCAGAAGGAGAACCTTGTTTCCGAGTACAGGATATACCCAGAGAAGGACACCTTGTTTCCCAGTACTGGCTACACCCAGAAGGAGTACCTTGTTTCCCAGTACTGGCTACACCCAGAAGGAGTACCTTGTTTCCCAGTACAGGATATACCCAGAGAAGGACACCTTGTTTCCCAGTACTGGCTACATCCAGAGGGAGTACCTTGTTTCTCAGTACTGGCTACATCCACCGGGTGTACCTTGTTTCTCAGTATTGTCTACACCCAGCAAAGGATACCTTTTTGCCAGTAATGGCTAAACACAGAGATGGATACCTATTTTCCCAGTACTGGCTACATCCTGAGGGAGTACCTTGTTTCCCAGTACTGGCTATATCAAGAAGGGATACCTTGTTTCTCAGTACTGGTTACATCCAGAAGGGGTGCCTTGTTTCCCAGTACTGGCTACACCCAGAAGGAGTACCTTGTTTCCCCGTACAGGATATACCCAGAGAAGGACATCTTGTTTCCCAGTACTGGCTACATCCAGAAGTGGTGCCTTGTTTCCCAGTACTGGCTACACCCAGAAGGAGTACCTTGTTTCCCCGTACAGGATATACCCAGAGAAGGACATCTTGTTTCCCAGTACTGGCTACATCCAGAAGGGGTGCCTTGTTTCCCAGTACTGGCTACACCCAGAAGGAGTACCTTGTTTCTCAGTACAGGATATACCCAGAGAAGGATACCTTGTTTCCCAGTACTGACTACATCCAGAAGGGGTACCTTGTTTCCCAGTACTGGCTACACCCAGAAGGAGTACCTTGTTTCCCAGTACAGGATATACCCAGAGAAGGACACCTTGATTCCCAGTACTGGCTACATCCAGAAGGGGTGCCTTGTTTCCCAGTACTGGCTACATCCAGAAGGGGTACCTTGTTTCTCAGTACTGGCTACATCCAGAAGGGGTGCCTTGTTTCCCAGTACCGGTCACACCCAGAGAAGGATACCTTGTTTCCCAGTACTGGCTACGCCTCTGACGTAGGTTTCACTATCGTGTTTCATGACAATATCACAACTAGCCAAACAGTAACGATCTTCGTGTTTCATTAAAAACCACAACTAGTCAAACCAGATCCGATTGTTTTGTTTCGTGACAACAGTACAACTAGTATAACAGTTCTGGTCGTTGTGTATTATGACAAGAGTTCAATTTGTCAAACATTTCGGATCGTTGCATTGTGAAAACGTTCCAAATAGTCAAGCAATACTGATCGTTATGTTTCATGACAACGTTCCAATCAATCAGTCCCGATCGTTGTATACACGACATCCGTCTCTCAGATCAGGTTTCCCTGATGCCGATACCTCCACTTGTATAATTGCTGGTAGTGAAATTGATTATTAATGAAGACCAGAATGCGATACTGATTCACCTGACGCCATATTGTCCAGGATTTGTGTGTCTATGAACCACGATATAATGGTATAACCACAGTATACATCTTAGGGAATTGGATTAACTCTCTCTCGTGTACTTATAAGTGCTCTACCTCACACTCCGAATGAAAGCAATCACATTCCAATTAGTGTGCACCAGAAAGCCCCACAAGACAACAGTCAACAGTTTGATAGGGTTGTACGTGTTTTTACATACACATGGTTAGTGTTTTTCATGAATATTTATTTCATTTTGTGTTTTTTTCGTATTTCGCAAACAGGTAAATACAGTAATATTTCGGATTACTCAATCAATAGACTTATCATTAATGGCATCATAGCAACATAACATGATGCCAAGAATTTCTGTGAACTAGGAGGTTCACATGAGTTTCAAAATATGTGTATAGTTCACACACTGGAATATCAACAGTACGATTATTATACATTATAGTTTCCATTCTGTAATTGAAAACAGTTCTTTTACATCTAGAGAACTTGTCCGTAAACTTTCCAAATCAACAAGGAAATCGCGACAGAACATTGAAGGATTGCACGTCGCTCCATTTCGCGTTCCTGAACTGATTTACGAAAAGAACCATCATGCTGTATGCATCATCCATTTACCAACGACTGAAAATAATAGTAGTTTATCTCCCAAAAAGAATTGAATGGAATCAAATTATAATTGAGTATTTAAATTGATCATCGATATTTGTCGATAGTAAATAATAAACGAGTCTTGCCTTTTGAAACGTGATGACAAGAACAGATGGCAATATCAGTTAACGGTCGTATAATTGTTGTCGTTTGACATTCTACGCAAAGGCGATTAGTTAAAGTTAGCTACGAGCGAAAATGAACATGTATAATGTCAGCCACTGTTATTAGCCCTGTCAATCATTAGGGATAAAATTGCACCGTTTCATATTCCTACGCAGCAACTGGTAATGAATCGAATATATGTACAGTGTAATGTGTAATGCATTACTGATATTTTGCTACTCAAGCCCAACAGTGTAGCTTCCACGGGCGGCCCTACCTACGATCGATATTGATTCTAGTGAAACGGCTTGGCGACCGAAACAGGAGAGAGCTGCCATTTTGGTTCAAATGCATATCTGTATAATTCAGTGGATGAATTCTTCCTAGAGGTTTGAAAAACGTCGGCCATATCTTAAAATGAAGGGCGGAACTATTTCCTTGTTAATGCTGGTGATGGTCTGTACCCTTGTCCTAGGGAAAAAGGTGAGTGAAGACAACCAATATTTAGACATTTCCAAGCATTTTTTTTTTTTTTTTTTGTAAAACCTTACACGGCTTCCTTATTTAAAAAATGATCCAAAGCATGCACTATTGTTGGAACATATAAGTAGGTCAGATATAGTTACTTTTGGCTTCCCGCCATTTGTAATATCTTAATTTAACGGATGCCATTGCAGAATGTTTGTCGCGTATTGATTTCAGAAACACCGAGATAAATGGTGTCCATCACTGTTGATTAGTGTTCAGATATAACACTCTCTGTATGGGAAGGTTGCTAGAAAGTTTCTGTTGGATTTTAGTACCCGAAGTTTGCCGTTACTCATCATGTTATACGTAAAAAATGACGGATAATGACACCATCCATTATGTATATGAAAGTAAATGACATTCTAATATTTAGCAAAAATATTGAATTATGTGGTAAGTGCGTCTCACCATCTATACCCAATAGCCACATAACATCATTGGAATTTGATAGAAGGACAAACTAATTGTGTGACGCAGTTTATGACATTTTTGGTCCATGCTTACAATACTAATTACAAAGTGAACGTTATTTTTCTAAATGCCTTTAGCCACCTATTACGTCTAAGAAATATTATAAAATGTCCTTGTCAATCTTCCTGATCGCTATAAAATACGTTACTACACAATTGATAAAGAGTTGGGGTAGTGCAACACTAAATATACACATCTGTATGTATTATAAAAGGTGGTCATTTTCTAATGAAGTTACGCTTTCATACCTCTGAATGTAGGTCTTTTCAACTCTAAGGTCTCTGTAGTTTTTTATGAGATTTTTCTGACTATGAATTTGGTTGTTAAATTCTCGACAATATTGGTTATGGAAAATATACCTGGTCTACATTAAGCTTGGATTAATCTTGCATGTCATTTTAATGAGAGGGTTACTCACAGGGACAACGAAATGACATTGTCATGAGAGGGTTACTCACAGGGACAACGAAATGACATTGTCATGAGAGGGTTACTTCCAGGGACAACGAAATGACATTGTAATGAGAGGGTTACTCACAGGGACAACGAAATGACATTGTAATGAGAGGTTGACTCACAGGGACAACGAAATGACATTGTCATGAGAGGTTGACTCACAGGGACAACGAAATGACATTGTCATGAGAGGTTGACTCACAGGGACAACGAAATGATATTGTCATGAGAGGGTTACTTACAGGGACAACGAAATGACATTGTAATGAGAGGGTTACTCACAGGGACAACGAAATGACATTGTAATGAGAGGTTGACTCACAGGGACAACGAAATGACATTGTCATGAGAGGTTGACTCACAGGGACAACGAAATGACATTGTCATGAGAGGTTGACTCACAGGGACAACGAAATGACATTGTCATGAGAGGTTGACTCACAGGGACAACGAAATGACATTGTCATGAGAGGTTGACTCACAGGGACAACGAAATGACATTGTCATGAGAGGTTGACTCACAGGGACAATGAAATGACATTGTCATGAGAGGTTGACTCACAGGGACAACGAAATGACATTGTCATGAGAGGGTTACTTCCAGGGACAACGAAATGACCTTGTAATGAGAGGATAATTTCCAGGGACAATGAAATGACCTTGTCATGAGAGAGTTATTCACAGGGACATCGAAATGTCATTTCCATGAGCGGGTGACTCCCAGGGACATCGAAATGTCATTTCCATGAGCGGGTGACTCCCAGGGACATCGAAATGTCATTTTCATGAGAGGTTGACTCCCAAGAACAACGAAATGTCATTTTCATGAGAGGTTGACTCCCAGGGACATCGAAATGTCATTTTCATGAGAGAGTTGCTCTCAGGGACAAAAGATAAGATTGTCATGAGAGGTTGACTCCCAGGGATATCGAAATGTCAGTTTCCTGAGAGGTTGACTCCCACGGGCAACGAAATGTCATTTTCATAAGAGGTTGACTCCAAGGGACATCGAAATGTCATTTTCATGAGAGGTTGACTCCCAGGGACAACGAAATGTCATTTTCATGAGAGGGTTACTCACAGGGACAACGAAATGGCATTGTCACGAGAGGGTTACTGCCAGGGACAACGAAATGACATTGTCATGAGAGGGTTACTCACAGGGACATTGAAATGACATTTTCATGAGAGGGTGACTCCCAGGAACAACGAAATGACATTTTCATGAGAGGGTGACTCACAGGGACATCGAAATGTCATTGTGTTGAGAGAGTGACGCCAAGGCACAGCGGAAAACCTGATGTTATAAATTATAAATGCATACTTGATACACGTTAATTCATCATGAATTTGCTCTTAAATAGCCAATCATCCCAGGGAACTTTTGCCATGTTGTTGTAACCACAGGGAACATTGACCATGTTGTTGTAACCACAGGGAACATTGACCATGTTGTTGTAACCACACGGAACATTGACCATGTTGTTGTAACCACAGGGAACATTGGCCATGGTGTTGTAACTACAGGGAACATTGACCACATTGTTATAACCACACGGAACATTGACCACGTTGCTGGTACCACACGAAACATTGACCACGTTGTTGGTACCACACGGAACATTGACCACGTTGTTGTAACCACACGGAACATTGACCACGTTGTTGTAACCACACGGAACATTGACCATGTTGTTGGTACCACACGGAACATTGACCATGTTGTTGTAACCACACGGAACATTGACCATGTTGTTGTAACCACACGGAACATTGACCATGTTGTTGCTACCACAGAGGACATTGGCCATGTTGTTGCTACCGTAGGGAACATCTGGCTATTTGTTGTCATTATATTGAACACTGGAAATGATTTTGTAGCAAAAGGGAAGTTGAATTTGTTTTTGTTACTACAGGTAACATCAGGCTTGTTGTAACTGTAGGGGACATTGGGTGTAATATAGAGGTAACCACAGGAACATTAGGGGTTTTTTTTGTGTGTGTGTGTTTTTTTTTTTTTTTTTTTTTCTATTTTTTGTTTTTGTAACTACAAGGAACATTAAGTATGTTGTTGTCATGACGGGGAACAATCTGATTGTTGTACCGGCACGGAATATCAGACATGTTGTAATGACAGGACATTTGTTTTAACCTATGGGGACATTAACTGTGCTAACAACCTTGCTATTCATGTGATTTACGATGGGATACTGACCAGAGAGAGTGTTCGTTTAAAAGCTTTTAAATGCTTAGAAACTTCAAAGATAATCGAAATAAAATGAGGCGAGGCATTCCGTAAATAGAACGATAACGCAATGGCATGTGACCGTGTTAGCGTTTTATAGGTCTTTTTACTACAGTCATCACGTACTCGTTAGATTCAATGTGAATGTGTCATGTGCACGATAAACGTGTATGTATACTTGTCATACCATTGGGAACAGCAGTGTTGTAGTAATATATGTAGTATAAATAAAATGGATAAAGTTTTATGAGCTTATTATCGATTTTTTAATTCGTGGTTAATTTAATTATTGTTGAATCGATATTCTACAACCTCTACTTTTATATCGACATTAATAAAAAAATAATAACGCTATTCTGTTATATTAGTGTTCAGGTATAGCTAAACCGGTCTCGGTTGTATTATTGTATCATCTCTCATCTCTACAATCACAGCACACAACCACTCTCAATGGTACATCTCTCTTGTGTACGTTCACAGCACACTGCCACTCTCAATGGTACATCTCCCATCTGTACGGTCACAGCAAACAGTCACCCTCAATGGTACATCTCTCATCTGTACGGTCACAGCAAACAGTCACCCTCAATGGTACATCTCTCTTGTGTACGATCACAGCACGCAGTCACCCTCAATGGTTCATCTCTCATCTGTACGATTACAGCACATAGACATCCTCAATGGTGCATCTCTCATCTGTACGTTCACAGCACACTGCCACCCTCAATGGTACATCTCCCATCTGTACGGTCACAGCAAACAGTCACCCTCAATGGTACATCTCTCATCTGTACGATCACAGCACGCAGTCACCCTCAATGGGACATCTCTCATCTGTACGATCATAGCACGCAGTCACCCTCAATGGTTCATCTCTCATCTGTACGATCACAGCACATAGCCACCCTCAATGGTGCATCTCTCATCTGTACGATCACAGCACAATGTCACCCTCAATGGTACATCTCTCATCTGTACGATCACAGCACGTAGTCACCATCAGTAGAACATCTCTCATCTGTACGATCACAGCACACAGTCACCCTCAATGGTACATCTCTCATCTGTACGATCACAGCACACAGTCACCCTCAATGGGACATCTCTCATCTGTGCGATCACAGCACACAGTCACCCTCAATGGGACATCTCTCATCTATACGATCACAGCACGTAGTCACCCTCAGTGGTTCATCTCTCATCTGTACGATCACAGCAGATAGCCACCCTCAATGGTGCATCTCTCATCTGTACGATCACAGCACAAAGTCACCCTCAGTGGGACATCTCTCATCTGTACAATCACAGCAGAAAGTCACCCTCAATGGTGCATCTCTCATCTGTACGATCAGAGCACGATCACCTTCAGACATTTCATAACTCTGTTTCACATAAAGATCATGCGAAACAAGGTCTAGAATACAGCTGTAGTCACTTCCGACTATTAAATCCCAAAAAGATAGCCAATATTTCTTTTAATTACCACTACATAGTCAGTGTTTCCTAGGAATTACCACTACATAGAGAATGATTCCTCGTAGTTACCACTACATAGCCAGTGTTCCCTCGTAATAACCACTACATAGCCAGTGTTCCCTCGTAATAACCACTACATAGCCAGTGTTCCCTCGTAATAACCACTACATAGCCAGTGTTTCCTCGTAATAATCAGTACATAGCCAGTGTTTCCTTGTAGTTACCACTACATAGCCAGTGTTTCCTCGTAATAACCACTACATAGCCAGTGTTTCCTCGTAGTTACCACTACATAGCCAGTGTTTCCTCGTAATAATCAGTACATAGCCAGTGTTTCCTTGTAGTTACCACTACATAGCCAGTGTTTCCTCGTAATAACCACTACATAGCCAGTGTTCCCTCGTAATAACCACTACATAGCCAGTGTTCCCTCGTAATAACCACTACATAGCCAGTGTTTCCTCGTAATAATCAGTACATAGCCAGTGTTTCCTTGTAGTTACCACTACATAGCCAGTGTTTCCTTGTAGTTACCACTACTTAGCCAGTGTTTCCTCGTAATAACCACTACATAGCCAGTGTTTCCTCGTAATAACCACTACATAGCCAGTGTTTCCTCGTACTAACCACTACATAGCCAGTGTTTCCTCGTAGTTACCACTACATAGCCAGTGTTTCCTCGTAGTTACCACTACATAGCCAGTGTTCCCTCGTAATAACCACTACATAGCCAGTGTTTTCTAGTAATAACCACTACATAACCAGTGTTCCCTCGTAATAACCACTACATAGCCAGTGTTTCCTCGTAGTTACCACTACATAGCCAGTGTTTCCTCGTAATAACCACTACAGAGCCAGTGTTTCCTCGTAGTTACCACTACATAGCCAGTGTTTCATAATTATCAATAAATAGCCAATGTTCCTTGTAAATACTGCTTCATAGACAAAGGTCCTCGTAATTTCAGCTACATGGCTAGTGTCTAGAAAGCCAAATTTATATCTTTATTCATAAATTAAGGTATTAACATTTTATATATATCGAATTGTTTCAAAGATACTAATTAACAGCACTAAAGCTATCTATAAAAGATATCTCTAGAATAAATAGATAACTAAATTAGATATCTCAATGTTTTAGATATCTCATAAATCAGTTAAAGTATCTCAGAGTTTACAATATACAGTTGTATCACTTTCGGACAATAAATGTTGACCTGTTTTCGAAAAGAATGTGTCCAAGAAAAGTTTGTCATTATATGCTTCATATATCAATCTAATAGATTAACCTGGTACAATAATGTGTGGATGTGAGGGTATACAGACCAAGTACCTGTTGTTAACTCATAATACACATACGTGTGTACGCAACATCTATACCTAGCAACGCAATAAAACGATGTCTAGAAAATCAATTTACAGCAGTTGTTGGGTAGCGCTATGTGACATAGGTATCGGGAAATAATGCATGCTGACTGGAGCAATGTATCACCTTATGATAGAAATAATACTCTATGGTTTCTGTCTGATGCCTAATGCAAATAATGTTTTTCTTTGCTGCGAGAGAGAATCCTCTCGTGACGTTTGGCTCCAATATAAATTATCAACAATATGATTTCCAAGTCCGTTATTGAGCACGGAAGTCTATACCTTTCACATTAGATTAATATCAGGTTTCAGTGTACTGGTATTTGTCCTGTTCTTGTGAGAAGTATTTAGGTTATCAATAAATCAATTTTATCAGACTTGAAAGAAAAACAAATGACAAATCGATCATATTCTAACATCACAATGTTGAATCGCACGGTTTGTGGTGAAGAAGGTTGACATTTATTTGACTGCAGAAAATATCTTTTTAGATATCTTGACAATGAGAAATACTATTTCGTGTCGCAAAACTCGAAGAGAGATATGATTATACTGACTGAGATACCATCATCAATTTATGTGTTGTACCTTTTAAATACATCCTTCATAATCCATATGTTCTGTGCTGTTAGCAGTAACACGTGTGTTTATTGAGGATGTTATTGATGCGATATAATGTTATTAGAAGATATGCTACATTTCAACTGGCAAACTTGTATAGCTGGTAATATTCGAGGGGATTTCATTTCGCTGAATTCGTATATATGTCAGACATATGATACATGTAAAAATTCAAAAACCGGCAAATATTTAAATTTTGGGAACATTTTGTTATATGTCTGTATGCATGGATACAAATGTATGGACATGCTTTCATGTTATTGGCGGAGTTGCGAGAAAGTTGATCCTCGTTAACGAAACCCAAATCGGACAACAGAAAAATATTTGTTTGCGAAATATTACAAATACACTTACTGCATATCTAGAATTTAAGCGTTGATTTCATTTTACTCGCTTTTGCATTACACTTAGAGGTTATGCACGGACCTATTTTATTAACTATCTATTGTTTGATTTTTTTACAGGTTAAACATCGACAGACCCGAGAGGCGGAGGAGACTAAGATGTTGCAGATAAACCAGGATCTTGTTCGAACCAAACGAAAAACAGATGGCCCAACACTGTCTCGGATGAAACGTATACACGACCCGGAAACCGAATTAAAAAGAATGAAACGTACACGAAGGTCTCTGACGTTGGCCAAACAACCCCATAATGCCGAAAGAGCTCTCAAAAGAATGAAAAGAGTTCCAAAAGAAGCGATTCTTCATCGTGCGAAAAGAGTTCGAGCTGAGAAAACCCTCCGACGTATCAAACGTCTTCGTCGTGACCTTCGGACTGAATTGAAGCGTCATCGCCGAAATACTGACCCAGCGGCGCATCGCTTCCGAGTCCCAATCATGAAACGTGGCCACAGAATGTCGAGACCACATACAGATAAGAGAAGCCAAGCAAGACTAGACCGAATGAAGGCCGCCATTGGCAGACACATTCAGCAGCGCAAACGCAACCGTTTCATGCATCATAAAATGAAAGGCCCTCTACACAAAAAGAATGACGTCATGAGCAAAAACAATGGCCTGTCACATAAAAGGATCGCAATGAAGAAGAATAACGTGCATCACAGCGCGAACAAATCGAACAACAACGACAAAAAACATCACGTGCAGGCACATAACTGAACCCAAGGACAAAAAAGTATGAAGTTAATGACAGCAGTTTGTTATGATAGATTTATTTTGAAGCATCAATCAAAATGAGATATTTTACCACAAATCAAAGAAGAAATTTTAACTTTAATTCTTACAAGTGAAAAAAGAAAGGACTCCAGTCAAAATTATGAATTACAGGTTAAATGATTCCATTATTTCTTACTGAAGTTATGATGTTTTTAACAACTTGGTTGGCGGACAGGGTTTTGGATTAAATACAAAAATGAAAATCAAATCTGATGAAGTGACTGCCTTGAATTTTAATGTCTAAAGGAAAATGGCATGTCTGGGAAATAACTGTTTGAAATGTTGAGTTTTATCGAAGGATTCCTGGTTTGTAACACTAATGAAAGTAAAAGAGAAGAATTGCATATCGGCTTTACTGCCATTTATTTGCCTATGTTATCAGGAATTCGCTAGGTTTCCTGAGAAACTGTTATCTTGTATCGGTCTATAACGATTTGCATTGTCTTACACAAGAACGTTTTCATTTGATATGCAGTATATTTGGTTGAGGTGATGGACATTGACGAACTCCGAAGTGAAATTATATTGGCTATTGTCATTATTATGTCGGCTTTGTAATATATTCACGAAATTCCTCTGCCATCAGAACGTTATTTCAGTCATGCGTTTCGTAATGTTATCATTATGTGGTAGTTTTAATATTGTCATATTTTGTAATGTTGAAATATTTTTATATAGTGTGTTAATTCTTTATCATATTATATAGTGTAACATTTAGGAATTTCTACATTCAATCAACAATGTCTGTAACGCCTGTAAATTAAAAAAACGAATAAATATAATCATCGAATCGATTTTTTCCAGAATTTCGATTTATTTGGTGTAAAATATTGATTTACAGTAATTTTTCCAATATATCAATGTTTATAATATTTAACATTTTATGATATTTGTTTTTATTCCCTCATTCATATTTTCTCTGTATTTGAACTCGGCAACAAAAGCATAGCTTTTCACATGCAACCTTGCTCTTACTACGTCTGTAATAGTTATTGAATGTTTTGCATTTATATCAATAAATTTCATTTTCTTTAATTCCGCTGTGTCTGATTGTCTTCCAACGATGTTGATGAATACATTGATGTATTTAAGAATTTAATTTAAGGTCACCAAGTATTTTTTTTATCGTGTTTTATAAACACGCACATCTGACGTCATCTGCTGGTTTATGATCGAAGTTATATTATCTCATACGATAGCTGATGGTGACAAGAGAAGCTATGCTATTTCACACGATTGCTGCTGATTGTGACAAGGGAATCTATATCATTTCATACGATTGCTGCTGATTGTGACAAGGGAATCTATATCATTTCATACGATTGCTGCTGATTGTGACAAGGGAATCTATATCATTTCATACGATTGCTGCTGATTGTGACAAGGGAATCTATATCATTTCATACGATTGCTGCTGATTGTGACAAGGGAATCTATATTATTTCATACGATTGCTGCTGATTGTGACAAGGGAATCTATATCATTTCATACGATTGCTGCTGATTGTGACAAGGGAATCTATATCATTTCATACGATTGATTGCTGCTGATTGTGACAAGGGAATCTATATCATTTCATACGATTGCTGCTGACGGTGACAAGGGAATCTATATCATTTCATACGATTGCTGCTGACGGTGACAAGAGAAGCTTTATTATTTCATACGATTGCTGCTGATTGTGACAAGGGAATCTATATCATTTCATACGATTGCTGCTGATTGTGACAAGGGAATCTATATCATTTCATACGATTGCTGCTGATTGTGACAAGGGAATCTATATCATTTCATACGATTGCTGCTGATGCTGCTGACGGTGACAAGGGAATCTATATCATTTCATACGATTGCTGCTGACGGTGACAAGGGAATCTATATCATTTCATACGATTGCTGCTGATTGTGACAAGGGAATCTATATCATTTTATACGATTGCTGCTGATTGTGACAAGGGAATCTATATCATTTCATACGATTGCTGCTGACGGTGACAAGGGAATCTATATCATTTCATACGATTGCTGCTGATTGTGACAAGGGAATCTATATCATTTCATACGATTGCTGCTGATTGTGACAAGGGAATCTATATCATTTCATACGATTGCTGCTGATTGTGACAAGGGAATCTATATCATTTCATACGATTGCTGCTGATTTATATCATTTCATACGATTGCATATCATTTCATACGATTGCTGCTGATTGTGACAAGGGAATCTATATCATTTCATACGATTGCTGCTGACGGTGACAAGGGAATCTATATCATTTCATACGATTGCTGCTGATTGTGACAAGGGAATCTATATCATTTCATACGATTGCTGCTGATTGTGACAAGGGAATCTATATCATTTCATACGATTGCTGCTGATTGTGACAAGGGAATCTATATCATTTCATACGATTGCTGCTGATTGTGACAAGGGAATCTATATCATTTCATACGATTGCTGCTGACGGTGACAAGGGAATCTATATCATTTCATACGATTGCTGCTGACGGTGACAAGGGAATCTATATCATTTCATACGATTGCTGCTGACGGTGACAAGGGAATCTATATTGCTGCTGATCAAGGGAATTTATCATTTCATACGATTGCTGCTGACGATTGCTGCTGATTGTGACAAGGGAATCTATATCATTTCATACGATTGCTGCTGACGGTGACAAGGGAATCTATATCATTTCATACGATTGCTGCTGATTGTGACAAGGGAATCTATATCATTTCATACGATTGCTGCTGACGGTGACAAGGGAATCTATATCATTTCATACGATTGCTGCTGATTGTGACAAGGGAATCTATATCATTTCATACGATTGCTGCTGATTGTGACAAGGGAATCTATATCATTTCATACGATTGCTGCTGACGGTGACAAGGGAATCTATATCATTTCATACGATTGCTGCTGACGGTGACAAGAGAAGCTTTACTATTTCATACGATTGCTGCTGATTGTGACAAGGGAATCTATATCATTTCATACGATTGCTGCTGATTGTGACAAGGGTATCTATATCATTTCATACGATTGCTGCTGACGGTGACAAGGGAATCTATATCATTTCATACGATTGCTGCTGACGGTGACAAGGGTATCTATATCATTTCATACGATTGCTGCTGACGGTGACAAGGGAATCTATATCATTTCATACGATTGCTGCTGACGGTGACAAGGGAATCTATATCATTTCATACGATTGCTGCTGACGGTGACAAGGGAATCTATATCATTTCATACGATTGCTGCTGATTGTGACAAGGGAATCTATATCATTTCATACGATTGCTGCTGATTGTGACTTTATTATTTCATACGATTGCTGCTGACGGTGACAAGGGAATCTATATCATTTCATACGATTGCTGCTGACGGTGACAAGGGAATCTATATCATTTCATACGATTGCTGCTGACGGTGACAAGGGAATCTATATCATTTCATACGATTGCTGCTGACGGTGACAAGGGAATCTATATCATTTCATACGATTGCTGCTGACGGTGACAAGGGAATCTCATTTCATACGATTGCTGCTGACGGTGACAAGAGAAGCTATTTCATACGATTGCTGCTGATTGTGACAAGGGAATCTATATCATTTCATACGATTGCTGCTGATTGTGACAAGGGAATCTATATCATTTCATACGATTGCTGCTGATTGTGACAAGGGAATCTATATCATTTCATACGATTGCTGCTGATTGTGACAAGGGAATCTATATCATTTCATACGATTGCTGCTGACGGTGACAAGGGAATCTATATCATTTCATACGATTGCTGCTGACGGTGACAAGGGAATCTATATCATTTCATACGATTGCTGCTGATTGTGACAAGGGAATCTATATCATTTCATACGATTGCTGCTGATTGTGACAAGGGAATCTATATCATTTCATACGATTGCTGCTGATTGTGACAAGGGAATCTATATCATTTCATACGATTGCTGCTGACGGTGACAAGGGAATCTATATCATTTCATACGATTGCTGCTGACGGTGACAAGGGATGTGATTGTGACAAGGGAATATATATCATTTCATACGATTGCTGCTGACGGTGACAAGGGAATCTATATCATTTCATACGATTGCTGCTGACGGTGACAAGGGAATCTATATCATTTCATACGATTGCTGCTGATTGTGACAAGGGAATCTATATCATTTCATACGATTGCTGCTGATGACAAGGGAATCTATATCATTTCATACGATTGCTGCTGATTGTGACAAGGGAATCTATATCATTTGCTTGCTGCTGATTGTGACAAGGGAATCTATATCATTTCATACGATTGCTGCTGACGGTGACAAGGGAATCTATATCATTTCATACGATTGCTGCTGATTGTGACAAGGGAATCTATATCATTTCATACGATTGCTGCTGATTGTGACAAGGGAATCTATATCATTTCATACGATTGCTGCTGATTGTGACAAGGGAATATATATCATTTCATACGATTGCTGCTGACGGTGACAAGGGAATCTATATCATTTCATACGATTGCTGCTGATTGTGACAAGGGAATCTATATCATTTCATACGATTGCTGCTGATTGTGACAAGGGAATCTATATCATTTCATACGATTGCTGCTGATTGTGACAAGGGTATCTATATCATTTCATACGATTGCTGCTGATTGTGACAAGGGAATCTATATCATTTCATACGATTGCTGCTGATTGTGACAAGGGAATCTATATCATTTCATACGATTGCTGCTGATGTGACAAGGGAATCTATATCATTTCATACGATTGCTGCTGATTGTGACAAGGGAATCTATATCATTTCATACGATTGCTGCTGATTGTGACAAGGGAATCTATATCATTTCATACGATTGCTGCTGACGGTGACAAGGGAATCTATATCATTTCATACGATTGCTGCTGACGGTGACAAGAGAAGCTTTATTATTTCATACGATTGCTGCTGACGGTGACAAGAGAAGCTTTATTATTTCATACGATTGCTGCTGATTGTGACAAGGGAATCTATATCATTTCATACGATTGCTGCTGATTGTGACAAGGGAAGAGATTCATACAATATTTAGTTGTTGAGTTCGCCATTCACTATAAACGCATCTTTTACAGAAAAAGATATTTCCAGTCTAGAAGTCTTTGAAGGGAAAATTTTGTATTTTTTGGACGTCCGAGAAGACCTATGGTTGTTGAAGGAAGGCCAATTTTAAAGTCGCAACTAACAAAGAGTTAAAAGTCAGAAACTAAACTAACATCTACTTAAAAACACCACTTTCAGGAATAGGTTCTGCGATAGAGAGTGTGACGCCTGCCTCGTGCTGCACAAACAAAGCAATCGCTGCTGGTCGTGGAGTCGTCATTGAACAAATCTATTGTCATTCGTAACAAATGGATATCACAAAATAAAGAAATGTCTGCATAAAGACCTAGCAATGCAGCTTTTTTATCTGCTTCAATAACACATGGATAAGAAATGGAACTTAAACGAAAATATATTTCAACAAACATTTCGAAAATAAATGCTCGGCAGTGTTTTCTTACTAGCGCGGTTTAGTCACGAAAACACTTCTCATGAGTTTAAAATCTAGAATGACAAAGACAGATTTTGATACATTATGTTATATATTTGTTATTATACTTACTCTTATCTATTAAATGAGATGATATTAAAGGCTATAAAATAATTGTTATAACGGGATAGAGTCGATTGTACCGTTTATTATCAACTTCGTACTAACCACCTTTTGTTGATCTTATGATTATAAACCAGATTTGTATTTGTATGTTCGTTTTATTTTCCGTCAGATTTCATAAAGAATAGTTGACTTTTGGAATAGCCGCACCGGCATCATAATTTCTTCTGAAATATTCAAGCGGATTTCATAATGATTTTGCCATAATGCCAGATTTATATTTTTATATATCAGAGGCCTTGAACAGGAAAACTGCCGGAAAATGAATTTGAAAACTTGCTAAGAACATTTAGGATTTGCTTTCCGGAATCTCCTAAATAGGAATTAGAATTGTAAATCTATTCCAAATTGTTACACATGGTAGCTGCATAGTGTATTTTGTTTGTGTTAGATGAAATGACCGAAATAGATTGTTTACATAGCGTGGTATCAGGTATGTTTACCAACTAATATTATCTAGATCAGGCATATGCACCAGTTAGGATAAAATGTAATAGGGCATCATTAGATACTGCTAATCTCAAACATATCACATATGAATCACCGAATTAAATACGATGAACACAAGTCAAAATATGAACAGAAGAACAATTTACACGGAGACTACTGAAAAAGTACAATGATAATCAGACGAGATGTTCGGAAGGGTAGATTACATCGCATACATAGAACACAAAACAGATACAATGTTATAGACTAAAATCGAGAACGGAAGTAAAGAATTAGGTGTCTCGATAACTCCCTTCGGCCAGTGAACGCCGAAGACCATTTATAAGGGACAAAAACCATCTTAAATTAGATATGAAAGACGATGATTCAAATAGTAAAAATATTTCATTTCAGAATATTTTATTGATAAAAAAAATCAATAGGATAATGCAGCAGTCTGGAGCCTATGTAAGTCTTCTTCCAAAATGATAATATATATAATATATAAAATAACTTATTATATAAATCTCGGTAAAATGAAAATTCATTGTAAAAAAGAATTAATGAATGAATGTATAATTACAATTTAGTTTTTGTTTTGTAAAAATCAGCAGTTAAATGCGAAAAAAAATGAAATATCATTTTCAATATGGTAGAATAGGCCAAAGAGTCGTCAACAGGCCTACAATAAACCCGCCATGAAAACTTTTGGTTCCGGACTCGAGTTAATGATCGAAGACATTTTTAATAGAGACGTAGGAATTAAATGAGAAGTGCAATTTTGAAAAGGAAGTTATGAAGAAAACAAAATTGAGTGGGCAGGTTGGGAAGTGGACAATCCTTATCCTATGGCTTGGCATGCTACAGAAAGGTCAGGGTGTTAATATATAAATGTGTATATATATATATATATATATACTCGTTCTGATCTTTATACATAACTGCTCAGATAAGTAATTACAGGTAATCTTATATATATATATATATACTCGTTCTAATCTACTTTATCTATATACATAACTGCTCAGATAAGTAATCACAGGTAACCATGTGATGTAAAGGTCTTCTTAATTTCATAGTTGCAATATCAACAGTGATGACCATCAACGAAAACAGCTCTCTCCTTTCAGAAAAAAGAAGAATCATTCAGAGTGATCCCAAGATAGACGATGGTACTCAAACAGTCATCTCGACCAATGACGTCATTATACGTCATATGAATATTATCTTATTATCATCAGCAGTGATAATTGGTGGTGTCAGTAAAGCACAATATATCTACAAATGGGTTTCCGTCAATACGGTACTTCCTGACGTTATCCAAGGAGTCAATGTGTCTTCGCCTGGAAACATTTTGCAGCAATGTGCTACCAATTCTTCGTCTGATGCAGAGAACGAATACCAAAGACTATCAGCTCGCATGGCACTTTATTTCACATTGATGGAAAAAATAATCGCCCTTCCAGTTCTAGTACTTTTCGGAATTTATTCAGATTTTATCGGTCGTAAACCTTTAATGGCCCTTGGAGCTCTCGCGGAATGTGCCAAATACGGAATGATGTCATTTTTCATTTACAAAGACTTTCATATCAACTATCTATTTGTCTGTTATGCTGTTAGTGGTTTAGGAGGAACTTACTATTCATTCCATCTTGCCAACTTTGCTTCCGTTGCAGATACAACAGCGCGAGGTAAACAAAGATCTTTCAATATTGCATTAATTGATGCTGTCATCGGTATAAGTGGTCTGGCGGCACAGATCGCAGCTGGTTACCTGATAAAAATAACAGGGTTTGTTTATATCAACGTGATGGTAGCTGGGCTACTTGCAATGCTTTTACTATCCGTAATATGCTTATTCAAAGAAACACGCGTGAAAGGCAGTCAAGCTAACTCACCAAGATCCAAAATAACTTGGAACATTTGTGATGCAATCAAACGAATTACAGGTTTTTACACTCATAAGGAACAAAGACGAAACACGCCACTTTCTATCTTCTTGACATTTGCTTTTGCTTTTATTTTCGCATATTGTGTTGCTACTGCTAGGGGAGATATAGAGGTTTTATATAATTTAAATTTTCCATTCTGTTGGTCCTCTGTGAAGATTGGTTATTACCGGGCCGTGAAAGACTTTGTCCAAATGGTCATTGGAATTACGTTGATAAAAGTTTTGCATTCATGCACTAGTGATGAAATCATCAGCATCCTGGGATGCATCTCTGGAATCGCCTCCATGGGGGTAATGGCGTTTGCTTCAAAGGAGTGGATGTTGTATCTTGGTAAGTCTATTGTAGATAAGTAAAACTATTTATTACAATTTTGTCTGTTTATATCTTGAAAATATGTCATTTTGGAAAATAATGTTATCTGATGTTTCATTACATTTCACATACAAAGCCGACCAATCAGATAATTTATTCCAGTTCTCAGGATTCAATGTCCTAATTTGATGCTAATGAAGCGGTAGTAAGTTAAACATTTTGTTTATCTTAATTCAATAGTAAAAATGAAGAGAAAACAAACCAAAAACATGATTTGATGATTTCATTGTTAATGAAGTCGAAGTGTGATAACGATTCATTAAAATCATCTATGTATGTGTATGTTTCGTGTACTTCAGCAGAAATGGCTTCTCACTTTTGTTTGGAAGTGTTTGTTATAGTGCTCTTAGTTTTAACATTTGAATGATGCAGCATCTTTTTCGTCAGAATATAGATGCTAAGAAATCTCACTCAAGAAGGTAAGGGAACAGTAAGTTCGTTGCTTTCAGTTACTTGTTAGACACTGCTGTATAGGAGTTAGGAGGCGACAAGACAGAAAAAAGCCTCTTCATAGTGTTATATTTGCTTTTATCAGTAGCTTTGTGATAATTCGGAACAATGTGAACCTTTTATTCTTTCATGCTCATCTTTATCAAAATCTATATTTCAGCTGTAGGACTTGGTATAATGTGTTTACTTCCGTTACCACTGATAAGAGGGATTTTTTCGAAAACAGTTTTGCCTGATAAGCAAGGTAACATGCTATACTTTACTTGAATGCTCGATTCATTTGACAGGTGTCGACGATAATGCATAAGAGGATTTCTCTTCTGAAACACATGGTCTTATTTTCCTTGAACTTTATAAGAAGTCTATGTTAATATTTTTCTTTATATATTTCATCTTGATTTTTGATGTTGTGTGACCAGGTCATTTGATTTCGGAAAAAAAGATAATATCATATTTTATCATTGATGAAACAGGTACCAAGTCAAGAACTAACACTCTTCGAAGATTAACATTATCTTCGCTGACATTTAAGGAATAAAAAAAGTGTATGAATGAGAAATCATGTCATGTCCATACATTTCAGGGAAAGCTATTTCATTTGTGAAATCATAGCCTTATATATACCTCGATCCCTGAATTACACATTATCAGAATTATAAGGAATGCTTGAAAACGTAAATTTCGTATTAACTGGAAAACATCTTTTTGTATATTGTGATCATTTGTGTTTATATTATGGTGTATGGTTATTATTTTTTTCAGGTGCGTTGTTTGCAAATATCTACATTTTAGAAATATTGTGTGGTTTAGGAGGGAGTACTATTTTCAACAATATTTATGCCGAAACGCAAAACACTATGAAGGGAATGGCATTCCTTGTCATGGCGGGATTTTACTTCTTATCAGGAGTTTTGTTAATGTACGTACACACTTCTTGTACACCACTATGCAATAAATCTTTTGTAAAACAATAGCATAACAGAATAGTGTTATGACGATTTCATATGCATTGTAATAAATCCTTCATACCTTGAATTTCTTGTAGTAACCCCTCACCATTTAAGGATGTACTCGTCTGAGAAGTAAACCATCCAATATTAAACTTTTTCTTACTACTGTTTGAAAGGTTTTAACTTAGAAAATAAATTAAAAACAAAAAACCAATATATTGCTGCACTACTTTTTTCCAGTACAGGTGTCCGAATATGTATAACAGGAAATATGATCGCATATTGTTCTTAGCTGTTCATGAATAAAAGACACTACGTTTTTGACTTTCTTTACGAGATAAGGGTATGATACTTGGCTATTAAGGAAACAAAATACGGAAAATGTTTTATTTGATTTAACGGACTTTCAACAGTGTAGCAACGAAACAAAATGTTCTGAAATGACCTAAATCCTTTGTTTGATTATCTTCTAATATTGAACTTGTTTTTAATACTTTATATTTGATAAGGGAAGTTTCGAAAATACTTTTCATGGTCAAAATATATGTAGTGAATTTGTTGTATTTTTCGCTATTAACCGAATCACGCTGTCAAGTATATTGCAAAAAAGTAGTTCACAGTGAAATTTCTTCAATTTTCTTCTTTTTAAGGTTTGTAAGTACAAATATAGATACCGAAGTATATAAGATTACCCACTTATTGCGTTATAATGAAGTATATCTTACTTCCGGTCAAAACATCAGAGAAGTTTATTTATACCATGTGTGTTGGTGTTAAACCCGTCTTTAATTGATGTCGGTTTTTGGTTTTAGTATCTGCTTATGTATGACGACGGCGCAGGAGACATCTACTCTATGCATACAAGGGAATATTGAACCTTCAGTAAACCCCAGAAGTAACACGCCACGCCAAGATAACATGGATTTAAAGCGCAGCAAAGCATCTGATATTACCAGCAATATACTGGCTGATACAGAGGAACTTGACTCTAGCATGTAGTGTACTGCAATCTTCGGCAATGATAAGTTTTATACATCAATAGGAATTATATGTTGATATTGTTTTATAATAAAATGAAGTATTTATAAGCTTTAGTTTTACGCTGTATTTATTAAAAGCGACACAATTGTCAATTCTCAATGATTATATCATATTTATAAGAAACTCATAAACTTTTCGATAAAACCGAATTTGAACACTAAAATTTACATAAAGTTGAAAAAACTACCTTTTATTGTAAAGTATTTTTTAAAATTTAATAATCAACGACAGGTTAATCAAGTTTGAAACCAACAAAAGTGTATTTCGATAATGCCATATTCTTGTAATTAACAATCATTTGTATTACGAAAGCACTGTAAAGAAAGAAGCCGCAAAGACTTGGAGTTCTAACAATATGTTTGCAGTCATGATCAATATTTGTTGTACCAACATTTATAGAGATTACCGTTAAAGGTCTCATTCAAATCAAGGTCTCGTATTACTGGCTTTGTGTAGTTGAAGCTTTAAAGCACATTCACGACCTGAAAAAACAAATTTTGTCATCCGAATGAATAAAAAATTTTGGAAACTTTTTAGCTGTTTGAAAAAGATGAATAGGACCAGAGTGACAGAGATTGATGAATTAACATTAGAACATATGACATTTTTAAAATTGTAATATTCCATTAAATGAGCTTGGCATGATCAAAATGAAAGTAAGTAGGCTTCTGTTTGTACGTTTAATATTAGCTATATATTTGTACAAATCACACAAATTCAAAATTAAAATTTAGGGACGACTGAGGAAAATGCAAATGGTTCGATATAAATGTTCATGAGGAGATGATACACTAACCCATAGATACAAATTAATTTTTCAAGTGCAAGTGTATATTCTCGGGTCTTAGTTTCAACAGTAGTCTATACAACCAACAGTCCGGAGATTGTATAAACGTGAGTTGCACCTTCCTCAGATTATATCATCTAAACTATAGCGTTTTACATCGATAAGAAGAACAAATTATAACTTAGCGTGGTTAATGGATTGTGTGGCTTGTCAAACATCGTTTTTGAAAACATTGATCATTTGATGAACACGGCCGTCTGTACATATAAATATGCTCACTTGATATTATTTGTTTATAAACATCTGATTTTAAAAATGATTAAAATGGTTACGTAATTTAACGATTTATCAAATCTGGTTTATAACTTGATAAGATATATTAAAATGTATGCCGTCTTTGCTCTGATTATCTAAAAACAGTGTATTTATAACATCTCGTATACATAACGACAGAATACCTTTGGTTGGATGTTTCAATTTTTCACGGTTTTTACGAACGAAAAGAGAATTAAATGGATATTGGTTAACAGTCCACAATTTCCTTTACTAGTATTATTTATCGGTTTCGAACCACAGACATATATACCTATGTTAATGTCCCTGTTTATATGCATATCTTATCCCGAAAGATTTTGGAAACAACCCTCAGGGAGAGCCCACTTATGTGTAAGCAGAAATTGAACTGCATACGGAACTGTTGAATATACACACGTTCTCCACATTGTCATTACCAATTTTATACATCTGTCTATATGTATATATATCATTGTATCATTTTTTGAGAATTTGATATAGTTCATAGTTCAGAATATACATATGCATTTGAAGTTCTTCTGCAATTAACAATTTAAAAAGGAAATAACGGAAATTGGTCAGGCTATTGGGCTAATGCAGCTCCTGAATCACTTCCTGTTACTATGAACCTAAAATAAAAAATAAAATAAAACGGTTCTCGATTTTTCTGAAATGTTCACGAAATGTTTTTGACATAAAGAGCCAAATAATATATATATATATATATATATTTCGTACACTCAAACTGTAAATAAATGTTACAGTTTTTGACTCACAATGTAATGTTTACACAGAAAGCCGATATGTTTATCTAGACATGTAATATACACACGTTAAGATAAAATATCACAGGACATCGCATGCTACTTATATTCTCAAACATATTTCTTATATTTCATTAGCGGTGATCATTCATCATTAAGAAAACTTAATATTATTTTCATTGATCAAATACTTTGACATTTTAAGACAATAAATAAAATATCGACATGTCATCAGAATCATAATTCAAACTGAAGTACTCAAATTCAACGAAACTAGTTCAGGATATGTGCAAACGAAACATTTGCACGGTGTCCAAGGAAACTGTTGAAGAAGAACATAACCATGTGTTCCGGAAGGATAAACATCTTCTGCTTTATCGACGACACCCGCCCTGTCATTCTTGGTCAATACAAATAAGTAATGTCATGTTCCCAAATAAGAAAAAAGTTAGCAACCATGTATACCAACGAACATCAAACACGTTTAATATTGTCAACGAAATCATAATGAGAACTATAAAACGTCTCCATGTTCCTTATCAACCTGCATCTGTTGGAACGCTGTAGAATGAGGTCGTACTGTCAGTTGTTGACATTCTGTAACTAAATCGTGATATGGGGAACAAATCAACATCGATATGTAAACACTTTATGCAGGGAACCATTTAAAAGCAAGCGCAGAGAAGAGAATGATAAAATAAATGCTTCAAAAGGGTTCTTTTAGTGATTCTCAAATATAACTAATTCTATATGCCACACCTCTAAAAACGTTACATGTTACAAGGAAAAATATTAGTTGTTATTTTATGTTAAAACCCTAAAATCACAGGGAATTAGAAATCTAAGATGATTTTTTGTGAGTAATTTGTCATATGTTTTTGTACCAAAGGAGACTCACAGCTTGAAACCAAATTTTCAAGGTTGACCGTGTAAATCTTTCTTTAGTTCATATTTTGTCCCAGTTGTATTGAATTGAATTTGAGTTTAGAATATTATGATGTTGACATGATGGTGTTTTCTTGTTGTTTTTATGTCGTATAGCGTATGTAAACTTGTAAACTTGAGAATAGAATTGGTGATGAAAATTTCTTGGATATTGAATAAAGAGGTTCATCACTGCACGTTTTCTCCGTGTCAAATAGGTACACTTTAATAAATTAACAGCCAACTGGCAGATTTGTTTTTACAAAAGATTCTTTTTTTTTTATTATGTTCATTTGCCTTTAACACAAGCAATGTTTAATAAAAGTAAAACATTATTGGGTAGAACAAATAACCACAACAGTTTACAAACATATTATGATATTATAATCCTTTCGTTCTAATCTACCTAGTCTATACTCATATCTAATCAGATAAGTTGTCACATGATATCACATGATATCACATGATTCATAGTTCTTAATCATCTTATGTTTGTTACTTCTTTAGCGATGGCATTCAGCGAAAACAGCCCAATCGTTCCAGGAAAAAGAGGAATCAATGAAAATGACAAAAAGACAGACGAAACTACTCATGTTGTCACCTCGACCAGTGACATCATTATACGTAATATAAACATAACCTTAATATCATTAGCGGCGATAACTGGTTATGTCAGTAAAGCACAATACATCCACAAATGGGTTTCCGTAAATACGGTACTGCCTGAAGCTATCCAAGGAGTCAATGCGTCTTCTCCTGGAAACATTTCGCAGCAATGTGCTACCAATTCTTCGTCTGATGCAGAGAACGAATACCAAAGACTATCAGCTCGCATGTCACTTTATTTCACATTGACGGAAAAAATGATAGGACTCCCAGTTTTGTCTCTTTTCGGAATTTATTCTGATTTCATCGGTCGTAAACCTTTAATGATCGTTGGTTGTCTCGTAGAATGTATCAAATACGGAATGATGTCATTTTTCATTTACGAAGACTTTCATATCAACTATCTATTTGTCTGTTATGCTGTTAGTGGTTTAGGAGGAACTTACTATTCATTCCATCTTGCCAACTTTGCTTCCGTTGCAGATACAACAGCGCGAGGTAAACAAAGATCGTTCAATATTGCATTAATTGATGCTGTCATCGGTATAAGTGGTCTGGCGGCACAGATCGCAGCTGGTTACCTGATAAAAATAACAGGGTTTGTTTATATCAACATGATCGCCGCTGGGCTATTCGCACTGGTTTTACTATCTGTGATATTCCTATATAAAGAAACACATGTAAAAACTAAACTAGCTAACTCGGCAAAATCCTGGAATATTTGTTATGCTATTAAACGGATGACTAGTCTCTACACTCATAAGGGACAACGAGGAAACATGCCATTATCTATCTTCTTAGTACTTACGATTGCATTTGTTTTGGTTTATGGTATGGGTAGTGCTAAGGGTGATGTAGAGATTTTGTATATTTTAAATTTTCCATTCTGTTGGTCTTCCGTGAAAATTGGATATTACAGTGCAGTCCAAGTTTTTGTCCAAACGGTTGTTGGGATTATGTTGATAAAAGTTCTGCATTTATTCACCAACGACGAAATGATATGTATCATAGGATGTATTTCTGCAATTGCCTCAATGATAGCGATGTCATTCGCAACAAGGGACTGGATGCTGTACATTGGTAAGTCTGTCGTAAAAGTAAGCAAATGATATCACGATCTCGTCCTATATTGGGGTTTACTGATTCTGTCCGTTAGGAATACAATAAAAATGTTTTCTGCAACATGGCAAGTATCCCCTGATCAACATGCATGAGATTCTTTGAATAATTCAGTTAACAGAGAATCAATGATTTGTTATTCTCTTATTACCCATTCTCTAATAGTTCAATGATATTTTCTAAACTATTCTTCAAAACAACACTTTTGAAAGCCTAGAATCGATTCAATCGGTGCACCTCACTGTATCAACGTTAATCAAGAAATGACAAACCAGATCATCATTTGTATAGTGTTTCATAAGCTTTCGTACCCTCTACTTGGAGAGAAGGAAAACGACCTGAAGGAATCAGCAGGGATCTACTTTATTTACCTCTCCGCTATACACCCCCTCCCAAATCATAACTTATCGAGACTTTATTGTTGCTTAGGTGTTGAACTTTCGAGCAAACCAACGGTTCATTGTTCATTGTCTTTGTCCCTCCCCCGATACTTAGCGTTCTTGCTCCTGCTTTACGTTCTGAATTAAAAGATGGATAGAAAGAGTGTCTGTCAGTATAATATGACTGGTATTTAGTCATTCTACCTTACTTATGTCATCACATTTCAATAACACAAAACCAAATCATCTGTAAATTACCCTGTTTTTTCATGACAGTATTTGTTGTGATTACGAGAAATAGAACAATAGAATTAGAACAGAGATAAGGAAATGACTAGCCAATGAATATCAGAACTCTGTCACTATCACTAGGACAATTTTATACCAATCCTCTCTCTTAAAATTTGAATTTACTTTCTTATACTTGTCTAAAATGATATTCAAAGCAACCGTGGCATATTATCTGTTATACGTTTCATAATCAGTTTTGTGCGTATTATCTAAGATTTCTTAATTAATGTTTTTCATGCACATTTTTATGAACCTTGCATGTATGTCTACATTTGTTATATATTGTTACTGCTTGTAACTTGGATTTTTCAAAGTTTCCTTGGTTAAGAGTGTTTTTATTTGTGATACAATCGGCTATTTATTTTCTTGTCTTTTCTTCATTTTTTTTGTCGATGAAGGACTCATTGAATTTCGTTTGTAAGAGTGTTTTTTAATTATATCACCTCTGGTTTTATACAGTTTACGAGTGTAAATATGAATATTTGTAATCGTTTTATACAGTTTACCTGTATAAATATGAATGCTTTTGTGATCTCTGGTTTTATACAGTGTACGAGGGTAAATATGAATGATTGTGATCATTTTATACAGTTAACCAGTGTAAATATGAATGATTGTGTTAATTTTACACAGTTAACCAGTGTAAATATGAATGATTGTGTTAATTTTACACAGTTAACCAGTGTAAATATGAATGATTGTGTTAATTTTACACAGTTAACCAGTGTAAATATGAATGATTGTGTTAATTTTACACAGTTTACCAGTGTAAATATGAATGATTGTGTTAATTTTACACAGTTAACCAGTGTAAATATGAATGATTGTGTTAATTTTACACAGTTAACCAGTGTAAATATGAATGATTGTGTTAATTTTACACAGTTAACCAGTGTAAATATGAATGATCACTCGTTTTATGCAAGTTGCAGGTGTGATTTTAATGACATTCGATATTATGATCTACTATTATGATAGTAAGACATCCAACCTATCAACGTCTACATTTCAGCTATAGGACTTGGTACAATGTGTGTCGTTCCAGCACCACTGATCAGAGGGATTTTTTCGAAAACAGTTTTGCCTGATAAGCAAGGTTAGATGAAATGTTTTGATTGAATATATCATATCACCTGATCGTCAATTCATTTCTTTAAAAAAATGTAAAATGAATCACATAAATGGGACACAATACCTTAGGAACTTGAATAATATTGAAATAAGTACCTCGGTATAACAATAATACTCTACATTCGGTGATAAACACTAATTTTATCGATACATATATGTATACATTGAGAGTACCACTTTTGATAGACAACAACCTACACATATATTGAATTTGTAACTACTTAAATATCTCCATTTATCATTTCAGGTGCTTTGTTTGCAAACATCTACATATTTGAAATACTGTGTGGTCTAGGCGGGAGTACTATTTTCAACAATATTTATGCCGAGACACAAACTACAATGAAGGGAATGGCATTTCTTGTCATGGCCGGATTTTACCTCATATCAGGAATTTTGTTAACGTACGTAAACCTTTCCAGTACAATGAGACGATTATTAACATCTGGTGTAGAAATAGAGACCTATGGCTACAGTGCGTGGAAATGGACATGGTTAAAAATAGAAATGCGTCCGAGGGAAATATTATTCCTTGCTAACACACTATTGATTTGGAATGGAATGATATTTCATTCTGTGTCTGTTATCAGAAGTTGCCTTTCAGTATCATTTGATCAGGAATGGAGCTTTACGCCATCACGAAGGACATTGTTACGTCTCACTTTTTCGAACGAAAACTAATAATGTCGTACGACCTAGTAAAAATGTCTCACGAACGAGATAAAAAGTGTAAGAATATGGTAAACAGAGGATATTTGTCAAAAGTATTAACAATTATCTTCCACAGGTGTGTCTAATATTTTAGTATATTTCACGAGTCTGCAGTGCTCGTTAAGGATACTGAACATATTAGACAAACGAGTGAAGTATATTTATTATTACTGAACCCACTATTGGATATAAATATTTATTACATTTTCAAAAGAAAATTGCCAAATAACTGGCATATTTAGAACAGATATAAAACGAGGAAGCTGACTAGGCTTTTCACGGATATTACTCACCATTGTAACTACGCGACAAAATATAGTCCCTTTAAAAAAGTGGTAAAACTTAATTTCACATTCACATAGAACATGTTAGTTATTCATGTCACTAAGCGAAAATATATGCTGTAAAACGTTCAGGGAGAGTTTGTTCTATGAAAAGTAACTACACGTTCGGTTAGATATTATTTCTACTCTCCCATTTCCTTTAGTATATTTCTGGGTTTTTTCTTTTGAAATAACTTACTATGTTAATGTTATGACATTTAATCTATCTTTAGATAATATTCGTGTTTTGTCTTTCAGTATCTGCATGTGTCTGACGTCGGTGTGGGGGACATATAATCTATTTATACAAGGCGGCAGTGAACCTTCAGTGAACTCCAGAAGAAGTGACACCTTAAGCTTAGATAACGTGAACTTGCAACAAAGGGAATCACATGATACAACCATCAAAGTAAAGCAAGAAACAGAATCAGTTGACTACTTGTAACAGGACTGTCGTAAATAGACACAACTTGGAAATATATGCTGATATGTTGTATGTTGAAAATATCAAATCATATATAAACTAATTGTCGTGGAACAGTGATCGATTAAGTCTCTTCTGTACAATGTAACTTACATGTACATACAATATAATTGTTAATATGTATCGTTAGACACTTGCTATTTTTGTTTTCATGATATAAACTGCTTACCTGTGACTTCACTCTTTCATATGTATATATGTATGTCTTAAATACTAAATGTATGGTTGTAAATCCCAAACATACCGTATAAGCGTACTTTCACGTGTCCTGTCTATCTTATCATGCACGCATTCCCTTATGTTTCTATACCGCTTGAAATGGTTCATGGAATATTAATATAATAGTTATAGTTACGTTACGGCAAATTTATGTACCATCTATCATTATATATGTCTTAAAGTTTGATAAATATGTATGATTTAAATAGTAAATATCTTAAAAAGTTATTTTCCACCTAATGCACATGCATTTTGTTGTTCAGTTCTCATAAAAGTTAGCAAGCCGATGTTCTTGATCATTTAAGCGCTTGTATTCTATATACGGAGATGTACGCCACATAAAGCTCTCGATTGAGACTGTATACACATGCGTGATGAGATAGCTAGGCCGCTATTTACAATTTATCATTCCCGAAGTCATGCTATGGCAGCGGATCGTGTTGTCCTTAGTAACCTGTAGCGATTGTTATGTCCTTCAATGTATGTATTATTGTTTTCTGCGTGTTATCATTTTGTTTGTATGTATAATATTTCAATTTCTACCCAAATCAGACTCAATGAAAGTACTAAATGTGGTAAATTTCGTTTACCAATGAATTTGACCAGTATTGTTTTCACAATTCAATTTTTTTTAAACTTCACTTACTTTCAAAAAGAAAATTATTTTTCACATTCCTTTCTCTATTTCATTGCTTTGTAGTTAAATTTGTATATTACATTCAATACTTTGTGGTAAAGTGGTGTGTTACCTCTGACCCTTTGTTTTGAGTAATTTGTAGTTTAAATTTACAACAATTCATTATTATTTTTTATCCTAGAAATTGATGTCTACTTATTGTCCGAGAGATGCAAGAAAATGATCCCGGTACAATTTCCCTAAGGGAATGGTTGAGCTCAGCAGAGGAACCTACGGAAGACCAATAGTATTAAGGAACGAAAGTCATTAAGTGGTACTGGATAAATAGGGAGCTCTTTTATCTGGATGGACACGAGGTTATGTGGAGGAAACCAATTGATGACGACACATCGCCTCTACTGGTGGCACCACCTGGCACACATGAAGAGGTTCTCCAACTGTGTCATGACATACCATCAAGTGGCCCCCAGGGAATTAAAAGGGCCAAGGGCATTGTAAAGCAGAGATTCTTTTGTTATAAGTTGTCGAGCTTCGTGCAGAACTTCGTCCAGTCGTGCGGAATCGGTATCCGCAATAAAAAAAGCGACCCGGAAATCACGCTGCCTCTAGACTCTCTACCATGCAGGTGAACCGATGGAACGTATCCACCTGGATTTCCTGGGCCCACTTCCACAGACAAAGAAAGGGAGTGAATTCGTTTTGATAATGGTCGATCAATTTTCTGAATAGGTGGAATGTATAGCACTGCCATCTCAAATCGCAGAAACAACAGCTCGGGCTGCTGTAAATGAGTTCTTTTCAATGTTTGGTTACCCCTTTGAAATTCAGACGGATCAGGGACGGAATTTTGAAAGTCGTATATTTAAGGCTATCTGTGAGATAATGCACATTCACAAGACCCGTACGACAGCTTATAGGCTATCGGCCAATGGCCAAGTTGAACGCTATAATCATACGCTTATGGATGATGTCCGTTGTTGTTTTGAAATCTCAGCATCAGTGTGATCTACATTTACCACAGTTGGCCGGAGCACTACGCTGATCAGTGAACAGAAACACTGGGTTTACGCCTAATAAATTAATGTTGGGTAGAGAGACCAATCAGCCTGTAGACTAAATGTTTCGACCGACAAAAGAAACGACGGAGGACGACCACGTTAAGAAGCTAGAGAAGGTTATTTCTTTTGCACATGAGACGGCGAGGAACACCCTGAAGACAACGTAGCGGCGCATGAAACGAGACTAAGTCTTGCGTGTAAAAAAGTCTCAGTTTAAGGAAGGTAATTTTGTGTTTATCCTTGACACGGACAGAGCAATCTTATAGTCGTGAACAATGATCAGATAAAATTATCCCGGGACAGGAATAATCCTAAATGAACTGTGGACTTTCGAGACAGTGTGAAATACGGCACAATATCTGAGGATGTGTATTGTATATGTAATGGACCAGACGATGGCAGTTTCATGATTGCCTGTGATTCATGCTTTAAATGGTTTCACTGGTCATGTGTGTCGGTCACACGGGAGGAAGACGACTTCCTAGAAGTATACTTCTGCCCCAGTTGTTCACTCTGACATAAAAGAAAGCGGGGAAGTGTGTGGTGTAAATAGTACGTGTATATATGTTTGGATGCAAGCGTCTGGGCGACGTTCCGAGGAGAGCCACATTCTGAGAATTGTTTTGAAGACTTGATTTGACAGAAGCAACATAACGGTCATTGGAGACTACAACCACATACCGACGCATGTACATAAGAATATCTATATACTGTATTACTGGTCTTTTTGAACACTGTCTCTGTCTTGATGGAATAGTCTATCTACTTGCTATGTACCATGTGTCATTTCCTATTCTTCATGCCTCATCCTGATTGAAAATGGGTAAAAAAACAGAATATCAATTCAGTATTGAGACACATTGGAAATCAGAAGCTAGTTCTAACCTCTCTCACTCATTCAACTTATATAATTTTACTATCTTGAAATATCATACAAGTTTTAAAATATATAGTTCTGTTTTATAATTCATATTTTATTGTTAACTTCAAATGACATTAAAGAGGGTCCTCTATGCAGTCTTGATATTGCTCACCTGAATGTCAGGTCTTTAAGAAATAAAGTTGACATTATAGAAGCTGAATTAAATAATAATGACATAGTATGTTTAACAGAAACTCATCTTCCTCCTGAAGTACCAGATTCGGATATTAACATTGACTCTTACCTACATGGCTGGACCGAAGATCGGGCCCTGGTGGTGGAGTTATTATTTATCATAGAAATACAGTTTTCATTAAAAGACGAACATATTTAAAACATGAAGATGTAGAATTAATCTGGGTTGAGGTATGTGGTGAGTCTCGTAATTTTTTACTCTGTTGTTTATAGACCAGACATGCCTGTCGGTTATTGGGAAACCCTTGATTTTGTGTTAGATGGAGCTATAAATACTAACCTTAATGTCGTAATAACAGGTGATATAAATGTAAACATGATTAACTTACAACCTCATAGTCATCTTGGTAGATTAATGACCAAATACGATCTTGTGAATTATGTAAATGAAACTACTCTTTTAACTCCAACATCTTCCACCTCATCAGACATTGTATTTTCTAACAGTTTGAACTTCATCAAAAATTATCTGTTTCCCCGCCTATTTGTAGTGATCATTCTCTTTTACAATTTTGTATTTCATTTGATGTTTTCAAACCAAAAACTTACAAGAAAAAAATGCTTCTCTCTCAGGAAGCTGATTATGTTAAAATGAACAGGACCTGAATATAATTAATTGGGTTTCACTCTCAGAATTGTAAGATAGTTGTGAATTTAATAATACTCTTTGTGATGCTATCAATCAACAGATATCTGAATGTATTCCTAGTAGAAATATTACAGTAAGACCTAGAGATAAAAAGTAGATGACACAAGAAATCAGAATTAAAATTAGACAAAGAAATATGGTAAATAGAAAAGCAAGGTCTAGTGACTTACCACGTCACTATAGAAATATCAGGAATATAGTCATAAGTAAAATTAGGGAGGTTAAGTATAATTATTTAGAAAATATGCATACATTGTTAGCTAATAGACATACCTCCTCATCTCGTTGGTGGAACATTGGTAATTTTCTTTTGTCAGTTGCGGCTGGCCTTGATATCAATAATTGATTTTGAGAAATTACAGAAATAAATTATGTTTTCGGTTTCCAGGAGTCTCCGTATAAATCTTTCTCTTGATCACACTTCGCCTCGGTTTCATCGCATTTGAATAAAGATACTGTTAACATATAAGTAATATGCATTGGTCAGGAATCTTATCACACTATTGATATTCTTACTAGCGTGAGTTACTTATAAATGATAAAGAAAACATTAAAGTCAATGAGTAAATAACATTAATATGTTTTCTCCGACGTCTTCTGTTAGGGGATATCGAAGAGCGCTTGAAAGCTGATGTATTTTTCTACATGACCGTAGGAGCCAACTTAAAGTGCACACCCCTCCCCTTGCAGAATCATTGGTTTTCTTCCCCATCTTCTAACAAGAGGTCATGAATGACACTGGCTGTTGCGAGGACGTTAAACCACGTCGGTGTAACACTAAAAGTAAGAAAAACAAGAAATCAAAACTGATATTCGATAAAACCAATCGCTTTCAAACAGATCACAGATTTATATGTCCATATTATCATTGTTTGTATTGTTCGAAACGTGATTATATGGCTCCGTTGGCATTGATAAGAGGGATGTTATCAAAAAGAAGTTTGCCTGACCAACAAGGTATTATATAGCATATCCAGGTTATTAAAATGTTTAATATGTAATTTGATTTAAATTGTAAACGAAATTCCGAATAAACGCGGATTGATCTCCAATGGCAAAGGAAGTGTATTTATTTCAATGTGTTCTGTTTGTTTTCATATCATGTACATTGCAAATATAAACATATTCGAACAGGGGAAAGTACTCTTAACAATACTATCAACAATATTTATGCTGAAACACAAAACATTATGAACACTATAATATGTTTTGCCATGGTAGGAGTCTTCCTACTGTTAGAAGTTTGTTAATGCATGTAAACGGAAACATGTGTGGATGTTTTAAAAAATTAAACAAAATCTTTAACATCTGGTATATTAAGGATATCCGTGTGTGTGTGTGGAGGGGGGGTTCTAACTAGAGTGTAATGCTACTATTTGTTAATATTATATAGAAGGATTTACTTTACAAAATTTGAGTTGTGGTGAAATCGTCAAAACAAATTCTACAATGGGATTTATCTGCATTTAAGATAAAAACTTTGCAAATATTTATGTTACGAGCCATAACATCTCATTTGTCGTTTTTGAAAAGAAAACATGATTTTCGTTTTATTTAATGATCGTGTCTGCTCATTCACTGGTACACTGTTTCGTGAATAGTTTCTTGGTGTGTTGTGTTTTTTTCCTCTCTTAAAATCTCTCCCCCCCCCCCCCCCCCCCCCCCCCCGACCCCCACTCACCACCCGACTACAATTGAATTACTATACAGAAACCTTGTTAAGAAGTATTTGTTGTATTTTATTCCTTTTCTAAGACAAGTTTGAATTTTATAACAAATTTTGAAAACTCGCCATCACCTTTATCTATTCCATATCTGCTCGTGTATGACGTCGGCAGAGGAGATATCAAATCAAATTTCTATATACAATGGGACAATGAACCTAGAGTGAACTCCAACAGAATCGTAACAATGCTGAGATAATGTTGATTTGGAGCAAGAAAATCATGCCAACTTTCCATGGTGTAGGATCTAGCGGAGTAAAAATTACTTCGACGTAGCGTTTTCTAGTAAAGAAACAATATGTAAAATATTGGTGTGCGCTGTATTGTATGTACTCCATATCCGTATTTAATATCCTATAGGCCACATGTGAAGAGAATCTCAATTTAATATCTGCATTCTAACATTTATTTTTATCAATTCTCACTTTACTTACTTGTTTTTACTAGGTTTCATATCAAGTCCTAAGCATCACTGACGAGCTTCAGTTCAATCTCATTATTTAGCCATACTATATCTCTTAATTTGTACTGAAAAGAAAAAGTATCTGGTGAACATGACAAAGTCTTCCGTAAATGTAACCTTTATCACTGCATGCAATAGTATTACAAATACAATCGCGAAGTACCGTTTGCCTGTATCACTAATATGTGAATTGTCGTTGCTGATCAAAATTCATCGTGTCAGCCAATCAAAACTTGGCAGGTATCGTCGATGAAGCAGAAGACGCTGAATATTCCGGAACACATGGTCTTATTCCTCTGGTACATTTTCAGGAGTCTCCGTGTAAATCTTTTTTGTTCATACTTTGCCCTAGTATTATGGAGTTTGAGTTTGAATTATGATTATATTGCCATGTTGACACCTTTTAATGTTTTTCGATCAACGTGTGAATTTTTTGTTTTCATGATGGCATGATAGTTAAATAACACTCACTATTTTGACCGAAATCTCACTATGTCACAGCTGGCCAGGGGCATATTTTAATTCGAACAGTGGAGTGAAATCCTGCTGTACCACAAAAATCAAGGGATTTCCTTCCTTAGAAAAGGAAAGTAAATTCCGTTCATATACAACTAGACTAGGACGAATATATATCTCTGATTGTGATGCATTAAAACACTTGTTCATACTGTTCTCAAATTTTCATAATTCCATTTTAAGTTAATATGTGTTTCAATCATTTTTAAAACTTCCGAACAATTAACCAATAAATCAATCTCAAACAATAGATTTTTCAATATTACAATGAAACTAAGGAAAAGCCGACGTTGATTTGTTTGATGCTCCACACTTTGTATATAGGTTATCTGGAAATTTAGTATACCTGGTTACCGACCTGTTGACACCGTGATAAATATAGATTGTCATTATACATTACGAGTCAGCATATCAATATTTTAATCCGACTGACCTAGTTATCGTGCTATTTTCATATTATTCCTACCACGTGTGTCGAAAGATTGTATCATATAAAGATATATGAATTGTGTATTATCTCACACTAAGTTAAAGTTGATATCTCGTGATGTTCATGGCCACAACTAACCAACGATGAAACCACTTGTACAAACGGACAGCTTACTACTTGTACGGGATGTCAAGTAATGCATTTGATTCTACTTAACATTACATCAAACTTTCAGTGGACTTAAACAAGCGCAAAATGCAAGTCAAACACAACAAACCCTTGTCAGATGTCGTTGAAACCAGTGGTGTCTCCAACTATGAAGAAAAAAGTCCTCTGTTATCTAATACATCGAAGCCAACTAAATGGTCAGGACTGCTTTTGAGGAATGTTTTGATTATACTTTTTGCTATATCTTTTAGTACGTATCAACTGTGTAAAACACAGTTTTTATATAAACGAATCAGTGAAAGTAGGTCAACTATAAACAAATCGAAAATAACCTGTGGCGAGATCAATGGATCAGTTGCTGAAGACGAAAGCCAGACTGAAACAACAAACCTTAACTGGCATTTTGGTATCGTACAGTTGTCTATTTGTATACCTATGATAGTGCTAATTGGTATCTATTCGGACGTTATTGGACGTAAATACTCTCTTCTCATATCGTTTGTGGCTAATGCCATACTCTATGGATGGATGGCTTTGGTAGCGGCGTTTGATTTACCTCTCAATTACCTGTATATAGGATATGCTATTTCAGGTCTCGGTGGCGCCCAGTTCAACATCTTTGCCACTTTAGCAGCGTCCGTCGCGGATTTAACCGGAGCCAGTAAATCACGATCATTTTCATTCGCCATTCTCTATTTCTCCGCTGGTGTAGGCTTGTCTTCATCTGAATTCGTCGAGGGATATATCATGAAGAGCTATGGTTTTGTGTGGCTTCTTGCCTTCTCATCCTTGTCTTTATTGTTTGCTGTGGCATTAATTATTTTCTTTTTTGAAGATGCAATTCCAACCAAGAATTCAGGGTTAAGAGAAGTTTTCTCAAATTTAAAAACATATTTCGGAGACAAGAAAAATATTCATCGTTTTCCTAAGTGGGTATATATTGTATCTTTGATGGGTCTGTTATTGTTCTACGCACCTAATGATAATCGAGAAGATTTGGAGGTATTTCTCGAATTAAGGTCACCCTTTTGCTGGGATTCCCAGTATGTCGGGTGGTTTCAATCGGCTGAATCAGCTGTACACATGCTTGCTGGCCCATTGCTTATGATGGTATTACAGAAATACTTCAGCGACGAAACCATTGCTGTTATGGGTTTGCTGTCGGGAATGGCCTTTTTCCTGCTATTTGCATTCGCAGTTACTAATTGGATATTATATGCAGGTAAAATATGTTCTATGAAAATATCCTTTAGCAACACATTTCTACCGTTTCGTTAATACCTTAGTATGATATTCCTTAGGTTTTGCTCACTGTATATTCCTTAAGATTATACGTTAACATTCTCATTTGAGGGACAGTCGGAACGAATTTGGCAAACAGCAAATCTTGATGGTTCTTATATTGATGATACATATGTTAATGAAGAGTAAACTTGTTTTATGCTATGCTGGAAATTAGATCACGAATGCTGGTTTGTCAAGAGTAAAAACAGTCTTTGAAATGCTTCGAATTATACGGGATCTTCGAGTTAGACGAGTTTCCGATAACGAGGTTCAACTATAGATGAAATTGATTATTATTATCTTTTCTGTCATCTTAATTCGTGTCTTTAAAAAGATTTTAGTGAGTGTTTTTATATAACAAGTCATTCTGCAGATCATTTATATCATTAATTATTAATTATCTAATCTCCATCCTAAAAACAATGGTTATGTATTTTTTATTTGAGGATTTTCATGGTCTTCCTCTCGTATTAAAACAAAATACGTGATCTCATGTTCAGTATATACATTAAACAAGCACATATCCCCCTGATTCGCCTAAATAACGGTAACGTTACACCTTTTAACTGGATAATTTTCATGTCTAATCTCCGATATACTCATGACAATCATTCTGATGTTAGCGCAAATATGGCGACCATCTTTTACCTGTTCAGGCAGACGATCGACCTCGATATTGTAGAATTGTATGAAAACAACATGTTCAAATATGTCAGCTAAATTTGAGGTGGGAAGAACGATGAAGTTAATCTTAACATATTCTGATTTATTTTTCTCCGCTTTCAAGAGAGTTTATCGGTAATGTCAAGATATTAAGAAAGTACGACGATAGTAAGGAATACAGTAGATCATATTCTAAATTCAGTGATACAATTAATTTGTAATATCACAACCAAAATACATATCACAAGGTATTGTCTCCTACGTTACTGTATAATTCTACACGGAACGATACATAAATCCTAATTTCCGTTTGAAAGAAATGTTCTGCCAACTTCGGAGGACATTCCTGTCACTTGGGGAAGCCTTTCCACGATAATGACCGTTGTTAAAATTGATTTTCTTTTGTGAAAAAATATCTTCGCTATGTATACACAGACATGACGAATCTCGTGTATGTACACTAGGAATCAATGTAAACTACAATGTTGACTGACAATTTCCGTTTAAATACTCGACGTCGTCTCGTGTCAAAACCAAAATCAATTATCCAAATCCCAGTGTCTGCATGTCAACAAGAATGCTATTCTCTTTCCTAAATTTATTTGAGTTGTAAAGTAAAATAAATCTAGAAAAGAGAGAGAGAGAGAGAGAGAGAGAGAGAGAGAGAGAGAGAGAGAGAGAGAGAGAGAGAGAGAGAGAGAGAGAGAGAGAGAGAGAGAGAGAGAGAGAGAGAGAGAGAGAGAGAGAGAGGGGGGGGAGGGAGAGAGAGAGAGAGAGAGAGAGAGAGAGAGAGAGAGAGAGAGAGAGAGGGAGAGAGAGAGAGAGAGAGATAAAGGGTGAGAGAGAGAGAGAGAGAGAGAGAGAGAGAGAGAGAGAGAGAGAGAGAGAGAGAGAGAGAGAGAGAGAGAGAGAGAGAGAGAGAGAGAGAGAGAGAGAGAGAGAGAGAGAGAGAGAGAGAGAGAGAGAGAGAGAGAGAGAGAGAGAGAGAGAGAGAGAGAGAGAGAGAGAGAGAGAGAGAGAGAGAGAGAGAGAGAGAGAGAGAGAGAGAGAGAGAGAGAGAGAGAGAGAGAGAGAGAGAGAGAGAGAGAGAGAGAGAGAGAGAGAGAGAGAGAGAGTTGGAGATTACAATAGATGTGAAAATCGTTGAAGTTGGTTGCATGTTTATTTCAAAGGATTTTTTTTTATCGTTTTAAAAGAATCTTCCGGTAAATGTAAGAGACATCTTTTGTAATAATTATTGTTGATCTTGTGGATTGATAATTTCACTTAAACCCTTTCATCACGAAATGATTTCTTTGGCATTCTTACATTACCGACACATGCTTAGCCTAGATGAAAGGGGAGATAAATGAATCGGATTTAGTCTTTAACATCGTCATGATCGTTTTCTTCGCTGGGAAATTCGGTGTCAGGTCATGTCATGTTAGTTTTCATAAATTTCTCCAATGTCAACGTCGACCATATTCCTGAACATAACAAATGGCCGCCATGTTTTGGCTAGTGTCAGAATGATTGCGATGGCAACATATTGGCGGTTCATTTATATACCAGGGATTAGATCATGAAAATTGTCCACTCAATAATTACGTTATATCGCCACCATTATAAAATTGTAAATATACTTCATTCGAAAATCATATTTATGTAGTGTTCCCAGTCTCTTGTATACCTGTATCAGAATTGCAACAAAAATAAGACAGACTGTAAACAAAACCGTCAGTATTTTCGTCAATTTCACATTCCGAGGGTTATGCATCGTAAATTTGATGATCTTCTTCGTGTTAGTAATTAACTTTATGAACAGTCAAATGTGTGTTTCCACTTATAGGTGTGGCGGCTGGGATCCTGCTAATGGCGGTACCGCCATGTTTAAAAGCGTCCCTTTCAAAGATGATTCCTCCCGATTTTCAAGGTAAGGTTTTCTTAGAAAATACGTGTAATGCAGAATTGTTTGTCAAATACCTGAAATTCGATTGTACAGCATAGCATTGTCATCGTTTCAAACAGCTGATTTTATGGATACTTTCAATAGTCGTCGATCACATCAGGTTTCCTAATCTTATAAAAGTCACATTCAAAAGGTTGATGATGGCAAGAGCGAAAAATCAACGCATTTACCTGTCCTTAAACTTCATTATTTATCGCAATGTATATCTAGACCTACTGGAAACTCACACAGTAACAAGTTTTCATCACGTAGATAAACTGCAGGCGTCGTCCCACTCTGAATGTACATTTTTACATTTTGTACAACAAATCAATTTTCGCTGCCATTGTAGGGATATCCCAAAGACCTTTCAAATGTTTTGATTGAATACTTATTTTTTTTCTTGTTGACACAATCATTTTTTTTCAGAAAATCATTATCATTTTTTGTTTCCGGTAACATAAAACGTTATTTTTTCTGCATGAGTGACTTTTGATATTGTGGATCAGGATCAAAATACGGAAAATAAATATTCCGATTTCTCTTTTGTGACCACAATGCCTTTAAGATGTATCTTTTTTTTTCTTTCAAAAGGTTCTCTGTTTGCTGTCATTTACTTGTTGAGTGTGATATCAACTATGGCAGGATCTACTATTTTTAACAACATATACGCCCACACTCAGACCACTATGCACGGGTTGACTTTCGTGGTGATGGCTTTCTTTAACCTCATGGCTCTCTTGTGTGTTATGTAAGTGTTAGGTACTATTGTTAGAACATAAAAGGCGACATGAGAGGGTAATTCTTCAATGACCTTAATAAACAAAAACAAAACTTTGAGTGGTTGTCTCATTTGGCCTGGTACTTTGTTTGAGACCGTATAAAATATGGAAGCTTTTCCATTTGTCTGAATCTACAATATTTTTTTTACCAGATATGTTGAGTGAAAATCAAATCAACAGTGGGATTAATGTTTTCTTGATAAAGATACCATATTGATTATACTGAAAAATTATACATATTGATCTAACGAGAACAAAAATCTACTTATTGCTTAAACAAATTGAATCTGTCATTCTATTGAAATCAATCAGTACTTTGAAAAAAATAAAACATCGCTAAAATGATATTTCGGAGATAACTTGTACAGCAATCAGTGTTTAGGTCGATTACAAAAGAAAAGTTGTTTGATGCCAACTTACCGATCATTTGTGTGTCGATATCTTGACGATGAAGGATAATGATGATGTCCCTGAATACCATTCTATAGTGCTATATCATTTATTCTCAGTGTCTGAAGATAGATTATCTGCCTTTTTCAGGTCTGTGATAGCCTTTAAGAAGAGCGACAGAGGCTTGTCCATAACGGCAGCCATCATGAATATCAACGATTCTGAGAAAAATTATTATGCTTAAACTTTGTCTCTCGTACCCAAGACTACCGCGATATATATCTTGTGGAAGAAAAAGCAATGTTTGGTACGGTTTTTTTTTCATTTGACACCGAAAATTATTTGTGAATATTTTCTCCCATCTCTCGGATAAGTGAATTTAAAACTGGTTTGAATATCATCCAACGTCATCTGCTTTACCATGAGAATTTTCCAGGAATAACGCCAGGTAGTTGCATTTAAAGATGGATAACTCTGACAATAACAAATACTTGTAATATTGATTATCATCAATCAAAACATATTACCTTATAATTAGTTAAAACTGTAATTTGTTTAAACATATATCATTCTGAAGCTGATCGCTGTGGTCACAGTGATTTTTATACTTGTACATTATTGTTCACATCGCAGAAAAATCTGATAATTAATACAAACACATAAACCTCACAGAAGGCCTTTTTATCTTGTATACTTGTATGGTATAATATTATAATACGGACAACACCGAAAACTCTACTTTCTATAGAGAAGAATGAGGAAAAAAATTAGATGGGGCACAATAAAGTCGAATATATTCATACTTTAAGAAGAAATGACGATAGATATGAGGTGTCGTATAAGATATTATCCTGCAACTGGCACCGCCGTTGTCGGATTACACCTGCCGCATACATTTTTGCTGTGTTCGACAGTGATAGAAAACAACTGTATTTTTGCACGTACGGTAACTCGACAGAATTACTTTCTGAATTCACTTGAATATATAATTTTAATACTTATTGAAATAAGCGATGTTATATGTTGTAATGCTACAAGTCGATTTCGTCGTTATATCCGATGAAGTTTGGAACTATGTTTCCGCGCGGAGCAATTATTTTGGCGACGTCATCAGGCAAAATTCAGCGTAACGTCAGTGTCTGCATGGTAAACACAAATTAAACACCACATATGTTTGCTTCAGTAGTCTGACTTTCAATCATTGTTGCAGGATAAATAGAATACATGGTCAATATTTTAAGCTGCATTTTGGCTCGGGACAGAAATACATGGATCCAATACAAAACAATAATTCAGTTCATTAAAATGTAAGATCACTCATAAACTAGAAGCAGAGTAAGAGAATAATGACATAGTCTGTATAACTGAATCTCAATTAATACTCCTAATATTTAACTGACTGTGATATTCATATGCGCTCCTTTCATCCCGACCCATTTAGGAAAGATAGAACTGCCGGTCCTGGGGCGTTCATAAGAATACTGTTATTTTGAATAGACGAATTAATTTGGAGATGAATGACATTGAATTAATATGGTCAGATGGTCAGAAGTACAAATTTACAATCACAGATTTCTTCTCGGATATTTATACAAACCAGAAATTAATGTTGGTAACTGGAATGAATTAGATGAAACATTGACCAGAGCTGCTGATACATCACTGGATGTGGTACCGACAAGTGATATCGATATTAATATGTTAAATATACCATTATATCACCATTTATCACAACGTCTTATTAAGCATAACTGAGTGATCCTTATTAATGAACAACAAGAATAACACTTGAGAGTGCCTCATCCATTGATGAATCAACAATATTTTTTTAAATGTTGTATTTGAATTAATGTATGTAACGTATGTATAGTGTGTATGATGTGTAAGAGTTATCTCCCTTTATTTTCTATATTATTATTTCTGTATTAATTCTTTTGTGTTACTTTCATTTCAATCTTGTAAAACTACTGTGTAAATTAATTGATTTATTCTACTCTGGCCACTATGTGGAGAACAGCTATATGTTGTTATTTAATCCACATTCCCATTAACATGTTTTGTCATTAAAATTACTTTTGTCTTTCTTCACACTCGCTAGTATAGCTATGTTTTATATACTGACCATGTATTCTCTATATCTATAATTCAAAGTGGTATAGTGAGTTACCGCCTATTACAACGTGAATTCGGGGTCACCGTGTCTAAAGATATGTTTCTGTATGGCTATACAGTGGTTAGAGCTGGGAAACGCAAATGAAAAGTATGTGATTTTTTATAACAAAGACATTGAGCACTAAGATGGAATTTCACAGTCCCTCTTGCTACTCTCATGCAACCCATGACTGCATTCATTATAACCTGGTTGGATTTTATAATAATGATGTCAGTAGCTGTGCGACACTTCACGCACAATCACACTAATAGTCTTAACATCTTATACTCTACACACAACCACACTAATAGTCTTAACATCTTACACTCCACACACAACCAAACAAATAGTTTTAACATCTTACACTCCACACACAACCACACTAACAGTTTAAACATCTTATACTCCACACACAACCACACTAACAGTTTAAACATCTTATACTCCACACACAACCACACTAAGTCTTCACATTTTATATTACACGCACAACCACACTAACATTTTTAACATCTCACAGTCTGTGCTGCACACGCCGATATATAAACAATCGACAATTTCAATGGTTCAATTTGAGTTTTCGTTGGAGATTATTTCTGCAAGCGGTTTGATGAATATGTATATGTTCCTATGACCAAAAACCGGAATGTTGAATATTTTTTTAAATAGTTTAAATCTAATTTCCCAAAGGTCCTCTGAAACTAAAAAGCCTTGTTGGAAACAGAAGAAATCATTCTTTGACAAATATACCAGAGAAAAATTCTCCCACAACTTCCAATACGTACGTAATGATTAGTCAGACATGATAAAATATTTTAACAATTATATACAACCAGGAAAAGGTATTCTATTTATGGAATGTGTGTTCCGAGGGATGGTAAAGCGGCGTGAATTGTATTATCAATATACATTTAACGCCAGAGATACTGAAGTTAGGTATACTTAGAATATTATGAGATGATGTGAATATTCGTGAATATTACAACGACAGTCTGTAAAAAAGTCTATACCCATCCTTCTAATCTAAACTGATAAGATATCTATAGACACAATATTGGTCGGGATTTAGAGCAGACTTTCACGAAGGCTTTTTTTCCAGCATAACATTCACATTATTAACTTACTTTAAATGCTCTTTGCAATAGCATCTGTAACCGTCTTCTTTTTCTCTGTTGTCAGATCAATAAACTTTGACAACATACAACGTAGATGCAAGTATAAGGTGTGAGGTTGGTTCCCCTGCATTTGTGTTTTGTGTTTGTGTTGATATAATCCACTAACAATTTTTACCTCAATGGGTCTGTATAATGCGCGGGGATGGGGTGGACAGTGGCTATTTCCAAGTAAAAACTCCTAATTTGTTCCGCAGATGTAACGTTATCATTCTCAAGCGTAACCAATACACAACAGCGAACCAATTTAGTGTTTTATGTTATCGATTCTTAAATATCAATAACTGTTGATGGATCGCTGCGGACTAGCGCTCATATATTAGTTCAGTACAATGTTTATTGCCAATATAGCCTGCTGTCTACCTGCTCTCTCTCATGATCGCCTGAACACACTTTGTGTTATCAAAGAACACCAACAGGGGGAACGTCTGATTTATTTTCATTAATTTCTTAAACAAATGGTTATCGGAAAATTGTTGATAACATTTTTGCGTCGTTCTGCAGTTAACCAGGGCGGTTATACTTAAATGGATAGTGTCTAAGTGATCTAAGCAAACAATGGAAGATTTAACCTCTAAGATAATATCAGTGATTGTTTTTATGTGGCTTGTAAGTATAGTAAAAGGCAACTGTAGACAGAAACCACAACTACAAGCTGCCAATACATTGGATCCTGTATCTAAATCCCCTTGCGGATTACAGCAATGTGAACGGGATTGTTTCTCTAACGCAAACTGTGTGATAATGGTTTTCCACATAAAGAGTTTAGAGTGTTATACGGAGCTGACCATCGATTCCGTTGAAGCTACGGGAAGTTTGGATTTTGTTGTAAAACTCCGCCACCAAATCGCATCGGAACTGGATGCGTCCTATTTGTGCAATAATCACCAATGTGAGAGCGGACACACTTGTATTGGTCTATCGAGTGGTGTTCATGTCTGTATGGCAATGCCTTGTGGGCAACCGTTGTCTATTGCTAACGCAGATGTCAATGTCATTAGTTATTCAATTTCCTCAACAGCATCATATTATTGTCATATCGGATACAACGCAGTCGGAACAATGGAAGTCACGTGCCAGCCCTCTCTCAAGTGGACAGACACCAGTTTCATTTGTATCAAAAATGGATTTTCTTATGATCAAGGAACACAAATGATTTATCAAATCTTTACTTCGGAAAAAACATACTCAGATGCGAAAAGTCATTGCGCTAATCTAGGGTCGGAACTTGTGAAGATTAATACTACGGAAAGAGTTAACGTGTTATCGTCTTACCTTAACCTTGGACAGTTCTACACTGATGCGTCGGATCTAGTTCAGGAAGGGACTTGGATTTTCTCCGACGGAAGTAATGTTGATATGACATTGTTTAGCCCAGCTGAGCCTGACGGTGGAACGAATGAAAATTGTGCAATCTTCGGATATACTGCTAAATTACACGATGTAATTTGTTCCACTACAAGACTTTTCATTTGTGAAATAAGATGAACGATCTGGCATAGATTTCACACATACGTTTGACCTATCGACAGTTTTCTACAATGATATGCCGGAAGTTATTATAAACATATATCTTTATGCATTTAAAGTATTTTTTGTGGACACTCTTGTTGACGCTGTGATGCACGTTTTCTTTTGGACAATGACAATACATTTTTTACATTCTTCTAAAATGTTTAACGTTGGGTATTGTTTGATTTGTGTGTGTGATTGTGGGCATGTGCGTGTGTGTTTTTATTTTAATGTCTGTTCGAGGAATGAATTACAAAACTAACATATCTTTAATTTACAGTATATATATATATGACTAGCAATTTTATTAATCGTTCTTTTTTTTAATTTGCATTTAGCAAACTGTAATTAGAGGAAAACTAATATTGCTAACATATTTCTTAGGATTCAATTTGACTTTATTAAAATCTTGAATGGCAATTATATGATTTGTTCTTTTTCCAATTTGCATTTGTCGATCTGTAAAAAGAGAAATGTTTATACTGCTACCATATTTGTTTAATTTACTGATAAATTGATCCGTTTAGCTTCGTATACACGACATCAATATGAAAAAAAACTATTATCGAGATGACCTTTTACTCGGAAATCGGAAAACACCTCAAAAGTATTACATTTTTACTATCAATCAGACAACAAAAGATCGATAACCACAAATTCGTAAAAAAAATAGCAATTATTATCATAGATTAAGCAGGTAGCCAATAGAACAGTAACTATGTATATCATAAAGTTGTCAGAACAATGACCAATTATATAGTTACCATGAAACCAGTTTTCTTTTCCATATATTATGTTATGATATGGCGTTTTCTGAAACAAATGTAATATACAGATTTTCTCAGAAAGGCCGCTGATTAACAATAGAAAGTGTTGCCAGCAGTTTACATTGAAGAAATTTCGCTTATCAATATTTTCGGATAAGAATATGAAACAAGGCAGTAATTTAATCATGAGATCAGTTAAGAATCACCATAATTGTATAAAGAAAACACAAGAAAACGACACTCGTCTATTCAAATTGTGTTAAAATTGATTGATAGGGAGGTAGCTAGGCAAATAACTAGATAAATTTGATATTTTCATAATTTTGAAAGAACATTAAATATAGGTGTATAAATTCAAACGTGGCAGGCAAGTTACTTGTACCTTGGGGACTAAAAATTCACCAGCAGTGTCTAAGGTCGAAGGTTGTACAGAAAACAAATTAATTAACACGACCTTTTAACTTAGATTTAACTAAAATTAGAAAAAAAGTACCACTGTTTCGTCCTTCTAGAACTCATTAGTGATGCTCAGGGCTCGGGAAAATAAAAAATCGATTGACGAAAATACCATGAATTAGATGTGAAGATGCACGTTCATGCGTTAATTATGCACGTCACTCGTGACTAGAGTTGTTAAATATAAACAAATACTGTAACCGAGTTTTCCCTCGAAATTTCCAAACTTCGGGCATGATACAACGTATATACCCAATCCTTCAAATTAAATTAAATGTGAATTGGTGTCACTCCAGAAAAAAAATTAGTATGCACTTGTTTTAGTACGTGTGTTTCGCGTTTTATATAAGTAAATGTATAGATAAAGTATTCGAGGTTCTATATCCGGGGAATATACAGGGAAGAAAATATTGAAATATATCAGAAAGGTATACATATAATGCCTGTTGGTCGTTTATGGTTGAATAGAGTGAAATAAGCTGTTTTCTTGTAAAAAATCCATAACACTAAAAATTCATGAGTTTTCAGTATCTAGTGACTGTCCCAGAGGTGGAGGGTGATGATAAAAGACAGTCAGACGCCTTAAGCATCCGGCCGCCGCGACCCTCATGAACATATTACAGTAATATGACAATTATTTACATAGCTCATACATATTCTGATTACTTAGTATGTACTGATGCATTGTTTAGATAATAAATAGCATACTGGATAATACCTGAATCTCTATTTCAGATAAATTTAATCAAATTAAATCGAATTCTGGACATCAAATTTAAGATTTCTTTATATTATATGTTTTTATATAGAGTGTCAATCTATCATGTCTCTAACTGAACAACTGTCTTCATGTTCCTGAAATGCTCGCGTGGAAGAGAAGAACGAGCGATATTTTTTTTACAGTAATGACATCATGGCGTTTGCTTTAACTGAAATACCGAAGAATGTTTATAAAGAAAAAAAAAATATCTTTATTCAACATAATACAACTAAAATACATGTATCAACATATAATGTACATGTAACTATATTTTTTTCAAAGTTAATTATGAAACCACATAACACTGACTCATTAGAGGTTTTTTTTTACCAAATTCTGACACCATACCCTGAATTCAATGGGAAAAAATAGAAAATATGAACCTTGGTTACTGTATTGATTTATTACTGTTAGACTTTGCATTAGTGATTTACAACCAATAATATGCACATATACAGATCGACCTGAGTTTCTGGAACAGTATACACGACAAGATATTTCAAACAGTTGTGCTCATTGTTAATTTCCTTTTAATTTTGCGACGTAGGGCCTAAAAATTGTATGTAAATAACAAGCTTGATTAATTTCTAAATTTTAAATATACAACTCTAATGTCTAACAGCTGTTCCGTTCCATATCAAAGACGAGTTGGTGGAAGTGATATTTCCACAAAGACATATCCGATATTTCTATATTGTATTAACATTCATTAATGTTCCTACAAGCCTAATGAAACTATCACATGCTAATCAGACGATAATTATGTATTTCGGTCCTAAATAGAAAAAAACTTTGCACTTCAGATATGTAAGCTTAACTAAAGTAGGATTTACGTTTTGGGTTGTTCTATTTAAAGTTATATTCAAAGTAATGGAAAACTACGAATAATCAACTCACCAATTGACCTTTCGGTCAAATACTTAAGGTACATATTTTTAAGGCACTGCGTGCAAGAGGAAACAACCAACTATTAAGCCTGGTAGTATCAGCTTTCATCTTTATACAAAAACTGCCAAGAGCAAGTGCATATTTGCATGACGTGATATGATTGGTGCCTAGCTGATCATACAGCAGATCTGATTGGTTGTTTGGAGTATGACGAATGGTGTTTAAAAATTCCAGTTGCTGAAGGGCTCAGTGGTTTTCTGTGAATTATATCAATTGATGTATAAATAAACGTGCTCGCTTGAGATACTATCTTGTCCTTAGGGTGATGGTTCCAGTAAAACGTGACAATGCCTAACCCTACGGTATTAAAATACACTAGACATACCTCGTACGGTGCGCTAGTAAAAAGGACTGCATAAATGTATTTCCTTGTGATCATGGAAACAGAACAATGAGACTGATAAATAAGTCAAAATGACCCTAGATGGTGGTCCATTATGTTGCTGTAACTACTAATTACCCAATTTTCTCAAAATACCTTTCAATAAATAAATAATAATAATCACCTGTCAATAAGGTCCATTAAACAAAAAATCATGTTTTTACGAAAATATACTATCTCAACATTAATATTAAATAGAAATAATATCTGTGTTCATCATGTATAGCGACAAATACTCTATAAATATTGTGCGTTCAACGACAAACTTCTGTAACTTTTACACGTATTAAACGACAAACTTCTGTAAATATTACACGTATTTAACGACAAACTTCTGTAAATATTATATGTATTTAACGGCAAACTTCTGTAACTTTTACACGTATTTAACGACAAACTTCTGTAACTTTTACACGTATTTAACGACAAACTTCTGTAAATATTACACGTATTCAACGACAAACTTCTGTAAATATTACACGTATTTAACGACAAACTTCTGTAAATATTATATGTATTTAACGACAAACTTCTGTAACTTTTACACGTATTTAACGACAAACTTCTGTAACTTTTACACGTATTTAACGACAAACTTCTGTAAATATTATATGTATTTAACGACAAACTTCTGTAACTTTTACACGTATTTAACGACAAACTTCTGTAAATATTATATGTATTTAACGACAAACTTCTGTAACTTTTACACGTATTTAACGACAAACTTCTGTAACTTTTACACGTATTTAACGACAAACTTCTGTAACTTTTACACGTATTTAACGACAAACTTCTGTAAATATTACACGTATTTAACGACAAACTTCTGTAACTTTTACACGTATTTAACGACAAACTTCTGTAACTTTTACACGTATTTAACGACAAACTTCTGTAAATATTACATGTATTTAACGACAAACTTCTGTAAATATTACACGTATTTAACGACAAACTTCTGTAACTTTTACACGTATTTAACGACAAACTTCTGTAACTTTTACACGTATTTAACGACAAACTTCTGTAAATATTACATGTATTTAACGAGAAACTCCTGTAACTTTTACACGTATCTAACGGCAAACTTCTGTAAATATTATTTGTATTTAACGACAAACTTCTGTAAATATTACACGTATTTAATGACCTACTTTTGGTCGCCTGTGTTTTGACGACATACTTTGGAAACTTTCACATGTGTTTAGCGACCTACTTCTGTAACTATCACATATATTGCCCCTGACGACACATTTCTATCTCTATCATTAGTGTTTTGATGAATTACATTATACCTACGAATCATCTGTATAACACGACATACTATATGGAATATGAATTTCAAGATACTTATCGATTACGTTGAAAACTATGCTAAAAATTAATAAAAAGAGAACGGGCTGCGTTGGATTTACTTTCTGAGTGGGTTAAATCCATTCGGCTTATGGGTATGTTATTGTGCCAGCATATGAGGCGTCTAATAACTTGATCCTTGTCTGCAAACATTTTCTGTCTACAAATATATCTAGACTTCTTGATATCGAAGGAATCCCATCTAAACATTATGACATCTTTCCATTCATTAAGATCTTAACCATAAATAGCGGATTCCTTAACGACACATATAAACAACGTTCTATTGCTGACTCGTCTACGTTTT